AATATGATGAGGAAGTTCATGCTCATTCAGGAAGAGATGATTTCAAATTTCTGGAGGAACATTTCGAGGAGCTGATCAGAGCAGTTCCTTCAGGTTAGGAAATGAACTGATCACAAATTTTCAGAACGCTTTTATTGGCACGACTTTAACATTCGGTTTTCAAAACGTTTGCAATTTGCTATTTGTTTAAGAGTCTAAATATTAAACAGGCCGGACACTGACAGTGATTTAATCATATCAAAATAACACGCCCAGAAAATGCTGAAAGGAAGTTGAAGTTTGATTGTGGTTCCATCAACCATGCATGCCAGAACGCCCATGGTGCATGGTATAACGGAAATTGCATGGACATCACCGCCACCGGATTGGTCCGGAGAGCTGCAGACCAGGAATATATAAGACGCGATCTTTTCCACTGCTTTCATATACTCGAACTGTCGAAGATATATAGTTGATTCTGTGAGACAAGTTGATTCTACTAAGGAAGTTGGTTCAAGACAAGATGAAGCTCGCTGTAACCTGCTTATTTTCCATGATTCTTTGTTTAACAGCTGGATTTTGGTAAGTAGCGAGTTCTTATAAAACGCAATAAATGTTCTGTTGTATTAATTGCAAACCATTCAGCCATCACTCTAATCGGGGGGCATGTCTTTTTATCGTCTATATAATTATATAGCTATATTTTTGTTTTAACATGCATGTTTACTATGGGCGAAAATTAATTGATGTGGGTGAAATAGTATGTATACTTCTCATTGTGATCTTCTCATCATTTGTCGTTGGAGGTAAATTGGTTGCATGACAGTTTCATGCGAGCGGTTTTTAATGAATTTTTTTATTCAGTTCGGCACAATGGAACAGCAGAAATTACAACTACCGATTGGGGAGAAATACCAATCTCAATCATAACGGCCTCAATCATCGAAGCAATAATGGACGACACAACACAAACCTCAACTACAGACAAGTGAACTACAATTATCGTGGTAATCGGTGGAACACCAATGTCAATCATAACTTCAGATCCAGGTAATCACTGCATTGAATGAGCAATAGAATTTTAACTACTTTAGTCGCTATACTTAAAATCATTAAAACCGAACGTAGGCTAGCATCTGCATATCCCCGATACACTATCAGTAAGCATGAAGGATATGCATTTAGAGTATAGTCAGTATTAAAGCATCTTCTTTTTAGCAAGTAGCATACATAAAATGAATTAAACATCTGGTGAACTGATATTAGTGATTGATTGGATCGGAATCAAGTTATTTTGTAATGCCAAGTTATTACCACATGCATATAGTTATAGGATCGCTATATAGATAGAATCTAAAGGCTGCAGCTGTATTACTCACCCATTCAGTGAGCAGACCATGTTTTACTCTTGCGAATTCAACCATTATGACAGCCTCTACACTTTAGTTTATCTTAACACACCTATATTTTACCCAAAGTTAGGACTGAGAGATTTAAACGAGTATTTATAAACAGACGTCTCTTCGAACTTTAGATTCAAGCTTTTATTAGACATAAGTTACTATGCATGTTATACTTTTGTAAATATAGAATCAATGTACATTTTTTAAATGTAAAACTCTTATGTCTGCATGTCTAAGGGTTATTATCCTCATTATAAACTATTACTTACTTACTATACCAATGCATATACATGTATATTTTTTACACATGTAGGCAAACAAATTTTAACGCCAACTATCGTCGAAACCACAACTTCAACGTCGGTCACAACTGGCGAAATAGACAAACCAACTTTGGCTATAAGTGGAACTTTGGAAAACGTCGTCGCAGTATTGATTTGCAGGATGAACTACTGGAATCTTTGAAAATCGAAAGACAAGTAAGTCTGCGAGACTGAAGAAACAACGTACCAATTAGTTCAAAGGAACAAGTCGTTTCAATGAGTTGCCAATCGCTTACTTATAAAGCGCGCATGCCCTCGATCAGTGTAAATCCTAATCAAGGTTTTTTTTTCTTTAGCCCAGCGTATTTCTGAAGAATCTTCAACTGGCTATCAAAACCTTGGTCAAAAGATATCAATACGAATGTCCCTACATAAAAAATCTCGCAATCTCTGTTCCGAACGATCATGTTACGAATGTAACAGCTGCAAGAGAGACAATCTGTGTTGTGATGAAACTTCAGAGTCTCTTTCCCAACAGTTTGAGACATTTTGTAAGCAGCTATATAAGGTTTATATATTTTATAAGTAGCTATAAAGTGTGTAAGTAATGAGGTTTATATTTTTTTTAGATTTTGAAAATGATCGAGTATCACAATCGCATCTTTGAAATTGAAGACTTCTTCAGTGTTGACCCTGTAGATGAAACTGAATCTGAGAGTGACTACGTTTGCGGGGTGAGTTAATTCACTTGTACATATTGTACTAGTCCTAAAATAGAACCTTTATCACACGTATAGAAGATGATTCAATATTTAAAAGTACGGGCGTTTGAAGTTAAATGAAATAATAAAAAACCGCGTCCTTGTTCCATGGTGCTCGCGCGTGTATGCACGAGTTGATTCAGGTGCACATGATTCAATCTAGAATTCTATAAAAACGACAAAAACGACTAATTGCAAAACAAAATTTTCTTTTACAGCTTCCAGAATCTGCAGTATGCAAAGACGTAATTGACGGCGCTAGACTGCTCGATCTGAAGAAATTTACCACCACTCTCATTACGCTCGCCATGGAATATCAGCAACTATTGGAAGCTTAATTTACTACTACGAACGATAATATAGTGTAATTGCATTATATATTCAGTTATCAATAAATCAAGTGTCATAAAATCTTTCGTCAAGTTTGAAAGATCGTCACGAGTATTAGCAAATCCTTTTACCCATTATTATTACGCTCCAAGATTTTCTTGAGCGAAAATACCAACGTACTCTATCTTTGATAGAAATCTATGGTCTGATCATTGGGTCTGATAAATACATGTCGTCATAAATGGAAAAAATTTCTTTAGAACTAAATTCTCGCAGTATAGCGTAGCCAACCTGACGATTTGTCCCGCTGAGCTGATATTTTGTTGTTCATTGACTGTGAAAACAATAAATTTCTAAAGACTTGAATAATTATAATAACATGAAATTTACATAGTGCCGGGACAAAATTGTCAGGCTGGCTGGCTACGCCGCTGAATTCTTGAGCCAGAAAGAGCAAGTTCCCAGGCTTGCCGTGGTTAAAATTTGAACCGGTAAACTTTTAAATGTCTATTTTCCGCAACTAGCAAGAACGTAAATTAAATATCTTTGGCATTATCTAACGGTTTCCAACCGGCTGAGAATTTCTCAGTTGAACGAGGTTTGATACCACTGTACATGCATGTACTTCAGTAACTTCACTTCACTCATGTTAACGACGGCATAAATTCGCACTTTTACTATAATCTTGCATTATTCAAATATACAGTTATCTTTTTTTCGTATTTTTAAAAGCCAGCCACAACACCTTTGTTGATTCACTTATTATATCTTTTGAAGATATATTGTATCTAAAGCATTAAGCATGTATGGGCATGTTTTCTAAACTGAAAAAAAACTCATCCAGTGCTAATTTAAAAATTATTGCACAGCAAGCCCCGCACTCCTCAGCTAATATTTTTTCCTGTTTTTTCCAGCATCAAATTATTTTATGAATCATCTTAGCTCAGAATCCACTCCATCCTTCTTTTTAAAAATTTTATAGGTCTTAAATCAAATGGGACATCTACTAAAGGTTTTGTTTAAATCGGTATTTGTTTGTAAAAAAATTCAATTTTTCTATCGATTTACTAAATAAATTTCAACATGACACTTGCCAAGCAAGTTACGCATGCGCACATTGGGCGAATAACCGATTTGGCTTCAGTTCGTATCTGTATATATCTCATAATTACATGTAATTATATATTATACATTACATTGACAAATTGCCGAAAAATTTTTCGGCCGCTAATTTTGGGCGGCCTATGATCTCATCTGTGATTTTGCGCACGAGGACATTTGAAACTGACGCGTTAATTAAACGACCGTTTTAATTAGATGACGGCATCAAATGAAATTCTGGATGTTATTTCATTAATTTTAAAATTCAGAAATTGATCAACGGAACTTAAAATAACCCAAAATATGAATTTAGTTGCCGAAATAGAAAACGATAAGAGTCTGTCGGATGGTTTCGCTACGGGTAAGTGAAAAAAAAGTAGTTCGAACAAGAGTGCATGTGATAGATCAATGGCCAACCCCACGGATGAAGATAGTCGTGGAACTGAAAGCATCGTTAAGATGAAGGAACTATGGACAGCCGAGGAACTTACAGTAAACTTTGTAAACCGAACTGCAATGCGAATTGCGAATTTAAAAAAACGACTCAATGAACAATTGAAAACGATAAAATTATTGCAAGAAAACAGGGAGAAACATGAAGATTCGTCAGAACAAAACCAAAAAGAAAAATCAATTCGCAATTCTCATATTTCGGAAGAGCATTTCCATTTTACATCCGACACAAGAGGAAAAAGAGTTGCGGTTAGCAAGGTGAAAAAACGGAGGAACTTTCAAGGAAAGGAAGCGAAGCAATCATGCATGACGAGACCAATCGGTAAAGGATCCATCCAACCTCAAAGGCAAAGAGGAAAACGTCATCGCCGTGGTGTACCTTTGAAAGACTTCTTATATCATCCTCTTGTGGTAGAGTGTTATGCTTCTGGTCCGGAACAGCTAACGAAAGACGAATTCTTACGGCAACTACAACTAATACCAGTATCATATTTCCAGACAAACAATAGCCAGAATTCCAGTCCGGTGTTTGAAGAAAGAATTTGTGAAAATTGTGGTAAAAAAGCTATCTAAATAACCTGATTTTTTAAAATATAATCTTATAAATTCATCTCAATTTAGTTAATATTCGAAAAAATCATGCTACAAACACTTTCAGTCTTAAGTTAAAATCCTTCCTAACAATAATAAGAGTTGATTTGCTTGAAAAGTTGAAGTACAAAAAAATAAAATTTTATTATTACTTTAAGGTAAATCGTTTACGATATATTACACATGGCAATGCATGTTAAGTACAGATTTACAAATATTTACTTTCTGATCGATAAATATTCCATCGTACTAACAAAACCAGGGTCAACTTACATTTAATTTTAACTGTACTATCTAAATAATCTGGACTTAAGAGTTGAGCCCACCTATAGTTAAACCCTACCTAATGCACATGCTTACTAAATTAATTATAAAAGGAGGATATATGTATAAGAAAATAGTTGTTGTAAAAGATTGATTAAAGTTATGTCGTAACAAGGCTTTCCTAATACTAAATTATAGATAGTTCAAAATGATCTTTCAAGTTCGTGATTGAAAATATGAAAATTCAAGCTTTTCTATTCGCTATTTAATAAGTTTGTATACAACTAACCTACAAAAAAAATTCAGGAAGACTTCGAAGTCTTCTAAAACTAACCAAGCCGTGTACGTACTTATTTTGACACTATTTTATAAATGCTACTAAAAATGAGCTTCTTCAAATTTTCTTCCATTGCTTTGCTCGTGGGTTTGAACGCCATGATTCAGTTGTCCTGGGTTATCCATGCCAATATTGTCTTGCACTTGTTGGCTTTTTTCTGGCATATCCTGGCCGTAAAACACGTGTTCGTGCATCTGATCAACAACCAAAGGATACATGAAAATCACGGCAAGAGCATCTTCAAACAGGCTTCCTTGGATTCCATAACGATTTCGAATCGCTACCCGTATCGCTATGAGATAAGCGAAGAATCCAAACAGAATCACCCAGCCAATATACGCCAACCCATTACTTGCCACTTCGGCGATTTCCAGTGCAATCCATGCATACATCATAACAGCAAGTGCAAGCATATGAGGCCAGGGCTTTTGGTTGTAGATCTTGCCTGCAGCTTGACCCCCACGATACCATGGAAACACGGCCGCGAAAAAGACATTCAACCATTTCTGAGCGGAGATGCAACCAAGAACTGCAAGGATAGAAGATGAAAACTGCGGTGCATTTGGATTGCTTTCTCCAGCTTCTTCCTTCACGACTTTCCATATGGAAATACACATGAAACATATGATCACAGTATAGATCAAACCCCCGGCAATGGAAACAGTTTGCAGAGCGTCCAAGGCATCTCTACCCCCAGCCTTAAGCAGCGCTGTAGCACAGGCACCTTAATGATCGAATAATTTTTGTTAGTACTGTTTACTTCATCTATATTGAGTCCAAAATCTGTGTTTTGGAGCTGGTTATGATAATGATAAAAAAATGAATTGAATGTAAATTGTAAATACCTTCAGTTAATGCCCAAAATATGCGCTGGAGAACTGGCGGTTCTGGGCTACCATTGGCCGATAGGCAATCAATTACCAAAGAACCACTGTCAGAGCTCGTCACAAAGTATAAGACGATCGTTGCCAAAGACAGTCCAAATAGAAAACCTTCCAGGTTATCCCCATATTGACCCAGCACATCAAAAAACATTCTGCTGAACGCTCGACAAGACAAACGGTATAATCCGTTGTACGATGCTGTGGAATTCCCACCGCCAAGAACAGAGTTACATGTGACGTTATTCAGTTCTGCTTCGCGTTCCATTTTGATACCAACACCACCAAAGATGCAAAGCCAAAAGAAACTGTACAATATTGGTGCTGTCATCGTTGCATTGATCACATTACGGATGGTACGTCCTCGGGAAACTTTGGCTATGAACATGCCAACAAATGCAGACCAAGCAATCCACCAGCCCCAATAGAAGATCGTCCAGCCGTCCATCCACGTTGGGTTCTCCAATTTATCAGGTGCGTTACCAAGCTGCGCAAATGCATCGGTGTGAAAACCAAGTTGGATGAGCCATTGAAAATAGTATCCGATGCTTTGCACGTAGAGATTGAGTAGAAACCAAGTATTATCCGAGAAAAGCACAAACAACATAAGCGTCATACCCAAGCAAAAACAAATTTCACTGAGACGACGGATGCCAACCCTGAGTCCTGATATGACCGAGATTGTAGCAACGACAGTGATTAGCCAAATTATGATAATCTGATTGTCGGTGCTTTCATCAATATCACTGTTCAATCTATTGATGCCAGAATTCAATGTAATCACCCCAAGGCCAAGACTCGTGCATACGCCGAACATCGTAACGATAACGGACAGAATATCGATAACGTCGCCAACCCATCCGTAGATCATGTCTCCAATAAGAGGATGGAAACACGACCGTATGGTCATAGGAAGACCTTGTCTGTACGATACCAGGCCCATGAGTACACCAACAAGGCTGTACACCACCCAGGCATGAGCACCCCAGTGAAACAATGTGATATTGATTGCATCCTGAGCGCGTTGGTTGTCCGTGTATCTTCAAGACAAAATACCAAATAGAAAATTTCAGTTACTTATCAATATTTAGATGTTTGAAAATAAAAATATTAATTGCTCCGTCTAGGGCATTAGGTATGTGGGAATGGGTATATGTGTACAAAAATGAGACACTTGTCGTTTGTTGTGTCGCAAACTTGCATTTCCACAGTCGCCCAAACGAAAAACACGTTTTTCCGGAGTGCAACTTGGGATAATTAATATGCCTTTTTTATCTATACATATTGTATTTATTAGGGATACAAGAAGAGAATATTTACGGATAATTTATAATAAAAAAACAAGAAATACTTATGAATAAGTTTGGATAAATTGAACTAAAGTAAAGCAAAACAAAGGGAGCCAGAAGACACCAAGCGTAACATTTTAAATCGTATACACATTCTATGCCAAAGTTATGCTAAATTTCCGTGGGAGTTTGAAATACGCCATCGTGCCATGTTGTAGCTAGTTTATGAACGTTTGGAGGCGTTTTGGTCTTAGATTGATTATCTTTTCACTTTTCGAATTTCGATGGAGTTCAGTCTAGTCTTTGGCTTTGTTATTTTAACTACTGTATACCACTTGTCAAATGGCCAATAAGTGGCGTGGTATGTTTATATATGGGCATGCCACGCGATTTATTCGCCATTATAATTATCGACCGTTCTCAGGTCCACAAAACATAATGTTTCTTTCGATCGCAGTAAATAAGAGTTAAATATTCCGCAATATTCCTTCTCGCTATAAATGAATATATCAAATTGAATACGACATGAAATGAAGAAAATTTTGGTGATGTGTCTCGATACAAAATTAATGGTTGTATCGTTATGTTACGTGCGGCTTTCGTGTATGCAGCTATAGGATTCAAAGAAAAATTATTTCGTGCGCTGAAAATAATGCATTCCTGATTAATACCAAGAGTCCTCGCCCAATGCTTGTCTTTTTTTTTTTCATTACCTCTTTTCTTTTTTTCATTTCCGTTATACACAATTGGTATGAAACAAAATATTTTGATTACGGAACTTAATATATAAAGAGTTCTATGACGCAAGTATAGCAACAGTGAGTCTTGCGCCCTGTACATTGGTTTTACTATAAACTAAACATATACGTACCTATTAAATAACTGAGTCTTATTCAAATGCTTATGTTAGTATACATTATACTAACTGCATGAAAAACCCATCGGGGCTTTTGTCTATTTTAGCAATTATGCTTAACATGCATGCTTAGCTGAGGTAAAGTCGAATATTTTATCTGAAGGCCATTCACACTATGCGGTTTGGTATATACGGTGTACGATTCTTAACCTGGAGCGTATGAGAACGTATGAACACATGTACAAACGCGTGACAATCAGTTAAATTCCATCCTGAACAATATGAGTAACGATTGTAGAATAGGCCCTCTTGCATTCGTCATACTGATAATTGCATACAACTTATCGTGTAGTCTAAATAGGCCTTTGGTCGTTTGACGAATGCGATGTCAGTAAAACTTGACCTATATTTTTAGTTTTTACTGATCAACCATAACGCTTGAAGGAACTCTGGCTGGTTGAATTTCGACTGCGACATGTTCATACAAACATAAACCGGTTTATTGCGACTCATATAGATTAAAAGAAACAGGGTTTTTTCTTTATATATACATATAGTCCCACATCAGGGGCCGGTAGAGTCAAGCCCGTTTACCTTAAACGGTGGATAAGTTCAAAATAGAAAGCAAGTCTGCCGTTAGTCAACAAGCGAACAAAATTTTTTGACCTAGCTTATAACACAAAGCTACTGTTTACAACTACATGTTCAGTGCATAATATTCAAGTTGACTCATTCAAGAGAGTTGTATAAGAGTGCATGTTATTTAATTTTGACTTTTTCCTCTTAAGCTAAACAGGCGTTATACAACCGGCTTCAGGGAGTTAGGTATCATGTTTGTTTTAGACAGAATCGATTTTTGTCACGGTATGAAAATTTAAAGTTAGCATACAGTTCGTTTGTATACTGGAATGCAGGTATACCTATAACGTATATTTATTATTCTCATCGCCATCAGTAAAAAAATACAAACATGACACTGAAATATTATGAGTAATAATGCCTTACCTCCCCCAATATCTGTTATACCCAGGGCCTCCAGGTACATAGTGAAAAATTGGTTCAGCGACGGCGTAATAAAAGAGACCAATAGCTATTCCGGCAGAAAACAACATGGTGAAGTATGTCGCGTTGCTGAATTCTGGTTTATCGTGGTCTTTTCCTAGTTTCATTTTTCCGTATTTCGAGAAATACAAGATAACCAGAAAGAAGAACCAGACGTCTTGTGTGCCAATGTAAAGCCATGTGAAGGTTTCTGTTATCCAACGCTTCGCATCTTTCATACCATTTGAAGCTGTCTCCGTATCAACTACGCACCATATCACAAAAGCCCAGATAATGACCGCAGAGATGATTGTCACGACCGGGTTGAAATCGAGGTGAATACACCCAATTTTTGCTTTAAAGCTTCGGCATTTTTCTCTGTTTCTGTTGGTATTTCGCTCCATTCTTGTTCTTACAAGCAATCACAATCACGCTATGACTATGACGAAATCCACCGCACCCTATAAACATTTACCGTTAATTATATACGTTCAACATGACTGCACTTCGTTTAAAATTAATCATCAGGTACAAAAGACAATTCAATAAAAAATCAATAAAGCAACGTTTAATATATTGTGCTACTGTTTAATGACACCTCTATTGCTAGGGAACGTCCGTTATAAGTTATAAGTGCTTTTGTTTACGCGCTATCCAACGGTAGTGATTTTTTTAATCGCTTTGAAAATCGCTCGCTGTTTGCTATAACTATTATTAAATCTTAGTGTTCTTTAATCGAAGATCTTCCTTAAAAATTGTTTGTTCCAAAGATGAATTTTAATGCTTTTCGAGCATTTTTAGAACGGTTGAAAAAATGACTATCAGGTGGATACAGCTATCCAGCCTTCGCCTGGCTTGCGAGGTTGCGTAGAGCCTGCCCCTGAAGAGTTTGGAAAGTAGGAAGAACTTGTGAAGTCAACTGCATGTAATTTTCACAAAGTGGGGCTAATATTCCAGGGGAATATACTCAGTCTTACTTTTTGTGTTAATGCTTATTTTTCACATGGCTTGCATTGGTTTTCTTTGCTCTTGTCGGGGAATATATTCAATAGTGCAATGGTGCAATATTACCCTCTAATATTCCCCCCAAATATCCCTCCCAATAACTGCAACTTGTTTTTCAGAAGACAATTCTTTGGTTCCATTAATTCTAGTTCCTAACTGCGACATGGAATAAAAGCATTCCCTTTCTATTATTATGTTATAAATGCAACTTCGCCAATGTGAAAAATAAGTACGTTATGCGCGCCTCGGTGAATCAAATCACATATCCCCTGGCAAGGCCTCGTTGTCTCAAAATAACCTATACATATATACAGGGTGTATTACATTAAAACAAGTACGATGGTACCATTGGACCAGGAACTGGTGAAGTATAAACGCAAGGTCAGAGCGCCCATTTGTCAGTTAATGCTTTTGTCCAGAGTTAGCTTTGATGAATCACTTGTTCAAAGTCTATGGCATATTCTAAAACATGGAATGGAACAATGGAACACCTGGCGCATCTGGAACGCCTGGAACACCTGGAATATCTGGAAAATTTACAATATACTGAATTTTATTGCAAATTTATTGCCCCAGGCGTCTGCACAATCATGCATGCCTGCGATTGTCGTTCCGTGAAAAATTTGTCCGCTATTGTCAAAAACAGTGTTCCCATTACGATAAATTAAAAAGAATCCTTCACTGTTCCTTCCTCACTATCGCCATGCACATTCAAAAACACTCAAGCAATAGACCTTTTCGGTAATTACGTCACAACATTTTAACATCACAACGGTTTAAATAAGCCGCGTTATGGCTTATTTCCATACGTATTAGTCAAAATGAAAAATTCTTATTCATGCACGGGTTATAGAAGGATGTTTTGCATCTTTGCATATAGGTTGTGAGAGTAAAACTTGAAATCCATCTCAATTACCGAAAAGGTCTATTACGTCGTTACATTATACATACGTACATAAATACGGTATACGATTCTTGACCTGGAGCGTATATGTGAAGGTATGAACACACGTACAAACGCGTGACACTCAGTTAAATTCCATCCTGAACAATATGAGTAAAGATTGTGGAATAGGCCCTCGCATTTGTCATACTGATAATTGCATAGAACTTATCGTGTAGTCTAAATAAGGCCTTTGGTCGTTTGACGAATGTCAGTAAAACCTGACCTATATTTTTACTGATCCACCGTAACGCTTGAAGGAACTTTGGCTGGTTGAATTTCGACTGCGACATGTTCATACAAGCATAAACCGGTTTATTGCGACTCATAGATTAAAAGAAACGTTTTTTCTTTATAGATATAGTCCCACATCAGCTAGGGGCCGGTAGTGTCAAGCCCGTTTAGCTTAAACGGTGGATAAGTTCAAAATAGAAGGTAATGATGTTTTGCATCTTTGCATATAGGTTGTGAGAGTAAAACTTGAAATCCATCTCAATTACTGAAAAGGTCTATTACGTCGTTACATTATACATACGTACATAAATACGGATAGTATACGAACTAATGGGGCTCCTTTTACCCATTTATAAAAGAAGTATTGCAAAATTAGCCATAGAAAACGAATAAAAATTCAGAATTTCAGATGTTCCTGATATTTCAGATGTTCCCGATATTCCAGATGTTTTGGAATATGAATGATGAATGATTCCATTCCGCGTTTTAGACCATGCCAAAATCTACAGAGGCATTGAATATCCAACAATACGTAATTTCAATAGTTTTGTTAGAAACATTGTATTCGCTGAATATGATATGCATATATTATTTGCTACCAGTGAATATCTACCGTCAAAAATTGTGTGAAGTTTTGTTCCAATCGGTCAAGTAATGCCAAAGGCCCAAAGCCTTTAAAGATATTTGTCTTGGGAGTTGAAGTAAAGGCTACATACTAAACACAATTTTTGGTATGGTACCGTAGGTTCTTTGTTTGTAGGTGTAATGTTATGTATTTTACTCTGTCCGGAGCGATATAGATTGTAGTTTGGCTTCAGTGTAAGATTTAAAGTAGTTAAAGTTTTAACCAAATTCGAATCAGATCAGAGAAATCTAGAATTTCAGTAAAGTTATTTTGACGGCTATGGTATGCTATGAATGAGAATGTATATTTGACGACGGATGATGATGACGCATGATGATCGACGACGATTGACGAGCTGGGCCCCATGGCCTTTCGAAATTCGAGTAACTTCTCATGATCTCATCAAATGTGGTATACTAACCGCTTGGTATTATGCTGACTCCCCTGACAAATGCCCTTAGGCACCATTAGGGCATAAAATCAATGCTTTTGGCCACATTCTGAGTTGGATCTATATTACTATGGATTACGTGCGGACGATCAACCACGCATTCACTTGATTGTGACAATAATTAACTTGAACAGACTATACTTTATATTCGTTTGCATACAGCATACTATTTTCTTGAGGTTATAAAGACGTTGTGAAAACCGTGTGTGCATCAAGGCAATGAAAATGACAAATGTTATTTTTTTGTACTTCATCCTCTACTATTGATTGATTGTAGCTTCAAACTGTCTGTAATCCTCATTTTTGTAATATTTCTTAAAACCGACCACATTATAAGCCTAAAATAAAACAAGCTATGTAGTTCATTGTTCACCACTGATAAACCTGTTTTACCTGTGTCCTGTATGGTCATTTTTTATTTAAGAAAATGCTGTTTGAATACAGATATTTTTTATCTATACTTTGAATCAGTAAGTTCCGCTTTGGACGAAAAATGTCGTTGTGTCAATAGCCTCGGATTAAAATATTCTACTTCTTCGGACACACTTTAGTCTTACATGTTTATGAAATTTGGCACATTTGGTCTAGATTTCAAATCTGTGAAGTATTGTGAACACCCATTAGCTCTGCTAAGTCGAGAATAGTTGAAAACGAAAGACTAGAAAGACGAGAGATAACATGCCTGCTGGGGATTAATTAAACAGGTCAGAATGAGATTCATACACTAGTTTCCTCATGCAGCCAATGGTATGCGCTCTCATACTACATCCTGAGAAACAGGTATAACCTGAATACAATATTCCAGCAACCTATTAAGTACTGTATTGAAGACAATATACGCATAAATCAAGAAACAACCATGTTGTTCCAGGACTTCTAGCCTTAAAAGATGACCTAAGTTTGTCTCTCGCGATATCCGCTACTCGGCCTGTATTTGTTGTTGCGTTTAACGATTGTTTTGTAGATACGTCTCGTAAATTTACTCTATCTTTCAAATATTGCGGACTTACCAAATCACTTTTTGTGTCACGTTTTGTAATTATTTGCTTCCTACTATGGACACGTTTCGCTTTGTGCTATGGGTACCAAAAAAGGCCGAGTATAAGTGTTCGCACCAAGTAGATCGAGTATTTGACTGCATGTATAAGTAATGCGGAAAGACATGATATTTGACCTCAAAATATTTCCAAAAAACCATGACAACAGTCAAGAGTGCAGTAAGCCCCAAGAACGAAATCCTCGTTAACTACTTCCCCCGGTTCCTGAATATAGGAACATAACTACTCTGAAGTCTGAACTGGCGACGACATTGATCTAACCTGTTTATTAAATGATATGCAGATGGTTCGTTATATAGGAGGAAAATAAAGAAATAAACATATATAGCGGCGGGAAATGCAACTAAAATACAGCTGTTAAAACATGTGTTTGATGCATGCCCACGAGTCACTTCAAACTAGGCGGGAAAACGGTGACAGACACCAGTGGCGTGACTGTCTACGTCTCTACGACTCCAGAACCATCACATGATCACTTTCAGTTTCACACATGCTGTCATGGCTGGATTTACATAGGGTGGGCGCTAATTAGAAAACCTGAGGTAGGTAGGTGCCCTTTTCTTAGGAAACAACCATGCATACAAATTCACCTGAAAAATTCACGAAATTGAGAAATGGAAATTCGCGTATAAATTCACCTGATGAGTGTGGCAAGCAGTGCTTGTGAGTTGTACGAAACAAATTTGCAGTGGATAAAATCATATGAAGTAAACCAAGTTTATTGTATTTTATTCTCGTCTTATATATATATGCACCGGCATCGCAAAATACATACGCACGTACACGCACGTAAAAGTCTAATTTAGTAAATCCTTATATATATATATGTTATGTTTGAAAAAATTAAGTAAATAAATCGAAAGAACTTGGTTTTCAGCATATTTTAGTATGCACTTGTATGTTGAATAATAAAAATCTATTTCATTTCAAATTTTCCTTGCGTGTACGTGCGTACATAAAACTGAAACGCGTAACTGGAAAGCAGCCCTTAGTTAAACGTCGCATTTTGGTAACGTCGAATTAATGCAATTCTCTCATTATCTATTGTTTGAATTGCATTCGACGCGACCAAAACGCGACGTTTGTTTGTGGGGAATAAGCAAGGCCTAAGTAATCATTTTACATGGAGCGCTCATATCGAAGAGGTCATCAAGAAGCCAATAAGAGATCTAGACTATGTTATTAAGTTCAGTTAAAGAGGGCTAAGGTCGATGCCATGCAACTGCAGATCCGATATTATTTCATATATATGCATGTGTTCGATCGATCAACAATAACAATGTACCAGCCCTCCCGAAGCATGCGCAAGGAGTAGATTATTGTTCAGCGGGTGAAAGTTTGAATGTATATATATATATATATGGCCAATTGATGAACATCACAACTTGTTATGCGTGCATGATATGCGAGAAATTGTTTAAAAAAGAACTTTAATATACCACACATTCACACTGATCGTATACCAAGAATTCTTTCATTTTTAAGATGGCAGATAAAGCGTAATGTGTAATTAATAAAAAGTTAGATTGAATTTATTGTATAGTTGTATATAGTTATGGAAGTCGGTGGTATTTATTCTTACCACATTCAGCATTCAGTATACATTTCTACTTTTTAATATAAAAATTATAAAACATTTCAGTTGAATGCATTACTGAGTGCCGTTCTTATTACGTGTGAATATCGCAAGTGGCAAGCACACATAGCTTCTAAAAAAATCGTTTTAAACTTTGTCTCATTTTTACTATATTAATTTAGATGAAGCTCGTATCCTTCAGGAGAGCATATCAATGTTTACCCCCCCCCGGTTTCTACGCCCCTGAATGCTCTATAGACCTCCTTAGCTTTTTGTGCATGCAAATGAGCCTATTTAATAAACCAGTGGGTTCGTATTGCCGCCCGTTTGACAAAAGTATTATAGAATACTAAGGCTACACGAGAGGCGTGCAGGTTTTCCCCCATGCAGGTTCTTACGCGGCCATCGCGGATGCATTTACTATGACCAAAAACTGTCTAAAATACCTGATTAGCTATGAAATAGTTACGTATAGTTTTCCCGAAAATTGCGTACGTATTTTTGGAGTAATACATCCTTCATTTCTACTGCACCTCTACAACGGCTTTTACTATATAATGATGTAGATGAGGAGGAGCGTGATCAACTGTTGAATTCCTTATAACAAGGGTCCTTAGGGATAAGTACAAACCACATGCAAGCATCGTTACGCCAAATATCAAAATGAGAACGTCGAGGGCGAGTTGCCATAATGTCATACGGTGGTAACATAGCTTTATATGAAACAAGGATGGAAAAATCACTTCTAAACTCGTCCCTGTGAAACTGCTGAGAAATGCAACCAATTGGGAAAAATTCGGAAGTGTAGCAAGTAGAATTGTCATTGCGATTATAAAACAACGGTACATAACTTGACGTGCTGAAGGACGATTTTCTGATCTTTTATCTTCAATTAGCTGATTGTCGATGCAGAAATGCTCTAGTACTTCGAACACAGTGAACACTGGCAGCGTGAACGATGCGATCGAGAGGATGGTTGCGGTTAATGCGACCAGGATTCTGAAGGGACCGGCAGGAAGGTTATCGGTTATCACTTCTTTTGTTGCAGGAAAGAAGGTGGCAGCTGCAATAATACCCATGCAAAAGTTAATCAAAGTCATTCCAAGGAAGGACAGGATTAAGATGGGACCAAATCTCTTTTTAACAGACATTGATTCTTCAATAACCGCCACATAAGGCTGAGAGAAGTAACTGGACATGAGCCACATTACGGCGACTGGAAATTTATCAACATTGAATGTCAGTAACACTGACCAGTTCCATTTGTAAGTATGTGTAAGGCTATAGATCAGAACACTTCCAAATATGATTCCAGCGGAAACTATCACCACGATACTCGTCCAGGTAACTTGCGACAGGTTGGTGATAAAAGCATTGGGCAAAAATGGTAAGGCGCTGAGAAGTATCCAAATCCAGGGGGGGACTCCAAGATGGCAGAAAAGTGTATGAAGGACAGAACTGACGATGAATGAACATAATGAACATATAAGTGAAAGTTGGATAAATTGGATCACAAGAACTAACGTGCCTCCTCCTTTTACCCACACAGCACTTCCGATGTTCGCAAACGAATAGTGAACACGCACAAGTTCTCCATTGTTGTTATACACGTACATGCACGCGACTATCAAATAACTGGTATAACATGAAGTAACTGACACGACAAGCAAAGAGATGATTGACACAATTCCGCCACACTGGATGACATATGCGATGGAAAGAATCGGAAAACCCTGGATTGTATTACAAATGTTCCAAAATGCCTCAAAGGTCGTAATCTTACCATCTGAACTTTCCTCCGTTTTTGTTTCATCAATATTCCGCATCGAATCTCTAGCAATTAGGTCAACTTCACGTTTGTTCTGGTTGTTTGGTATAATTTTCCCATCATCTTTTGTTAATGTAAATGAAACATCATTGTCGTCAGCAGTAGAAAATACCGACGCGTTTGCGAATACCGACAAAAATCCTATAAAATCAGTATGATTTTTATTATGTTTTTATTATTCGAGCTTGACAAAACAGCAAGAATTATGATCAAATTCGCACCTGCTCTAATCTACAGGTAGGAGAATACAGCCTGCAAGTCAGGCTCTGCAGGAAAACAGAGCGATCGAGGTTCGTTGAAGCTACCTAGGCTGTTTCCATATTATGCTAAATATGAGACTATAAGATATAGATTCTCAAGCAATAGACCTACCACTGCGTTGCATGCGCTGTTATCTCTACTCCACTGTCACTGAATTTCACTTTTATCCGCATCATTTAAATAACGATTGCAGAGAAAGACCTCGATCTTGAATTATCTTCATTCAACTGCGCGCAAATCTTCGAATCTGGGTTTAGTATATAGTTAGTAACGACTTGTGAATTTAGCTAATAAACCTCCAATACGACAAGAATTATTCCATCTTTATGCGAACAAAACAAAGTCAATTTAATTCGCAACGTTTTTTACCAAGCGTATACGAGAGCTTGACATATAGAAATGGACGCGAGTGACTACAATTGTTGTTATGCATGGTTTATTGAATTTATAAAAACTACACAAGTAAGAAATTTAAACACGGATTGAAAATGAATAAAGGACCTCGTCGAGATTGGAATGAGGGGTTCTTCGTATAAAATGCATATGCATCGAGTAATTTATATGGTTAGCTAAAATACTTGCCATGCTCATTTTTTTAGCCGAATTACCTGTTTTGACAGGAATTCGGTAGCCACCTGCATGCCTACTTGGCTTGCGTCGTATATATTGCTAGAATATTTATTGTAAAATACACTTGGGGAAAGCGTTATTTCCGAACCAACGCTTATCATAAGAAAGGAATGATCTGTCTTTTCGGAAGTAAGCTGCTGCAGTTGGTATGCAGCAAATTTGTGATAGATGTCCTTATGTTACTGTCTTAGACAACGATGGCACACGTTCAAGAATATTGTTTACGGGTACGACGAGACCTACAATAATAGAAAACAACATGCGAAGGACCCTTGGGATATGTTCGCGAACGAAGAAAAGAATAGACACATCTACTTTTCTGAGAAGGAAAACGACGTGTTTGGAGAAAATAAGACATGCTCAGAAAACTGGTGCAATTATTGCATACCAAAACGGCAAGTGTATGAATCTTACGGTATCGAGTTTGAGACGCGGGAAGAAAGGGATGCGTTTGAAAATAAAATGGAATGCATGGAGATGATTCTGGAGAACGAATTACGCGATATTCGGCAACAACATATGCGCCTCAAGGAAGAACGGACAAAAACACCTCGTGGGAAAGACAACAAGGGAGGGAAAAGTAAACTTATGAATAAGAAGGCACGTGTCTCCAGAACTGATTCTGGAACCAGATATGATTTCCCAAAGAAACGAGAAGCTCTGGACGACACCGATTTTCTTAGAACAGACGATAATCCTTTGATTGAAGAAGTAAGTCTGGTGAACGAGGTCCAAGATGTGCTTGACCAGATGTGTAACTTAAGCAGAGAACTACAAGATATTGAGAAGATATTAAGCATTGAAGTACGTGAAAGGATACTACATCCAGAGCCACGGTTGATTCAAATCAAAGCTCCTGACGATGAGCTCTCCGAGCAGATGAGAAATGATGGTGGATTTAGGTACTGTAGTTCTGATAGTAGTTTGCAAAGAATCTCATACGATACTTTGCCTCCTCCGTTAGCATTAAATGAGCTTTTAGCAAGGCAACCACAATATGATACGTGATAATGTGAATTTCGATAGAAGAAATTTTAGGTGCAATTTCATTTTAAAGGCTGAATAAAATTTAATCGTTCAAGGTCTTTTCACAAGATCCATTTTTGTTGGATCCAATTCACTTGTGCACGTATGTGGCCTGTATTTTGAATAAAGAAAGTGTTGCATTTGCTTTAATTTGCATTTGCTACTTATACACTGCATTATATATTTATACACTGCATTGTATACTTATACACTGCACAAGTTGAAGTCCAAATACAATAAAGACGATAAGTGCACACGACCTTTATTAAATATATTTTCTTCCTTGCTTACATGACTGAAACTTACAATGTGATTTAGCAGAAGATCTCAATAGCTCATATAACAATAAAATTATAGTATAGGCTATCAAGCTATATAGATAGAATATTTTGATAAAAATCATAACGAATGCAAGTACGATATTTGCTTTAAAAGAAGTCTACTGAAGTTGGTCTTCTACGTAGTTGTAATGAAGTGTTATTATTTGTCTTGCTTGATGAATTTGGTGTCGTCTTCAAAGAGCTTTGTACTGGTTTCTTGTTGGCATCAAATGGGATTATAGGCGATTTGAGACTTCGTCTGTAATCTGTGAATTATAAGACAGCTAACTATATGATGGCATAACATGAGTGACAGGTCACAGGACTATCTCCTATAGAGTCTAGAGAGAAGACATCTTATGAAGAGTGGGTAGCTTGAGGGCCAATTCCTAAGAGGTCATCAGTGAGACTCTCAGTGAGAAAATTTTACCAAAAACGAAATGATCAAGCTCATGGTATATAACTGTAAAAAAGTGTATTGCTAACATAGTTATCCAGGACACTTTACCTCGAGTCGTATGACTTGTATTCTTGGATAGTTCGATGCGAACTTTTTTCGTCTTATCTGAACTTGCCATCTTTCCAGTTGCCTGGGAAGAAGAATAAATCATAGCATACATCAAAACGTTCAAAATAGCAAAAAGGTAAATTGACGTCGTTTGACAATTTGAATCAAATATACATAACGTGTGTGGAAATACTTAGTTTAGAGGAAATATTCGATGTTCAAGCAGGATAGAAATGGGACTTCGGGAGGAGAGAGAATTGGGTTTGCTGCCGCTTTCGTGAGAAGTCAAACGTCTAAGGCTGAATTATTGCCCAAAGATTTTGTATTATTTGATTGCAATCTTGATTAAAGCTATGATAAATGTGTAGTTAATTTTGTAGCTCAAAAACTATTTATTGTAAACATGGGGCAGGTGTGTTCGCCATCATCAAGAATGCCCATTATAACAAATTGCATAATTTAAAAATCCCATCTTAACAGCAAGCGGTTCTTATTTCATTAAATGTTTCACTGATGAAATATGAATGATTCTAGTGAAAATTGTACTTATTACATAATGTTATCAGCTTCAGCAAGTGAAATTCTTGAGTGAAACTTATTATGACTTTTCCTTATAATACAAATAAACAAAGAGTTGCACAATTCGACATAGGAAGACGAGCGCTATCTGCTCTTGCTATAAAAAGCCCAAGAGCGCAAGATTCTCCGCAATTGCATGCACGGTCACAGAAATTATTACTTGTATGACATATGAAAAAAACCTTGATGATTGCACCCATTTATACCGTATCAGCAAATTTTACATCTATTTAAGTACTATTATTTCAAGTTCCAGTGAAATTAAACGCGATATGAACTGGGATTTCATTAAAAAGACGTTTTTTCTACATATTAATTCTTTTCCTTCATTAACTAGCCTAAGGCTATAGAGGAAGTCATGCTAAAAAATAATCAAGGTTCTCATATTTCACCGACATTTGTTATTCATGCATCAGTCATCACCGCCATTAACGAAGATTGCATATTTGAGAACTATAGTCTGCTTAAGAAGAGACCGAGACAGGCGAGACTGGCGAAAGAACACCAGATGTACAGGTATATAAATAAAGTGAATGTTTGTGTGTATACATATCGTGATTTAAAGGAACTTGTTCGGGAAGATTCAGATGTTTCTATATTATGATTACGCAATATACCATTGAAGAGAAATTAGTCCAAAGGTCAAGATAAATTGCATGACAATTCGTTATAATTATAACTTATACTGGCAGTGACTCCGTAATCAACTCTAAAATAATCGAAATAGATATCGCTATAGCTATAAGCTTTACTACCTTAGTTTTTACTACCTTAGTATAAGCGTTCAAATTGCTTCTCAAAAAATAGAAGACTCAATTTATTTATTCTGGTGCAGATAACACGTCGTCGTTCAACTTGATCTTTGCAAGTCCATGCAATTAGTCAACTTGACCCGAGGTTTCGTTCACAAAACCAAAGTTGCACAAAATTAATCCATCTCAAAGCTACTCAAACGTTAAACTAATGACGTCTGTGGATTTAACATCAGACGTCTTAGGAATTAGGATTTAGTTTACAATGTCTTTCTTTCGTTTACCAATAGGATCAAACAAGACCTTACCAGCTGTTAAAATTTTGAACGATAATGCATAAAAGCATAATTTTTAATATTGTACTATATAGTACACTATTGTATCTTATACATTCTAATCCTCATGCAGGACTGTATTTATAGGCTAGTACATGCACGGAAGAATAAACTGGGTAGAAATCACAGAATAGATTGATTTTTTTTAGTTTCATGATTAAGTTCAGGTAAGTGATGGTTCACGTTGTGCCTAAAGCACACTATAATTACACGCGTCATATATATATTAATTACTATTCTAATATTTTAAATGACTGTGATGCATGCAATTTTATCGAATGAGATAACTTCCAAGACAAACAGAATAAAAACAAAGACTCTTAATAGTCAACCATAGCAGCATGCATACATGAAATTGTCTGCTTCCAGCGACGTGAACAATATTGTAGGAAACATTATCGCTGTAAAAACTCTGGTTACATCTGTTTGACGGTTTCACCTTGTATAGGAACTATAAGAAAGTTACACTAGAGCAGGAATGGAGGGGTTTAAGAAGATGAGTTACTGACTCTCGAAGGTATTTATACACGTGCTCCAATTTTGTGCGGAAATGAAATTCACTAGCGTGTGGTCAACGTTTTGTAGTGTGCTGACTTGTATTGTATGTACCAAATGTGATAAACTAAAAACGTTCAACTATAACATCGTCCGGGAGATGACTGGCTGAAGAGTCTGTGTCATAAGATCGAACTATATATGCCAATCCACTCAATTTTTTATTATCACTCATATCTTTTTATTTTTATAACTTTTATTAATAATAACTTCTATTTCACATCCTCAACAATTTCAAAATCAATGAAAGATCAATTTTTATATGGATATTAATATATATGGATATATTTTCAGTGGTTTTGTGACGCATGTAACATGCATATACACACATGCACAATCATGTATATTGCCTTTTGAATACAATCCTTCAAAACAATCATTCAATCTACGTAAGCATTCCTGGCATTCCCAGCTTAATATTTATTTGAGTAGCTGAAAACATTTTATTGTTGAACTTTATCCAAACATTGTAAAAGAAGTTCTTAAAGGTGATAAAAAATTGTTTGCGCGGTTCGGTTTGCTAACTATTTTTGCCATTTGCCACTATACTGAAAACGAATAAAATATCCAGCAGATTATCAACTGCATGTGTAATATGAACAGTCAATAAAAGAAACATTCAAATCTGCACTGGGCAATGTTGATATATTTTATATATAGTTAAAACCGCCAGGCAATGATTTATTGAAAATGCATGCAATATAGTCAATCGTGATAATGGCTACAATATATAAGAAAAAGTAACTCACAATACACTCTATAGTATATAGTACTGATAGTCATTGATATATGACGTCAAAGCCATTGTAGCTACATTTCAAGGTGCCGCTGCTTATCAGGTCATAAAATGATGAAATTTATTTTCAAATTTGCACCGCAGGGTATATATAGCGGACTTTATAGCTAGCGTTTATGATGTAAATTGAAATTATATTTACATATACCCATGTTTTGACAAGTGCTCGCGATCACGCAATCTCAGTTTTATGACAAAATTTCACATTTCTCTGGCAAATACCACGCGTTAAGAACGTAAAATCTTAGGACAGAAATCGCGCCGTGTGCGCCTGCCTTCACTATTCTCCAACGAATTAAAGTGTGAGTGATGTTTGTATGATATTGCTATATATTGTAGAAGCGGGAAGCGGGATCGATCAGCGCGCATCTTTAGCTAAACGCTATACGCTATAGCTAAAGGCTAGCTAAATGCTTGCGGGGCGGCAGTTCTTATACACCGTGAATCCATTAATATTATCAAATGCAAACATATTGATTGCACAAATAACAGGGGCCGGTTGTGCGAAAGATGGATAGCGTATATATGTAGACATATATATATATATGTCCACCGGATAGTGATTTTTTTCAGCCTTTCCAAAAATGCTTGAAAAGCAATAAAATTTATAGAGAGAATCCTCAATTTACGAATACTAAGGTCTAATAAAAGTTTTAGCCAAACAACGGACGATTTTATAAAGCGATTGAAAAATGCACTATCCGACAGTTTTTGCCACGAAAAAGAAAACGCCCATATTATTCTTTATATACTGAAAAGGAGTATAAATAACATTTGAATTTGCTTTAGTCTAGAAGAATAAAAGACTCGACTTATTGGGTTGCAGAGATCCCGCTGTTTCAGGCTAAATTTCTTCAACTTTATCTCAGAATTTCGTTCATCGAACTAGAGTTGCAACAAATTAATCCATCTCAACCGTTGTCCCGTGAGTGTGCCATGTCTTCGAATGTAACAAACGTCACAAGATCACAAAAATATTTCACAATGGCTTGGTTCCGTTTACCAATAGAGGAAGGCGATACCATTCCAGCTGTTGAAGTCTTGAACGACATATTGATCATAACGGGCATAATATTGAATATTGTACTGCTGTGGATGATATGGAAAAATCCAGAAAAGAAACCACGAAATAGCAGAGCGCTGTTGTTGGCCAATCTTTGCATCGTAAATCTCGTAGTTACGATTTTTGGAGTTATCTGCAGCATCGAAACCAAACTCCAATCCGATCGGATCTGTTCGTATAAATCTGGGGCTATTCTAACATCCCTAGTCTTCCCCAAGTACTATGCAAGCGTTTTTCTTCTAACACTGACACAGTATGCCTTGATTGTTAAACCGTTTAAATTTCAATCAATAGATCCGCGAAGAAATACGACGACCATTGCTTTTATATTTGCATCAACTGGTTTGTGGTTGCTACAGTGATGATAATCGCTCCTAACTTCGTTGACGATTTTGATGAATATTTGAAAGTAATGGTTCTGTTGCTCGTCTGTTTATTCTGGATAATGACTGTAGTCATTGCATACATGTACATACGCACCTTATACACGCTTTGGAAAAGAAGCGATACTCTTAAAGAAAGGTTAAATGTTTCAGAAACACAGCAAGGAAGTGTAATCATTACTCAAAACATCCACTTAGCAAAAACAATGTTCTTCTTCATAATGAGCGTAGTTCTCTCCACCCTGATATCAAATACTGCGTATCTGTTTCTCCTATATTGTAAGGAATGTGATCAAGATACTGTAGCGAAGGTGTGCCTGTATACAATGCCGTTGTTCATGGCCATACCAGCCATCATACTTCCAATGAATTGGATAATAGGAACACCACAGTACTGGAAAGAATTTAAGAAACGAGTTTGCAAACTAGCAATATGCCACCGTGTTGGAGACATTGAAACTATACAGTCGCCCAAAAATTAACTATTTTATTAATTAAAAAAACTGAAATGCTTAATGACATGCATAGCTCTCGTCAACTAGGCTGTCAGGTCTTCCAGAGAAAATTGATCTGAACTGGGCGAGGTTTAAATCCGGAAGAAACGTTTCATAACGCGAGTTACGCTTTACGGTTACTGCAGAAAGAGCAGCAAGAGGTGTGACAATAGGTGATGAAGTCCTCCTAGTTTATTCCAAACTGTTTCTGATTGTCGGATAGATATAACTATTTCAGTGTGTAATGTATAAATAATATAAATAAAATGCTTCATGGGTAACTTTCTGTTAAGAATCCTATTGGGGGAAATTTTCATTGCGACAATGTTAAAACTTCTGGAGCCGGTTGTACGAATGGTGGATAGCGCTATCCACGGATAGTGGTTTTTTTTCAATCGCTCTAAAATTACTCGTTGTTTGGCCTAGATTAATAAACCTTGATATTCTTAAGTTGGGGGTTCTTTTTCAAAACTGTCGGCTCCAAATCTGTAATTTCATTGCTTTTCAGGCATGTTTAAAACGGTTGAAAAAATCACAATCCGGTGGATAGCGCTATCCGCCTTTCGTACAACCTGCCCCTTGACCTGCATGTAATGACGAGAACTCCTATAAAATAGACTTCGTATTAATTGTATATTACTCTAATTACAAATGTTTGATAGTGATGCGCAGATTGTTAAATGACGCAGTTTTGCGGTCATTACCATTTAATTATCCGGTCTAATACTTTCTGAGTTAATATTTAATGAGAAAACCTTTGTTTTAACTTTATTTTAACTGTGACAAAACGGTCTTCTTGCATAAGCATATGAAACGTGATAGAAACAAAATGCACTGTTCTGACAAAGCAGGTGACATCGGTTTAAAGATTTAACTATACAGAAACTAAGAACATTATACTATCACAGGATGAAGGTTTAGGAAGATGAATTGCTGAATAAGAGGTATAGAACAACGTATCTTTTGGTCGCAATACTGGCAACTATATGGCCTACTGATTATTGTATGTATAATTTTATGTATATAGTTTTGACATTGACATAACTATTCCCTTATTTCTAATATTTCACCCAAACGTTCCAATATAACCACGGAGCAGCGTGACAGCGTGTTCAAACAAAAATAGACAAAAATTCACCTCGAACTTTCGACCCTAGAGTCTTCGTCAGGAATGCTAGTATGACTAAAGTCGAAACGTCGAGAAGTATTTCAGCCACGGGCAATCAAAACAAAACCCCAAACTAACATGATAAATGTACACTATATCATAAAATCCTAAACAATAAAATATTCTAGAATAAAATTGAACTGTGAATTGAAAGATCAATACTATGCCTACTTCCCCTGCGGGCCCATTTCCGGGCAAATATAGCAAGCTCCCTAACGTCTGCGGAAGAGGTAGATATTATGGTACTATTTATAGATTCTCGTCATATTTCCCTCGTTTCCCCCAGATCGTGATTACGTTTCTACGTGTTTTCGCTTAATTGTGAGTAATTTAGTATATTTGTTTGAACAAATATATATTGTTGTTGCTAAGTTTAGTCACCACAACATTGCATGATAACTGTCCTGGTGTTTTATAAACTGCATGTGGTATATTCAAAATATAACCAATATTCAAAAAGAAGGAACAAAAAAACAACAAAAGCGCCTAAACAGCCTCGGGCAATACGGATAGTCCTGTCATAAAATTTTAAAATGTAAATTTGAGCTAGTATATCCCGTGATTGGTGAATCCTTTAAAGTATGGAATATGTATAAACTTTACAGAAGGATGCATATATACCTACATAAATGTTCACGATTGTATGATTTCATCAGTCTATATAATGTACGTATAACATGAGTTCTTATTCAAGAACAGTGGGTTCTTTTCACGTCCCCTGCGCCTTTCTTCAGGACCCTGATTTCGATGTTGAATGAAATTGAGACAAAGCAAAGCGCCATCATAATCATATTTTCACTGATGTAACTACATTAATAATATTATATATAAATCTCTGTATCAATTTTGTTTATAATAGCCTTCTTGGATTGCTTGACAGTTTCCTATGGTCTATATTTGTTGCTAATTGCCTATTTGAAGTTTACTGGATGAATAACGGAACTCGGCTAATTCGGTGGTGGAGATCAGATGCTACCGATCCAAATCCTTGATTACGACGTTTCGTTGTTTTGTATCACTGTCAGTGTCATTAATCCATCATAACTGCAAGTTACCCATGCAATGTCTCTAAATTCAACAAACATCTCAGGTTTCCAAGGATATTTTGCACTTTCTTGGTTTCTTTTACCAATAAAGCCAGAGGAAAACACTCAAGTTATTCTGGTTTTAAAAGATATATTAATCATAACTGGCATAATACTGAATATTGTGCTACTGTGGATGATATGGAGAAACCCAGGTAAAAAACCACGCAATAGCAGAGCGCTGTTGTTGGCAAATCTTAGCATCGTTAATCTTATCGCAACTATCTTCGGTCTTATCTGCAGCATCGAGGATAAAATCAAATCCTACAGGATCTGTACTTTCAAAGCTGGTGCCATTGCAATATCCTTAGTCTTACCCAAGTACTATCCAAGCGTGCTTCTTCTAACACTGATACAATATGCATTGATTGTTAAACCGTTGGAATTCAAAACAATAGATCCCCGAAAAATTAGAACGACGAAAATTTTCATCTGCATTCACTGGATAGTGGTAACTACAGTGATGATAATACTTCCTATCTTGACTGACGATTTTAATAAGTATTTGAAAGTAATTGTCATGTTACTCGTGTTGTTATCCTGGATATCGACTACAGCCATTGCATACATGTGCGTACGCACCTTATATACGCTTTGGAAAAGGAACGACAATCTTAGAAAAAGGTTCAATGCATCAGCAACACAGCAAGGGCTTGTAGTCATTGGTCAAAACATGCGCTTGGCAAGAACAACGTTTTTCTTCATAGTGACCTTGTTTTTTTTCACCCTAATATCAAATACAGCGTATATGTTTCTTCTATATTGTCCAGAATGTGATAAACGTGTTTTGGTGAAAGTGTGTTTTTACACAATACCAATGTTTCTTGCCGTGCCAGCCATGCTTCCAATCAATTGGTTAATCGGAACGCCACAGTATTGGAATGAAGTTAAGAAACAGATTCGTAAACTATTAGTATATTTTGGTTGTGTGGGTGACAATCAAAACTAAACTAATCGCTTGAATTAAACTTTAACGTGCAGCAAGACAGTGACGCACAGGTTCAAAATGGAGGAATGAAGGATAATAACCCGAACAGATAGTCGAACGATTGCAAGTTTAATGCAAATTTCATCAATCAATCCGCCTGGGAAACCTATATCAGGCTATTCAATATATAAATTTAGACTACGGCATTGTTTTATAACCCTAATTTTGTCATCCTCGTATGTAATAAAACGTGCACTTGTTGGGATCTCAAAAATAGTCTGAACCATATAATTTCTCATGGTGCTAAAACCATTACCATGCATAAAGAATCAATTACTTGCGCCCACAATATAAAATATATAGACATGCATGATTGTGTAGTCCAACGCCACCCGACCGATTTATCGGCTCCAAATCTGTAAATTCATTGCTTTTCAGGCATGTTTAAAACGGTTGAAAAAATCACAATCCGGTGGATAGCTCTATCCACCTTTCGTGCAACCTGCCCCTGGCCTGCATGTAATGACGAGAACTCCTATAATTAGACTTCGTATTAATTGTATATTACTCTAATTACAAATGTTTGATAGTGATACGCAGATTGTCAAATGACGCAGTTTTGCGTTCATTACCATTTAATTATCCGGTCTAATACTTTCCGAGTTGATATTTAATGAAAACAAAGAATTTAATGAAAACAAAGAATTTTAACTGTGACATGATGGTCTTCTTGCATGCATAAGCGTACGAAACGTGATAGAAACAAAATTCATGCACTGTTCTGACATACCAGGTGACATCGGTTTAAAGATTTAACTATACAGAAACTAAGAACATTATACTATCAAAGGATGAAGGTTTAGGAAGATGAACTGCTGAATAAAAGGTATCGCAATACTGGCAACTATGGCCTACTGATTCGGTTTATTGTATATGTAATTTTATGTATATAGTTTTGACATGACATAACTATTCCCCTATTTCTAATATTTCACCCAAACGTTCCAATATAACCAAGGAGCATGCAGGGTGACAGCGTCTATTCAAACAAAAATAGACAAAAATTCTTCTCGAACTTTCGACCATAGAGCCTTCGTCAGGAATGCTAGTATGACTAAAGTCGAACGTCGAGAAGTATTTCAGCCGCGGGCGAACAAACCAAAACCCAAACTAACATGCGTGATAAATGAACACTATCATAAAATCCTAAACGATAAAATATTTTAGAATAAAATTGAAAGATCAATATTATGCCTACCTCCCCCGCGGGCCTATTTCCGGGCAAATATGGCGGGCTCCCTAGCGCCTGCGGAGGAGGTAGATATTATGATACTATTATAGATTTCCGTCATATTTCCCTCGTTTCCCACAAATCGTGATTACGTTTCTAAGTGTTTGTGAGTAATTTAGTTAATTTGTTTGAACAAATATTGTTGTTGCTAAGTTTAGTCACCACAACATTGCATGATAACTGTCCTGATGTTTTATAAACTGCATGTGGTATATTCAGAATACAACCAATGTTCAAAAGAAGGAACAAAAAAACAACAAAAGCGCCTAAACAGCCTCGGGTAATACGGACAGTCCTGTCATAAAATTTAAAAACAATTTTAAAATGTAAATTTGATCTAGTATATCCCGTGATTGGTGAATCCTTGAAAGTATGGAATATGTATAAACTTTACAGACGGTTGCATATATACCTACATAAGTGTTCACGATTGTGTAATTCTCAGGAGTGGGTGCATTTGCATGAATAAAGGACAAAAATTTCATCAGTCTATATAATGTACGTACAACAGTGAGTTCTTATTCAAGAACATTGGGTTCTTTTCATTTCACGTCCCCTGCGCCTTTCTTCAGTACCCTGATTTCGATGTTGAATGAAATTGAGACATCGAAAGAGCTAAACCACTAATAACCCCCCCCCCCGAACAGAACCGGTCGGACTATTTTTGCCGCGTAAAGAGCAAAGCGTCATCATAATTTCACTGATGTAACTACATTAAAAATATTATATATAATTTTGTTTATATATAGCCTTCTTGGATTGCTTGACAGTTTCCTATGGTACTCGACTTATTGGGTGGTGGAGATCAGATGCTACCGATCCAAATCCTTGTTAACAAAGTTTCGTTGTTTCGTATCACTGTCAGTGTCATTAATCATAACTGCAAGTTACCCATGCAATGTCTCCAAATTCAACAAACATTTCAGGTTTCCAAGAATATTTCGCACTTGCTTGGTTTCTTTTACCAATAGAGCCAGACGAAAACACTCAAGTTATTCTGGTTTTAAACGATATAACAACCATAACTGGCATAATACTGAATATTGTGCTACTGTGGATGATATGGAAAAACCCAGGTAAAAAACCACGCAATAGCAGAGCGCTGTTGTTGGCAAATCTTAGCATCGTTAATCTTATCGCAACTATCTTCGGTCTTATCTGCGGCATCGAGGATAAAATCAAATCCTACAGGATCTGTACTTTCAAAGCTGGGGCCATTGCAACATCCTTAGTCTTACCCAAGTACTATCCAAGCGTGCTTCTTCTAACACTGATACAATATTCATTGATTGTTAAACCGTTGGAATTCCAAACAATAGATCCCAGAAAAATTAGAACGACGAGAATTTTCATCTGCATTCACTGGATAGTGGTAACTACAGTGATGATAATACTTCCTATCTTCACTGACGATTTTGATAAGTATTTGAAAGTAATTGTCGTGTTACTCGTGTGCTTATCCTGGATATCGACCACAGCCATTGCATACATGTGCATATGCACCTTATATACGCTTTGGAAAAGGAACGACAATCTTAGAAAAAGGTTCAATGCATCAGCAACACAGCAAGGGCTTGTAATCATTGGACAAAACATGCGCTTGGCAAGAACAACGTTTTTCTTCATAGTGACCTTGTTTTTTTTCACCCTAATATCAAATACAGCGTATATGTTTCTTCTATATTGTCCAGAATGTGATAAACGTGTTTTGGTGAAAGTGTGTCTTTACACAATACCAATGTTTCTTGCCGTGCCAGCCATGCTTCCAATCAATTGGTTAATCGGAACGCCACAGTATTGGAATGAAGTTAAGAAACAGATTCGTAAACTATTAGTATATTTTGGTTGTGTGGGTGACAATCAAAACTAAACTAATCGCTTGAATTAAACTTTAACGTGCAGCAAGACAGTGACGCACAGGTTCAAAATGGAGGAATGAAGGATAATAACCCGAACAGATAGTCGAACGATCATTGCAAGTTTAGTGTAAATTTCATCAATCAATCCGCCTGGGAAACCTATATCACGCTATTCAATATATATATTTAGACTACTGCATTGTTTTATAACCCTAATTTTGTCATCCTCGTATGTAATAAAACGCGCACTTGTTGGGATCTGAAAAATAGCCTGAACCATATAATTTCCCATCGTGCTAAAACCATTACCATGCATAAACAATCAATTACTTGCGCTCACAATATAAAAATAATAGACATGCATGATTGTGTAGTCTAACGCCACCCGACCGATTTATCAGTCCGAGGCTTTCTATTCCCAATTTGGGAATATTTGACATCATAGCTATACACTTCAGAACTTTTGTTTCTATATGAAATTAACCTTTTCCTTAATTTACCTCATAAACCATTTATTGGAGATGGAAACCTTGTTTTTGTAAGCAACCTCCTTCGCCCTAGTCTTGTATTATTTATATTTTACAAAACTTCTGATTTCAGAGGGCACGAAAGAACGTTTGTATAGCATGCAGTTCATTCTCGTTACTGAATAACAGAAAAAAATATTTGATACTCTTCGATTTCTCTATCGTTAATCAATTTTAAACAATCGAGAATATTTCCTGTTTTGTAGTTTTACACATAATAGACCTTTTCAGCTTGTATGCAAGTTTTATTGGCTATTCCATGGTCACAACATCTGAAATGGGTTAATTTGCATGCAAGCTGAAAAGGTCTACTGGTCTATTCGAACGCATTAATGAATTTATAAATAGCATCATATTCCACTGTATAAAGTTCAATTTTTGTACTTACCAATTGTTTTCTTTCCTTCTTTGTTTTTGGTTCAGTGGCTACTTTCACTTTCTTTTGCGAGTGGCGAAGAAACATAGCCAGTGGCATTGAATCAGGAGACAAATTACCATCTTCGTTCTTTCTGGTTTCGGTAGTCTCATTGGAGTCATTATCTATAGTATTACCATTAGCCACTACTTGTGTAGCTGCACTTAAACCAGTTCCAACGTCGGATTTCTTATCATCGGTATTCCGAACTATCGAACCAGACTTGATCATTTCAGTTTTGGCAACTTTTCCCGGCGTATAATTTCGAGCTTGTTTCGGGAGTGTACTCAAATACGATCCGTCTAAAGAGTCGGAAGTGTTATCCATAATTTCTAACCAATCTTTATTATTCTCGTTTTCTACTGATTCTTTCTCATTACTGGACTGAGAAACAACAGCTTTTTGGTTGGATTTTCTTTTCTTCTTACTCGATTTACCATTCTCGTGTACTTCCTCACAAGGTTTCTTTTCAAAAGGTGTTTCACGTTTTCTCTTTGATTTGGGTTCAACATTAATCATGTCCGATTTCTGTTCACTTCTCGACTCAAGAACACCCTCACGTTTCTTGCATTTTCTTATCTTCTGCATGGAGCATTCATTTGCAAACTTATCATTTTTCTCATGTATCCTACTATCTTCGTTGACTGCGGTGTTGTCATCGTCTAAAACTTTGTTTTTAATCTCCATTTCTAAATCTGGAGATTTCTGGTTAATTTTCTCTTTTCCACTCTTCTTGTTCTTGACGAGTTCATTGACAGAAGATGTATCCATGTCCGAAATATGAACATTACCTTCCACAGTTTTATTTTGTTTTCGTTTTCCGCCTTTCTTCTTTCTCTTTACGATAACTTCACAATCTACATCCACATCAATGTCCATGGAAGTTGCATCACAGTTACTTAAACTTGCCTCGTCATTTCCGTTACAGTTTCCCTCAGGCTCGCTCGGCGATCCATGTTTGCCGTTCTCTTCAATATCATGGCTTTCACAACAATTTTTCGAGGCTGTTCTAAATTTGTCATTGAAGTGGTATAAAAGCTGTCTGTTTCGTACTGGTATGTCTTTACGGCTGGCCCAAGAGAAAAATTGGTCACTTATCGATACAAAATCCACCTAAAAATATCAACGAAGAAATATTCACAAAAAGTTCAAACTGTGTTCTTCTCGTGCACTCAAATGACAGTTACCAATGGTACTAAAAATGTACAGTATATCAAATATGTGATAGCTGGATGACGGAATTTTTTCTGTGTTTTTTTAAATTACTATATTGCTCACGACTATTTGTTACTTCAGCACTATATATAGGTACAGTAATACATATAGTAAAAAGCAATATCCATGAAATGATTTATTAATTTTTAATTCAATATATGTATTTTTAATGGAAAAATACATATATTGAATTAAAAATTAATAAATCATGTCAAATATAGGTTGTTCACATGCACCATTACATATATATATATATACACTGCAACGTATTGGTAATAACTAACTATAAAGTCAGTACTAAACTTTTACCTTTAAGAAAAAATCCTGTTCCCGATCGTCCGCAACTTTCTGAGACAGCCGAGTAAATATTTCCTCTGCCACAGTTTTCGTGATAACTTTGCTATTTAATAGACATATTATAAGTATAAGATTTTAGCTTGTTAAATGCAAGTAACATCTTGGAGCAAACGTTTTACAGAAACTTGAAAAAGGCAATACACAAACTGTTCTAAAAACAGACTTGTAAAAATTTCTTTGCAAACTTGGTTTAGTTGTTCTTTACTCGTGAAACTTGTGCGAAATTACATTTTAAATTCACTAGTCTACCTGTATCTACTGCGGGTAGTATCTACTAGTCTGCCTGTGTTAGGCTACCCAAAGGCAACAGCAATTACTACCTTACGGCAAACTATACACATCTCGATTACATAGTTTGTGCTACATATAAAACTTGAAAAGACGTCTGGATCATAAACATATAGAAGCTAACATTGGATATTTGATATTTATGCCTTGGCCTTGGAGATTCGTGTTAACACATGCAGGATAAAGTTGACCTGCTTTCGAAGTGCCAGCCCATGATAAATTTACGTGTATCTACGGTGCATCTATATAGTATTCCTTACTTCGTCGAAGTGGCGAGTAGTTTAATGAAAGGTTGTAGTAGTTGAGAAATAGCGGAACTTGGAATCTTTATGAAGAAAAAAGATCAACTTTAATGTATGATTTAAGACCAGTGCTACATACAGTACATTAATAAATCAAAGAAACATCGGTCAACTAAAATAAGTTCTTTATCTTTACGGTGTACTGTAATATCGTTGATTTTATCATACAAAATATAACACATAAAATCTGTTTTGAAAGTAAAGCAACCAAACTGGCTCTTCTTAATTCACACTGTGTTTATCTCCACACTACATTGTAGCTACAACAAAAGTTTGCCATCTGTTTGCCATCATTTGACAATGGTGCATCCCATCTTCCGCAATGGATCTACCTCAATGAGTGCCCTAGATTTTACCTCTATCTAATTTTTACCTCATTGTGCCCCCTTTTCAACACTTCATGATTGCAAAACAGAGCAGCCGACCCCTACCACCTTTGATTGCAAAATTAACATTGAAACACAGTACCTGGTTAGTTGAACATTTCAAAAGTTCCTCAATAAACACTTGTATGATATGAATCTTTACACCATCAGGACACTATATTGGCAAGTCAAAAATATCAGTGGTCATCAAAATCATGTGTGTGTGCATGAACTGTGAACATAGTGAGATTTATATTTCAAACAAATACTGAGGGAGGCTTAAGTAGGCAGAAATTAGGAAGTATCGTATAAATTATATTTTATATATTAAGGGCATGGGAGAAAGATGAGCTGGCAGGGCCCTTAGAATTTCACACTTTTGTGTGAAAACCAAATGAAGTTATGCAAAAGCCAAAAATTGACATAACAAACAAATATGGAAAAAAATGTATATAAAATGTGTATAAACAAATTCAGAACAGCACGGTGTTCTAAATAAATCTGTTCAATGAAGCTGGATAAGACATTTGCTTATTTGTTGATTATAGATTGCTGTAGTGTTAGGGAAAATATGTTAAACTGCAAATATCAATTTATCTGGTCAAAATGATTTGTATAATAGACCACTTCCCAAGTATGTACTTACATATTCACTAGAAGATAATGGTCCATCTTCCAACATTTTATTGACAGACTCTATAGTCCTAGCAGAAAAAAGATTAATGTTAAATGGCAATATATTTAGGCCTGGTATATTCATTTTAAAGTAAATTTGCATGTATATTGAAATTTCAACCAATTTATGTTTTGCTGTGCAAAGGAAAAATCACTGTACCGGTATCCATGCAATCACAGTGAAAACTGCCAGACTGCTGAACACGTCAAAATTTTTAATAAAAAAATACTTTCATAAACACATACTCATTGTTCCAAGCATTGTTCTTCAGAAACACAAAAGTCTGGTACACAAATTTTCGAATTAACTACAAAAAATAGTTTTTATTATATCAGTAAACTCAACACTAACAGTTGGTTTTGTAGCTGAAAAAGGTTTATGAGCAAAATTATATGCACACTTACAGAATTGTTCTCTAGATTCTTATTGCAGTTTAATTAACTAATTTCTTACCAGATAAAATTTATCCAATCGCAATCGATCTATTCCATGCCATTCTCTGCAAATTGTTTTATAGAAGCCATCAATATACTCCAAACCTGAATATAAATAATTACAAACAGAAAGGTTTATTGATATAAAAAAAATCAGAATAATTATTGAAGAGAGAATTTTACAATTTTACTGGTCTTGTGGGTGTGAAAGAAGAAATTAATAGCAGGTTCATATTTACAAAAGAGAATCAAGTCCTATTTTAGCTACAAATTAATTCAAAATACAAATTATATTGCATACCTGCAGTAGTTTTTTGAAAGCAGTGGAGAAGCTGGGCAATGTTTTCTGCTAGTTCTTCCTAAAAATAAAGTGTGTATAATTTATAAAAAAGAACAAAAAATTATGTGACTACAGAAGAAATATGGTAGCTACTGTTAACTATTGGCTCAATTACTTCACAAACCAGTTATATACCTGTACACTACGTTTATCAGACATCCACATACAGTAAAAGAGACCCTTCCAAAGTTTCAACATATCACTTTCAGAAAGACCTATAAAAAATTGTTTCACCATACTTTTATAATTTTTCTACCCAGCAAATTATATAAGAATTTTTGAGAAGGATCTTACATATTATTACGTATGTAATGATAATTTTCTTAATGATAAACTTTTTGCTTGATCAACTTTTTTCTTTAGGGGCACCATTTGAATGAATGCGGGCAAAACCTTTTTATTAAAGCAATCAAGCTCTTGAATAGCATGCAAAGGGGTACACATTACCCAGTCAAAGTTGACATAGTTTCTTGTAATTTGTATGGAATTCAATTGGCTTTGAAAATGTATCATTATAGTATGTATATCAGTGTATCTCAGTATTAGTATATGTATATAAAACTATGTATCAAAAAAACTGTATGAAATTAACATACAATCAAACAACCGAACCTGATGATGTCGAGTGCCGCGTTGATATCCAAATCTTTAACTTCTTTACAGCTTTGTCTCGAACAGTTTTTTCATTGCTAGCGAGTTTTTTTGCAAAATACGTCTCTGCACCACCAGAAACTTGCCTTGCTGGGGCGGCCATATTTAAACACGTGGAATAAATACATTACACAGTAACACAAAGTAAGCTCAATGAACACACCGCTGAACATTTCCAGATGTTTTATTTTGTGATTAAAAGCGAAAGCGAGGCTAAGCCGCTGATTCATTGTTTCCATTCATTACAAATCGAAAAGATCGAAAAGTTTCAACATGTTGGATTTGTTTACAATATTTTCGAAAGGAGGGATTGTTCTTTGGTGTTTTCAGGGCACTTGCCAGTCATTCACTTTACCTGTGAATGAGCTGATCAAAAGTGTTATACTTCAGGTACGGTGTTTACACTCGTTTTATATACCTTATATTAATTAGTACATTGGTTGATAATAAACTTGATGGTTTAATACCCTGATGTAAGATAATTAGATTGCATATGTATGAATAAAATCCTCGTCGCATTTTAATAATATTTCAAAATGTGTTAATGTGTCATATGATATAATATATCTCAGTGGCGGGTTAATATACATTTACCCATTTATATAATCGAATTCACGATTTTCACATTTGTACCACAGGAACGTGGAGGTGGTAATTCATTTACTCATGGCTCGTTGGCTTTGAAATACAAGTTGGATAATGAGTTTGAACTTGTGTTTGTTGTAAGTGTGCGATTTGTTTATAAAATCAATCAATAATATAATATCATTCCTTGCAAATTGATGACGATGTGACTCTCATCAAGTAAAATTATGCATAAATATTGACATTTTGAGAATATATGTATTCTCTGAAGACAGCTTGATATTCCATTACCACAATCACCTGGCCACCATGGTCCATTGTGGTTAAGCAGTTAATTTAGTCTCTCATGGTAATGTCATACCACTTGTGAACCAATGAACTATATGTATACATAATAATATAGTATACTATGTGCATTTGGTGAAAAGTAAATCCTCCAAATAATTTAAATTTTTGTTCCTTACTGGAAAATGTTATTATCCATTATCCATGACTCAACAAAAACTAAGATTGCATCCAGTTCTGTATCTCTGCTTCAGTGATAGACTATGCTCTATTTTATTAATTTTCCAGGTTGCCTATCAGAAGAACCTTCAGTTATCCTACATTGATAAACTCCTTACTGATATACAACTTGTGTTTCGTGATAAATACAAAGATGATTTAGAAAAGGGAGAAATAAGAAATTTTGAGTTTCAAGAAAATTTCAATTCTATCTTGAAAGAACTGGAAAACTCTGCAAAGCTGGAGTCGAAAGCACCAAAGAAAATGAGAACCTTTGAAGAATCAAAAAAATCCCAAAAAACTGTTGCTTCCATGAAAATTGACCCAAAGAAAGAGGAAGCTAAAACTGACAAAAGTAAAGGCAAAACAGGTATACATGAATATATTCATCTTTATTTATAGATTATAATCCATTTTACGTACTGTATTTTATATATTTTTTCATGTACTACAACAGAGGCCAGTGCCAAAAAGACTGCTACTGCTGATGTTAGTCCCAAAGCAGTTTCCAGCACTCTGACCGAAGGAAATGAAGATAACACTGATGAAATGATACAAAAGAACAGAGAAAGAATGATGAAGAAAATGTCTGCCAAAAGTCCTAAAACAACTTCTACAGGGTTTGTATGCTACTTTGTCTAGTTACTGTACTAGTTCAATTACAAGTATGCATGCATGCAATATAGATGAATGAGAGAAATTTATACAGATGAATGAGAGAGTTTGAGAAAATGTTTTTAAATAGTTTTTGTGCCAATTATACATTTGGATGGAAATCTAGCTTGGAGCATGTCTAACCTTACTGTTCATCAATCACATCATTCGGACAGTTTTTGAGTGTTACTGCATTTACTAGAAAAGGCTCACCATCAATGAAGAAAGAACGCAAGAAAGAAGCGCGTGTTTGGGAAAATGGTGGTACTAAGAAAGAAGCAACAACTTTAGATTACAGTGGTGCAAATGGTGAGGATGCTTTTAGCGCAAGGAAGGATGAGACAGAAGAAGTGGAAAATATGGTACAGTGTGTGATTTAACAACTTTACATTTTAAAATTTTTTGTATTATTCTGATATTATTTTGAGCATTGTGGTAACAGAAATATATTTATTGATTTCTAACAGAGATCATTTGTTGGTACAATGGGTGGTGAACTTAAACCAATGGATTATGAAACTGATTCTGATGAAGATCTTGATCTCCAGGAAAATGGTCTAGAAAATGATAATCAATCATCCAGGTACTGGTGCTGTACATTAATTGAAATTATGGCTATAGTACAACACAAAGCGTAACTATGTATATATAAATACTAATTAGTTTGTTTTGTAATAGTAATCAAAAGAGCAAGGAATCTGGTGGTGTGTTTGCTTGGTTTAAAGGACTTGCAAGCCAGAAAACTTTGACAAAAGAATCTGTTGAACCAGTTTTAGAGAAAATGAGAGAGCACTTGATTGGTTAGTTGATCTATCCACTGTACATATTGGTTGAACTTTGTTCCTTTGTCAATATTTTTCGTAACTGTCCAGCAAACGTTTGGCATTTTTATTTCAGCGAAGAACGTTGCCTCTGATATCGCTGAAAAACTGTGCAACAGCGTGGCTACAAAGCTTGAAGGCAAAGTTTTAGGGACATTTTCAAGTAAGTGTTCCTGAACAACAGGTATTCCGATCGAGGCAAGACTTTCAATGCCTTAAAATAATAAATGAATAAGGTTGAACTGAAACTTTACTACACACTTCCCACCACATTTACTTGAAATTAGCCTAATATGTCCATAAATTGTACATGACCAGAAATTGACCTACAGCTAATGACGTACAGTATGGTTATCTTTTATAAAGTAACAAACTTTCTTTTAGTTCTTTTCTCTGATTTTTTTCCAAGGTGTATCGTCCACGGTCAAGTCGGGATTGGAAGAATCACTTGTACAGATCTTATCTCCACGCCGTCGTGTTGATATTCTACGTGACGCAATGGCCGCTCAGCGACGTGGCCGCCCATACTCCATCACGTTCTGCGGAGTAAACGGTGTCGGCAAGTCCACTAACCTTGCCAAAGTAAGCTGCTGACGCGCTGGAATATGAAACTAACGGCTTACATTTGTTAGTTGGCAAAAAATAATTAAAACAATACATATCACCGACACTGAGCAAAATAATATTTATCACTTTCCTGAACGTCCCCCCTCCCTTCAGGTCGCCAATAAAAGTATTCACGCCCCTCTTTCCATTTTCGAAAGTAGGAACTCGCACCAACTGAAGTCTCCTTCGAGCCAGCCTTTATAGAGTTGGGCACTGTTTACTGCATATTACACGTTTCTGTGCCTTATAATATACAGTATTCAGTTAATAATGAGGGATAACGGGTGATAAGGAGGATTATTTAACAATTAGTCGCCGAAGGCGAGGTGATTACAAGCTTATATTCACTGAGCCGAAGGCGAAGTGAATATAGACTTGTAATCACCGAGCCTGAGGCGACTAATTGTTTTAGTATAATTTCAGTATTGAAAAAGTTTTATTTATAAATACAACTGATACACGTGTTTATTTTATGAATATAATTTTGATTTTGAGTATTTTCAGCCATGTTTTTTTGGGGAAAAGCAATAGTTACTGCTCAAACTGCTCTGAGCAGTAACTATTGCCTCAGAGTTACTGCTGAGGGAGCCAATCAGAATGCTCAAAGGCCATTTTTCAATACTGAAAATATACTAAATATTTATATTCATTATGTACTTCGTAGATTTGTTTCTGGTTGTTGGAAAACAAACTTCGTGTGATGATAGCCGCGGGTGATACATTCCGTGCTGGTGCTGTTGAACAACTCAGAACGCATGTCCGAAAACTAAACTCACTTCATCCACCTGAAAAAACTAACGGATTGCCATCCGTCATGCTTTATGAACGAGGTTATGGAAAAGATGCTGCATCCATTGCGATGGATGCGATTAATTTTGGTAAGTACATGTATACCGCACCACATGCAGGTGTAAGACCTTCACAACTTTACACAAACCAAATCGCTTGGTTCCAGTGTCTAACATTACTACCCCCTCAACTTCCAAAGTCATGTGAAAAAGGGCGCTTTTTTAAAAGAAAGTGCTCTGTTTGCATACGTGACATTGCTATATGGTATGCTCTGAAAGATATACGAGCTTCATCTGAATAAAAATAGAAAAACATTATATCAGTTCTGCAGGATACCAGTATGCATACAATTTTTCTGTTGTTCTTCAGCTCGCGAGCAACGTTTTGATATCGTATTAATTGACACAGCTGGCCGTATGCAGGACAACGAGCCGCTGATGAGATCTTTATCAAAGGTACCACAGGTTTACTTGATATGCATGCGCACATATCATCTGGCTAAGTTCTAAAATCCTGCGACTGCATCACCTCGTTTTCGTTTTTCATTCCAGCTTATCCGAATCAATGATCCAGACTTGATCTTGTTTGTCGGAGAAGCTTTGGTGGGAAATGAAGCTGTCGATCAGCTTAGTAAATTCAACCAAGCTTTAGCGGACTTTTCTTCCCAAGAAAATCCGCGGTTGATCGATGGTATCCTGCTTACAAAATTTGATACTATTGATGACAAGGTATGGTGCTTGACTTATCTATCGATAGCCTCCTACGGCATGTAATAGCGTCATTAAAACATGTTCTTAGATGTTCTGTGGGTAAAAATGTTTATTATACTGTTACAGAGTAGCAACCCTATTATACGTTTAATTATGAAATGAGTGAATGTTGATATCATTATTGGTGTATAATATACAAATAATGAATGTTTATGAGTGCAATGGCATCTTTCACCAAGTGAAAATATTTTTACCATTGCACGAATGAAAACATTCATTATTTGTTTTATATAATACCAAAATAGACTGTCTCATTTCAAAAATAGAATTTATTAAAAAACATACTGTATGGATCAACAACCATATGTGCGAGAAGCATTTTGATGGATGGTATTTACTGAAAGCATTAAGAGTGCAATGGAACAAAATGTATAGTACTATTGCACTCTGGAGAGTGCAATGGAACGCTTTCCATTGCACTCTTGGGAAATGGGGCTTTCTATTCAATATCACGTGATCGTCATCAACCAATTAAACGCTCTAAATTTAATGGGGTGTTATATAATAGAGATTATCCTATAATAGGGCGCACTACTGGATTCGTTACTTATATACTGTTTTTTAACTTTTTGATTTTAGGTTGGTGCCGCCATATCTATGACATACACAACAGGACAGCCAATTGTATTTGTTGGTACTGGCCAAACCTATACTGACCTACGAAATTTGAATGCAAAAGCTGTTGTACACGCATTACTAAAGGCCTAATAAGCTATTCTCTTTTGCTTTATATCAAAAATACTCTAGGGCTGTTGTGTTCTGTTTATGTAGAGCTATTAATATATTTATTATAACAGATCTTGAAGACTTTGTTGGTTTGGGTATCATGAAAGCAATGTCATAGGTTAGAATTGTGATAGTTTATAGTTTGTACTATGATCATATGCGAATATATATTTAATAATAAAGAATTAAAATGATGGGGTTTTTAGCTGCCTTGTTGTACGGATCTATGCTTATTAAGCCCGCGTGGAAGTCGCCCGCCCGCGGTGTTGATGTTGCATGCAAAAACGGAATTTTGTTATGCCTTTCGACAGGAACCTCACTTTTGCACGCCACTTAAACTTCAAAGGCCTTTGGATGACGATATTAGAGTTGATATAGAATTAACTAAAAGCGATAAGTTCTCTTTGCCAGCGTAAAAATTGATCAACCTCAAGGTTGGACATCGCTGTGACTCCATCCACGAGGACGATATACACGACTTACACCACGTTGCAATATACGTAGGATCAGAATGCTATGCACATCCCTGCCGTTCGGTAGATTGGCATGTAGTTCGCTATCTGTGACTAACCTCCCATATCATTCTGCGACCGTCATATTATCCACGCGGATATTTAATCAGAAGATTGCAGTATGTTCTGGTGAATAATAGTCGTCCACTTTAATCCTTCTCTTTTCCTTGTTGTTTTCAATAACCTCAAGAACAATCCTCGCTGTTGCCACGGTTTGATCTTCGCCATAATCATATTTCACTGCCACATTTAAAGCACATCCACTGCTTATCATGTCCTGTTCGTGTGCTGCTGCAATCTGATTAACTATTTTTCTTTCAACCTGAAACATTAAGTTGCGATGCATGTTATTAGCATCCAATGAGGAACAGAGGAAACCTGCGACCATGTTATATTAGCCCCAAAGAAAGCTGAAATGTTCGAAGGAGCCAGAACGTCTGCTTATACTTTAAAGGCAATTATTCAACTGATTTATTAGGTTTAATTTTTATAGCTTTCAATTAAAAAACTAATTAGCATTTACGTATATTCGACGTTATCATTTGACGCATGCGTGCATGCAGTCATCCCAGAAACTACCTCGTGTTTTATTGATCTTGCTCCATAGTACACGTCATAACCATCTGTCATGCAAGCTAGAACTTCTTTATCCCAGGACAAGGTAATGTCATGACGTTCTAATGCCTGAAACAGAATTCGTTATATTCTCGGTAAGATTCACAACTCTATTAAGACATCTAAAAGAAAAATACTACAGTATAGATGGTTTTCGTCCGCTGTATTAGTGCAAGTCCGAAAGGAAAGTTCATAAATTTAAGATCCCGAAGTTGGACTTGAAGTTACGCCAACACGTCAAACACGAATTGCTTACCCGTTTGCTCCAGTACTGCATCTCTTTTTCAACGAGTTTCAACAACTCGCTGTGTGAAAATGGAAGGAAATATACGATTTCATTAATTCGACCAAGAAACTCGTCTCTTCTAAAATGAAACTATGTATAGAGAAAGATATAAAGTAATTAGATTCAATGTTGATGCATTCTGATATTCAGGATGTTTAAAGATATTTTATCGTGATCGTCCAAGCGCGAGCATGGTGTAAACAGTGATTCTAAATACCTTTAGAATTGGTTGGACAACGTTTTCCTTAAATTTCCTTGAAATTTCGACGTGTTCAGAGGACAAATCAATCTCAGATTTTCCGTCTAGAATTGTATATTAAAAAAGATTGTTGGTTTGTACATTTTTTATTAGAAGAAGAATTTTCAAGTTCAGCAAATAACAAACAAAACGACGAGTTTAGTACAAAACTCATCTACTTAAATACCTGCACTTTTTGCTTCTCGTTCTTCGATCATTTCACGAGCCTCTTTACGAAGTTTCAGGCCATGTTTAGCGATTTCATTGCTTGCCAGATTTGAAGTCATCACAAAAATGGCATCCTTGCATTCGATCGTTTCACCCTGGCCATCCGTCAGCCTTCCCTGTCGTGTACAAGAAAGTGGTTAATAATAAATAGTTCTGCGATAAATGAGGTAGGAATTAAGGTACTGCTACAACCTTCCTACCGCGGGTAGTCATTAAATAAATCGACATTTTTTGTTGTCTGTTAAAACATGTACATATAGATCGAGTTTTAGTTAGTATGTAGTAAAATCGCTACAGTATAGAAATCTTCTACAAAGTCGCAAAAACCTATTTACATGCAACAATAAAGATATGTTGAATGAATTAGCTATAACCTTTTACTAAGTTGCAGAGAACTTTAGAACTGATGGCCAGCAAGAATGACAGGAAGAATGAGTGACACCACAGCTAGAATATATAGTTCAGTGGACCAGCCCGTAATTTAGAAGGATTTAAACAATAGTGCTTCGATTCTAAAATTAAAACCTTTCAAGGAAATCAAACCTCGTCGAACAACTGCAGCATGACTGTAAGTACATCAGGATGAGCCTTATCAACCTAAAATATGAATGAATCAATCCACTGGTTGGTTAGTAAGTCTGCTTACAGTAATGCAGATGAATTTGTTAACACGCCAGCGTCAACCAACCAATCACTCAGTAGATAAATAGAAAAATGACGGCCCATCAACGACAATGTCAAAAATTCAGTCAATAATGTCAGCAATAAATTTATTTACCTCGTCAAAGAGAACAACAGCATTCGGACATTCCTTTAAAGCTTTCGTAAGTTGACCTCCTTGATCATGACCGATGTAGCCAGGAGGGGAGCCAATCATCTTTGCCACCTTTAAAGCACGAAAAGCGAAATATACACAAGTTTACCTATTATATTTTAAGGCAAACTATAAGTGAAAAAAGTAAAGCAACGATCTTTTTTGGTGTTCCTCTATATTCACCCCATAATCCTTTAGTAATTATTTCAACTGTACTTAAAATGTAGATGACCATATATTATAATTGCCTCCCCCCCCCCAACAAGAAGTAGAAAGTATAGAAAGTATCCAGTCATTTAGCTACCTCGTGTTTTTCCTGAAACTCGGACATATCCAGTCTGATGAAGCCCTGATAAAATATTCAACAAGAGAGATGAATCATCTTATGTCGTAAACACTCAGAAAATAAGTTCTGGCAGACGGTTGGATTTCGCGATTGTTTGGCAAGCTGTTATGGTTTCACTTTTGGGCATTTAACGTCAACTATTCTCCATTATCTCTTTTCTAACACATTTCAATGATTGGCAGATAACTTTTAAAAATTTTAGAAATTATTAATAAAAGTACTGAAAAAAATAGTTTTCTACAAAAAGAGAAAGGACTAGGACTAGTTATCAGAGAAAGATTCATTCCTCGGTTGAAACAAAAAACTTAATATGTCCTAAAACTTAATATTGAAATATACTCTATTTAGGTTTCAAATTTACGTCAAAGCTACACTATAGTTATTATAAGTAAACATAATCACAAAATTTGGACTAATTTCATGAGGAATAACAAAAGACATAATCGATTAAATACTGCAGAATGGATTTCTATTTTGACAACCCTTCTATAAGAGCTGATTAGCTAAAATATGAGGGCGAGATCACTTGGTAGCTGAGCACATTTCGACATTATAAGTGCCTATAATAGGTTTGCTCAATACAGTCGCGCCTGCGGCTAAATTTCCATAACAATACAACGAGCATTAACGGTTACACCGCGAGGAGATCGCCCGCTCTGTAGGCTAACATGAAAAATCAATTACAGCGAGGTTACAGATGGCTTTTCATACATAGTCGGCGGAATATTCCTTCATCAAAGGCAAAGCTTCAAATAAACGTAATAATGATTGAAACATATTTTACTCGGTGGTTTCAAAATGATGTAAAAGCGTCTTCCAAAGTGAAAAAAAGATTGCAAATACTCATCTTTTAGCACTAATATAAAATCTACCTGAATTCGAAATCTCCTATCGACATCTATATATGCGATCAATCCTTTAAGGCTAAAACCTTAGTTATATATAATATATAGACGTCCAAATTGATCCAGTCAATATAATATTATTAATATTTTAGTAAAGTCGATTCATGAGAGTTCAATTTCGTTTTTTGCTAATCTGTGCCCTGAACAATGCATACAAGAATACGATTGTTTGGTTAATAATGTAAAAACATTGAAGATTCAGCAGAAAATTACATCGGATTTTTCATCGGATATCTTCAAGACATACTATAAACGGTCTTCAACGAGTTTTTCCTTTAACAATTGAGCTGGGAATCCGTTTAGTCGCGGTGAAGACAATTAAACTGAGAATAACGACTATTCTAAATCTTAACAATGCAACTTATATACGTTTAATTGTTCATCGCGAGGTCCAGTCTTTACATACTGAGGCGGAATTCCGCAATGAATTTTTTATTCGGCGCCAAGCGACCAATCACAGAGCGAGTTTTGAAGATGAAATTATAATTATATCGTGCATGATATCTTCATTCTTCAAACATGGCATTTTTCACGCCAGTACATCGCATCCGTGGAGCAGAGAATTTCACGAGCCCTATGGCTGTGTTCTTGTACAGGATTTGCAAATACCTGTTACACTGCTGTTATATATCTAAATACTAACTTCAAATGTACTGAAGCGGCATGTCATTCCGGTTATAAAAGTACCTGTAGAAACAATTTACTAAATACGGTAAACGAAAATGAGGGACTGAATACTTATTACCGTTGTATATTAGCACTTTACATTAGCTGTATATAAACACGTCGATAATATTATGCGTCAATCATTTGTCGATATGAACGAGCTTTCCTGCCATCATGTTTGATTAACGAGCGAATTTCTTTGCGTTAGTTTTTAATTCTTTTCAGTTCACAGGGCGTCACTGCTTATCGGCGTCGACACTTTTGCGGACAAACAAGATTTAATGTTTTGCACTTCGAAATGCGAAAAAGCCAAATCCATTTTATCTTTAACCGAGGAAATCAATTATGCACTGCTTGGAAGACCTTACAATGACAAGCTGTTAAAAGATTTATGTACATGCCTGACCATGTCAAGCCTTCACACAGCATGGATGAACCGTCGCACGTAATTACAAGCCATGACTCAATTAATTTTTAACGACTTTTAACATAAACGCGCGTGTTTCTCGCTAGGAAATTAAGACAATGCACTCGCCTCGCTCGAGATATGAACGAAACGGACAATATGAAGTGACTAAACGTACGGGAGTCTCTTGTCTATGGGTCTTCGGATGAAAGAGCCGAATGCGGTTGCCTCAAAAACACGTGTCAATTAGGAGAAAGATGAGTTTATTATACTAAGTTTGACCGCAAAGAATTCATAATGGCCACCTCTTATTCATGTTATTTAAAATAGAGATATTGATTTTTAAAGTAGTTCACAAATATGAACTAAGTTCTCGGGACGCACACAAAATATCGCGCGGATGGATCAAATGGGGTTTCAGAAGAACATCATTGAATGTCATTTTGATAAAACTGCTTCCACAGAAGCAGTATAGGCATTCGAACAGCATGATGCCGCGTAATCTTTAGTGCTTACGATTAATGAATAATTAGCTGTACATAACATAATCAAGGTTATCGCATACATAAATAAGTCAAAAGGACTTGTTTCGGGCAGGTGTATTGCAGCTATTAAAACAAAATCCCTGCAGAACATTTGAACCAGAGGACACGAGTGATCGACGCCGACAGCATATGTGCCGATACTTTCTGGGGCTTTTCATATAGAAGACGAAGGAACGAAAGACCGCCTTTTCTGATCTATACAGAGGAACGATAACTCATCATGGTTTTCGAAATTGGTGTGCGAGCAGCATCGATAATCCCAAAGGGCGTTGTTTTTGGAAGTCTACCGCCGCGTCTTATAAAGTCTCAGAACAACAAGAGCTTGGAAGATCAGAAGATCGGGTTTGTCGAGGTAAGTCGATTGGTAACATGCCTCGTCATAAGATTAAGAAGCGACAAAAGGAGACATTGAACCGTTCTGGGAGTTAGGACTAAACATCGTTCCCGGAAACATGTATAATTGAGATTCTTTTTGGTTATGCTAGCCTGAGAGTAAACGAGTATAAGTAACTGATATGAATTGAAAATCGTATCAATAGAAGTAATAGAAATAAAATCCATCACTGGATAATCTACTGAGTGAGTAGTCGTAATTCCGCCCCACGAGTGTTCGTTCAAATATGCAAGAGAGATAATTGCATATATATTAATAAGCAATAAATATAAATGAAATTATACTTTTTTGATCATTTCCCCATGAACAGTGTTTTCGTCGCGTCTCTGCAGTATTAAATAGTCGTACTGTGAATTTTGCACCCGTGTTTCGTGGACGCGTTGCCGTTGAGTACGAGATATAGCTATAGTGATTGGGCATGCATGGGGATATACATATGCGTTGCCATAAAGTGAAGTATAACAACTCTATATAATAAACCACATCATATTTTCGTGCTTGATGCATTTTGCGATAGAACTAACACCTTAATTGTTGATCGGAGCCCATAAAGTTAAAACATTTTAGTACTTTCATAATATTTAGTTTTCAAAAGTCATTACTTTCTTATACATATGATAAATAGGCACGCAAACAGTTCATTGCATGGGGGCAATTAAAACTATACAATAATGAATATAGCTGTGTAAGAATGGTACGGACTGGACGAATGAATTTAAATATTGGTTGCATGAAACTATACAATTTAACGAAATCAAAAGCCGTAACCGAAATACGAAACCGCGGTAGTCAGAACTTGTAATTCAAGAATTCAGTTTACTATACGAAAAACTAAAAAAGTGAGCGTGTTTTTGTTCACTAACGATTGAGGTATAGAGCTAACAACATTATGTTTACAAAATAGAATCCAAAACTGTGAAAAAAATGAGGAATACTCATAAATTATATATTTTTCTAAAAGATGACGAATAACAAAAAGATGTGTTGATCTTTTAAAAATGTGACTTAATTGTGAAATCTTTAAAATTTACAAAACTAAACTCGACTTCGACTCGACAAGAGCTCGAGAGCCCTCGTCAGGAAAGTTGAAAGATGAGATTTGAGACAACACATTGCATGCGAATGAGGCAAAAGACATTTTTTATTTTAGCCTGAGACGTTTTTTATTTTATCCCGCAAAATGTAATATCGGTATACGCCAGTTAAATTATCGTTTTTGACCCAAAAAATATCCTCACAACACAACAACACGAAAGGATAAGATTAATAAAGATTATTACTATCAGTTTGTAGGTACACCACGTATACATTTACTGCAGTGATAAATATACGTGGTGTACCTACAAACTGATAACTATATAGTTTAAGTTATACAGAAACTGTTTTAAAAATTTCTTATCATAGCTTCAAGTTATATATTCTCATTTGAAATTTATGTGCCATGACTAAAAACATAATGCATGAGGAATGAGGTTTAAAAGTCTGTATAAGATATAGTCATGAAAATGCCATTGTTGTATGCCATGTTATTATACTAGGTAAAAATGGTTTTGGGTCAAAAAGGCTCTAGTTACGGTTAAGACAAAGGCGCAAGCATCCTTAATTTGTGAATGACAATTTACACAGCATTTAATCTAACTGGATTACTTTTGCTGGTATGGCCAGGGACTGCATGACCCAGTCAACAACGAACGCCCGTGATGCAGCCGGACAGCAACGTCAAGTTGTGCATCAGTGCACCACTAGGATAGGCTTCATTTAATATGCAGTTTAATTTTATTAAACGGCAACTCTCTTTTAGGTGGAGTACAAAGAAGAACAATTAGTTTGCCAATATGGTCAACAATTCAACTGGTTAAAATACATCGGCAGTTCAAATGATAAAAACAAAGCAAATATTAAAGGATTCATCAACGAGAATGGCGAGATTTCATTTGATACTTATCGCGAGATTGAAATTGGAGAAGAGATTTTATACACATTTGAAAGAGAACGCTGGGAGGATAAGGAACAAAATGACAAGGACGGTACGTGAGCATTAAAATACCCTATCCTAACATCTCGAACTATTTCAACCACGCATGATATCGTTTACCAGGGTCTCAACATCATCATCTCTCTGTATTAAAACCGTGAATTATCCATTCAGGTCATGGCGAAAGCATGAAAAATGATAACAAAGAGCAACCTCAAAACCATCTGAGATTCAAGTTGGATCGCTTTGACGGTGAGAACAAAGAAGAATACAAGAAGAATCTTGGTGAAGTAATGCCGACGCCACTTCGTCTGGGCTGCACGTCAAAGGAGGATAACATAGACAATTGGTTGGTTCGAGGTGTTTACACTGAAAATAAAAACACGGCCAATGTCCACGTCCAGGAAGAAACACGACCGAGAATATGGGATTCCACTGAGTGTGCGCACAACTCCCGTTATTACCCCGAAATATATCACCACGGCAGAATGGAACTAACCAATGGTAAGACAGCATTTTACTCAGGCGATGATTTAAACTGGTACCGTCGTCCGATAGCCATCACACGTCCACTTGGCTGCACTTGCTCCTGGCCGCCAGCGTACATGCCTTCAAACAAACATCACGACTATCCAAGGTACAGGGAGACGTATCTGGAACCGCCACACTCGTTACGCTCCAGCGAATGTCATACGAGAAGAAACGAACCCCAGGCAAGTCTGCAGGGAATGTTGAAAGAAAGAAGCAGCCAAAGAGAGGAATCGCGGGCGATGATAGCGGGAAACTCTCGAGATGACTACAAACAACACTCTGAAAGACCGATAGAGAGGACATTAGACATTGGACAACTCTCGCCTAGAAGCAAAGATAATCAGACAAAAGAGATTGTACAAACGTTCGGGATAAACCGCGAAACTCAAGATGAGGTTAGCCGGGAAGAAGATGAACGCAAAGGAGCTGAAAATATTAACAGTCCTGCAATAACGTTTACACAAGACACAACCCCGAACACCACCAAACAACCTGGTCTACAAGAACAACAGGAAGACATCAAAGACGAACCTGGAAACAGCTCTGGATCCTCCTTGACCGCTACAGAAGACAAACCTCCCAGCGAGCAGTCAAAAAACGGTTCTCGTTTTGTATGCGATTACTGCGGGAAATCTTACTGTCGACGGTACGTTTTGAAAATCCACATGCGCACACATACGGGACACAAACCACTCCGCTGTACAGTATGTTGGAAATCATTTGGTGATCCAAGCAACTTGAAGAAGCATATTCGATCACATGCGAGGAAGAATGCCATTTATACATGTGAACATTGCGGCCGAGGCTCGTTTTATCGATTGTGTGATCTGGTGAGGCACATTAAGTTTCGACATAGACTGGCTAACGCAGAGAAGTGGACGGCCGACGCTGCTGCTGCTGCTGATGATAAAAAATCGTGAATTCCCGAGTTCCTTGCCCGTAGTGCATATAGCTACTCAGGTGTAAGCAGTGAACTTTTAACTTGCCCATTGCAACACAGCCACGTATGCAACACAAAGAACGCTATTTTACTATAATTAAGGAAGATAAAGCTAATTCAAACCGCGTCGCATTTTGTAGCTAATTACCGAAAAAATTGAAAACATTTGACAAGCCATTTCGGCCGATTATCTGTAAATGCGTTCGGCACAATGCTTAAAAAGCCCTTGGTATTCAATAAACTAAAGGGATATAGCTATTTCAGTTCCTAAACATATTAGATTCAAAGATTGTAAAGATCAATTTTACAATGGAGAAATGAAATAAAAATTAATGGCGTGGTATATTTTAAAAATGTAAATAGTAAATAATTGGTCAATTCAGTTAGAAGAGACATATCTCATGATTTTTAATAATGATATTATTGATGCTTAAATTGTTCTCGCGCGCGAAAGGCATTAACACTAAGAGGTTATGTTTTCAGCTCTGTTTGTTTGTTTCTCCTTCTGGGGAAGAATATCTTAGAAAATTGTGAACAAATTTTCTCGAACGGCTTTACAAATATCTCAAGAAGTGGTTAAACTCAGTTTCAACCTGGACATTTACAAAAACGTTCGTTATCTGCCCCAGCAGAAACTACTAACTAACTGACTAACTAATAAACTAACTCACTAACTAATAAACTAACTCACTAACTAATAAACCGATTCTGTTATAGTTCGTAATGCGTTCCTGTATCCGTAAACTGCATCCGTAATTATATCAAGAATGACCTACCTTTTTATTATCCTTATGAAGATATTTGGCAACTTGTTTTGCAAGTTCTGTTTTTCCTATCAAAGAGTAAATTGAAAAATCACTTAGACAGTAGTTCGTAAAAATTTTTCGTTAAAAACAGTGAAAAATGATAGAAAAGCGATGGATATATTAAATGGGATATATCATGGATATTTACATTGAAAAGTTTTCCCAAAATTGAAACCTAAGCTCTAAAAATTACCCAACAAATTCCCACATGCAGTAAGTCTCCAAGCATTTTGCATGATACCGAGTGTTCACTTGAAATTTTAGCAAATAGGGCATTTTGTGATGATCTATCTATTTTTCTGTACGCAATTTGGCACATGTAAAAAACGAGGCATGAAAATGGCCTAGAGGTGATTCCGTTATTGCTAATTATTAAAGCGACGATCACGGAAGTACCTATTCCAGACGAGCCGAGAAAGAGAAACACAAGCGGATGGTCTTCGTCATACCAGCCATTTTCCCGTCTTCTAATTGCTAAGAAAGCGAAAGCAGAAACATCACACACAGCAGTAGTTCTACACAATATATAAATGCAGAAATAGATCTTATATATAAAATGTCTGCGTTGTCTATAACCCTTTATTTAATATCTAGTATAGTCAGCTCTGTGGCGTAGTTTGCGACCAAGGCATGCCTCTGATTGGCAACAAGCGCCACTTGTGCCTCGCTCAAATTAGGACAGAAATTACGACAACCATGCATGCATCTTCTCGTAATGATGGCGTTTCGCTAATATATACTCGGTTAATCTGGTAACCTTGTATGCAAGGAATATTGTGTTGACATTGTGTTGAGATGCAAAATATAAGTTGTTGGTTTAAAGTAATTAAGTGTTATCGTTAGGTCACACAAAGAAACGTAAGAACGACAACGTTTTAGAAAAAAATACTTTTGAGTTACTTAAAACAGAAGTGATTGACCATTTGATTTAATACGCATGATTAAGAGATGTATCTTTGTTGGGTTTGACTATTGCATTAAGTTGATTTAAAACAGTTTAATTGTGGCACGTTGAAATGGACAGAATGTACGTAGAACAGAGGAGAGGACTTGTTTAGAAGCTTACTTTAAACAAACCTGATGAAACTACTGCAATAGCGCCTTCTTGGCCAATTATCGCTTCCTTTATCCTCTTCTCTAAAGGATATTTCCTTCTTTCATCAGTTTCTCGTTTGCGCTTCCTCTGTATAAACTAAATAGAATATCAAAGACCATCAAGTTAAAGTCTAGTGTGTGCCCCAGATCCCAGTCCATACCAGGGAAAGTATGTGGGAATGTAGCTACTTTCAGTGGTGTGGACTGGGGAAGGCCAGTTAAAATCAGAGAAAACCAAATTGTAGAAATAATATGACTATTTCAGTGTGTTAAGTGTTTAGTCTTTAACCGATACATGTGGTGCTTATGGTTGAAATCATGTTTACACGTGTACAGCAGATGTACAACACACTCTTCTCACGTGAATGTTCTCTATCCTGTGATTCTAATCTTACGTCTTCTTTGTTTGCTTTAATCAACTTTTTTATGCTTTCGTTTTCTGTATATTCCTCTGCAGTGTGACCACTGTCGTCTTTCAAGGTTGGATCAGCTCCTATAATTTGATATCATATTTTTCCTAGATATACATATGGATTCTGGATATACAAAATGTTTTGTTTGTTCATACAATACAGAAACCGGCATCATCTGAAAGGAAAAATTTTTCTAACGCAATGCAATATTCGCGAAATATTACCTTCTTGCAGAAGGAGCTTAACCCCCTCGTAGCTGTCAATGAGACTGGCATAATGCAAAGGGGTAAATCCACAAAAATTGGCATTCTTGTTTAATCGATGAGAAAATTCATCTTCACGGATCATTATCACTGAAGAAAGATCAGAAGTATTTAACGTAAATTTTGACAAGATTTTATTTATTTTAAAGTTGCCAATAAACTTACCGTCCATGACTCTCATTTTCTTTTTTCCAGCAGTTTTAAAAGGTGTAGAATATTCATCTTTCATATTTGGATCAGCACCAGCTTGCAACAGTAGTTTCATTGCCCTAGACGGAGTTGAGATAATATAGGTCTTGACTATTATTAAACCTTGTTTACACAGGAGCTACAGGGTACCCATGGTGTGCACGCCATGTTTAGGTTCATACTGTGATATCGGCCAAGTTGGTGGAGGAATTAATGTGCACACCTATCCTTGCAGATCATCCTGGATTCACTCCAGGTATCACAATATAGAGATACTCAAGACAATGATTGTATGAAGCAAGTTTTCTTAGTGTGTGTTTCAAGCTATTTTTTTACTGTCAGTTGTATCTCGATTCTCGATCATCATTTTCATGACTTCAATCAAAGTAAAATGGCTTTGTTAAGTGAAATATTTGTGTGGAAGATCATTAGCTGGAGGTATTAATCCGGCACACACCATTTCGGACTAAATTACCACTGGTACCTTACGCTGTCGTTCATTGCAGCTACATGTAGTGCGGTCCATCCTAAAGAATGTGTTTCATTAACATCACATCCACCTTCTGATAACAATCTACATCCAAATCCATATATAAAATAAGACATGATGGTGTATACATAAAAACTAGATAATCACAGGGGGAGAGGTTCACAACACTTTGCTGACAATGTGAAGAGATTTTTAGCTAAAGTAGCTACCATTATGCAGAATTTATTAACGGAAATTCATACACCTGATTCCAGATTATAGATGTTCTCTCAATCGTTTTCTTTTTAAACAATCAAACTATTTACAGTTTACAGCATTGGCTGTATTGCCTTATATACAAGGTTCGAATTAACGGGTAGCGAATAGCGATTCGCTATCCATTTTTTGCGTTTCGCTATTCAATTTGTTATACCGCCAGACACGCGAAAAATTTATAGTTTAACATCAAAACAATTATTTCGTGAGCTTAGCACTTAGCAGGATAAAAGTCGGGATAACTGGAAAGAATTGGAAGGAAAGATGTTTTTACAACCATTTTGTCTTAGCACAAACCAGACATTTTCACACGTTTGTTTTATACGTTTGTAATATGAAGTTTGCGGTTTGAAACGGAAGTCAATGGTGAAGAGTATGCTATATTCTCAAAAATACGGGTTATAGATTGACATCACGCGAGATTATAACCTGCATTTTTGCGTTGCCTATGATTAAAATAGAGAGCCCAATGTCATATTTTGATGCATGTTGTATCAATTTTAATTTAAAACATTAAATCAAATGATAAAAGAGCGACAATCACTTCCATTTGGCTGAGATTATGACAATCTTTCAAAATCCAATTTGCAATATTTCCATAAATAGCGACGTTGCAAGTTCAAGTAAATACAAGATAAATAAAAAATAAGTTTAAATCACTTAGTAGATATTCGCTATTCACTTTTTATTGCATAAGGGAAACAGGCAGAAAATCGCTATCCACTTTTAAAAATTTAATTCGAACCCTGCTTATATATACACATGATTGCTACTGTGCACAATTGAATACTTACGTACTGTTCTAGTTCTTTGCTTCGATTTTCTTTGGCGAAATGGCATAAATTTTCAGACTGGCCTGCAACAGAATGTACATATTTAATTAATATATAATATGAATGAGATCAAGGTCAATGCTATTATAATGGGGTGCTGCTACAAAAGGAATCAACCATCTAGAGCTGAATGTATGAAACCCCCCTGCCCCTTGGGTCACATACATCCCTGCATGAGAGTTCTGGTAGATATTATTAGTATGCATGGGAACTGCTACTTATTTGCTATCAGTTTTAGCTGGCTTCAATTCCATTTTTTGGTGGAAACCTGGGTTTTAATTCTAAAGTAATGCTTATAGCTATGTTCTTTTACACACTAAAATATTTACCAAGGTGGAGATGTGAAGGTTATCTACAGCTATAATTCTGTTGAAAGGAAGTGCTTGATAAAACATACCATAATATGTCATCTTAAATTTAATACTACAATGTGCATGAATACATGATGCTTTATGATTGGTGCTATTTGTGACATGTTTTAAAGATCATTCAACCTTTCATACAATATGAAACCTTAGTTTATCATTTGGTATATCATTTCGTATTAATCATATATGCATAAAAATAAATGAAATATTACAACATATCTAATTACCACGTCCCGAAGAGTAACACCATACCACAGAACCGACTACTGCACTTGCTAAACCTGCTTTTAGTGTTAGTTGTTTTGAAACACTGCTACGTGCACGACTTGAAAGATGAGCATTATATACTCTGCTTCTTATTTGAGTAAGATATGGAGTTAAACCGTAAAATGACCGCGAGATAAGTTGGAAAGAAGTTCGCCACTTTCCCAACATTCCGGCCATCTCCTTGGACCTTCGTCGACGTCGATTCTACAATCTGCATCTTCCCCCCCCCTAAATATAACCAGAATAATAGCTATTGCCGGGGTGTGGCAATTTATGTCTTCTCTTCTCAGCAAGATAGAAAATTATTGTTAAAAGGATAAAAAGTCCTCATAATAACATGGATAAGACATCCACGGATAAGACATCCACGGATAAGTTTAGGTATATTTTTTAAATCTGTAGGTTATTTGCTGTTTTAATACTATGACTATATATATATTGTGTTTTATTGGCTAACTTATGTGCCCAACCTATAAAAGATGCTTTTATAACTATGTATATTGTCAGAATTCTAGAAAGGTTTACCCCATTGTTACATAGACAGCTCTCCCTCTCCAATAAAAGTTAATGAATATACCTAGTCATGGCTGAATTAACAATATGGTAGCCACATGCACCAACTTGACTTCCACTTTAACTCATGCAGTTGTATTTTTTAGCACTAGGGACCTAAAATTACATTAAAAAAGGGTCGTTGGAGTTCATTGCTGTGAAAAAGTGCCAAAAGAACTAGAATGGCAATTTCAAATATAGCTAATGGTTATATATTCCAGTGTTTGCAACTTTGTATCATTTTATATGTTACAACCAGTGCCATAGCTGTGCCATAGCTAAGCAAATTTATCTCTAATAAGATGACTTAACTGGTGAACATTTGGAAAGTAAATTTTTTGCTGTCCAGACACCAAATAACATTCAGACCTATATAATGGACTGCTTCCATAATAGACACACTTTTAATATCGGCAACAAAAAGGAAATTTCTGAAAAGGGCATACTAAACTTAGGTAAATTAATTGCCAAATTTGGCTGTGAAATATTATAAAGTACTGAAAATATAGCAAAGCCAAGTTGGCAAATTTTGTATCCCTTTTGTAATTTGTATCCTTCCTTACTTAGTTACACACTGTTGCGCCTAAGACAAAAGTATACAAAAAATGCCTACTTTGCATGGCTATATTTTCCATACTAAGTACTTGATGTTTTACAGCCAAACATGCAATAATACTTATTTCAGTATATTTTTAGTACACTTAGTACACTCTTCTTCCCAGTGTGCTGTGGTGATTTATTTCTTCTTGATACCAAGATTGTTAGTTTGTCTATTATTATGCTAGCTGATGACTCCATTCCCTTGTAATGCAGAGCAATTTAATATCACAAAACCTCCCAGGTCTGTCTAACAATTACTTACCTGTCCCTTTTACTCTGTATAGCTCAGCTGATATATCTGTACTAAAGAAGCTACTGTTATTTTCTCTTGGAATGTTCATTTTTCCAATAGGAACATTCTTTCTTCTTCAGAAAGGTTTACCTCAAGGTATGATATGGTGGGTATATATATACATATATATGTATATACATATATATGTATGTATATATATGTAGGAAGTGTTGTAATACCTGTTTAGGAAGTGTTGTAATACCTGTAGCTGGCAGTGTTATAGCAGTGCACATCGTAATTGGTGCTTATGTCTGGATGGCTATGCAAGAGAGTGAAGATACCTATAAAGATAACCAGACACCCAAAGAAGACTAATACTGTAAGTTTCAACCTTGAGATTTTTTGAAAACTATAGTAATATAAGTAAATTAATTTGTAGGTACACCACGTAAGTATTTAATACTGCAAAGGTTTTGACCCATTAACCCGGGACTTATTAATGCCGCCCTGCAAACTTACAAGAATATTATATAATAATATAGTTTGTTTGACACAGAAATCAAATCTCAAAACACTTAGCTGACTTTTGCATTTTGTTTTCAAGGAGGGCTAATAAGCTCATAATTATGACTGTGTGCTATGCTGAACACATACCACGTGATGGAAAAAGTAAAACATGTGAATATAAGAGTATTTAACCTATCAAGAATCAATATGGACAAATGAGTGATGTTTGGTTCAATGTTTTTTACGATAATAGGGCCATTTAAACGAGAGAAAATAAGTCGCGTATTAGATAAGAGCTTGGCAGGCTCGTATAAATGGACAGTTCGCGTCTTATTTAAGTTGCGTCTTATTTTTCATCCTATAAATGGCCTTAATATTATAGCACTGTAATAGCAGACTATGTGAGGATGGCGCGAATCGCGATGTTACATCTGGGAGTTAGTCACCCGCAGAGCCTGAATTTATTACCTACTTCATTTACCATAAGGTCACCACTTCCTTATTCTACTACCAAACATGAATTTAGTATTTGTCTAAATAAAAGATTTTTTATGTACTTGTTGAAAAAAAATGTTTTTCATCATTGCACGTAGCTAATGAGAGTAAATAGTTTGTGAGAGCAAATTCCATTGGTGGCATTGGTTAAAATAATGAAGTTCTGACATAATTACAGAAAGTTTATAATTGTATCATATTAATTGAGAAATTTAGATTTTCATGTACTATTCCGGTCTGCAGGTAAGCGTATCGTTATTTTGTTCTTTCGTACTTCACCTGGACGGTGCTTTGTGGTAGACTATAGCTATAAGCTATATGGCTATGGCGTTTGAACAAACATTTATATCATACCTGTACCTGTAAACCGAAAACGTGGAAAGAATAAATGGCTTTAAAACAACATGTAGTAAAAAAACTTGATTATTATTAAAAGTAAAACATTAAAATGGGAGTAAATTATGGATATAAATTTCGGCATATTCGGTCGATGAAGAATGAAGATAAATGTCAAAGGGTTCATTTAAATGTTTCACTGGAAGAGCAACATGTAAAATCGAGTGGAATTTTTATACTTGTAAGAATCAACCCGTCAACCGAAAGCAGTTGAGAAATTTCCACTTTTTCAATTAAATATAGTACCATATTTTGTAAAAAGCTAAATAGTGTCGGGTGTTTGCACACAATATCGCAATATCGTATCCGTGGCGTTCGCCTTCCTTCAGCACTGATTTGAAAGACATAACTGTTATGCAAATTGGCGACAATTTCACAATGCACACCTACGCTAGTTCTCGACCTCGATCCATTACAAACTTAATTAAAGCATGAAAGGAAGCTTGGTAAATCCTAAACGTCGAGCTTGATTTTGATCTCCAACCAGAAACATCAGTATATGTCTTCCAATGTGGGCACAGCCGGCGAATACCCTATATGCGGTATATGCATGATATGTAACCTATATATTGATCAGGATAATCAGACCTCTCTGGCGTTTCTGATAATAGTATATCAGGTCATGTTCTTTAGCCGGTACGTCGGTACCCGAAGAATTATTCTTGCGTTTTCAACTTCGAATAGACTCCAGTATACAATTTCTAGCTATGCCTATGTAACCAAATTACAAATAACACCATATAATACCATCATATTTGTATCAATATCGCTATTTTCGTGGTGTTTTCATTCAGCAATTTGAGTGACAAATGAATGTATAATATGCATGGGTATATTGTTGGCGGCACCTATGCATACTTGCGCTGTCATTGAATTAGGTTTGCAAATACTACTCTAGACAGTTGTCGCATTGGCTAAACGTGATCAAATAAACGCTACTTAATTTGCATTGAAATACTCGAGTTAGCAGTTGTCTCGCCTTTGCCTTTAGCCTTATGAAAAATAACCCCTGCATGGTGTGCCCGTGTAAATAACCCTACCTAACCGCCTTGCCTTAATACTAATTAGCTACGGTAGTGTAAATAGTTTCTTACTTCGATTCTTCTTATATATTGTAGCTTATATATTTTTATCTTTTTTGCACGCAATTCAGCTTCACAGCTGCAATGTCTAATTTTTATAATTATAATAATTATGATAATAATAATAATAATAAACCTAAAACGCGTGTATGCCAAATCAAGTCTTGCTACATAATATCAAACAACCCAGAGGTAGATAAACGTTCAAAGTTGAAGTTGCTCATTGAATACTCTGTTAATTATCAACTCTATCAATTTTTGTTCGAAATTGCATTTTAAATGTGCAGACTTTAATAAGAGTGACCTAAATTTATCATTACCATCGCAAAATATTGGATTTGAAAACCAACATTGATTAGGGGGAGGTGGGTGGAAATGTATGGCAAGATGTATATCAATCATCATATAGTAGATTTTAATTAAAGATAGTAAGGGTCCCAACTACCTTTGGAAATGACCGGCTGCAAATTGTGACACGCAGCAGGTCATTAAAAAGGTTTTGTTGCAAACCTTCGTAAATAGACTATATTGCTATCAAAGAGGCGGAAATTACTTGAAACAATAGTTTGATTTAGAAATTGCTGAGGGAAGATTTTGTTCACTGAATTCTTAGAAGTTGCACAAACAGAGCTATACCTGCATGTGACACACATGCAGGAGGTCATTAAAAAGGTTTTGTTGTAAACCCTCCCTATTCCGTAAATAGACTATATCTATCAGAGGGGCAGGGGTTACCTGAAACAATAGTTTGATTTAGCAATTGCTGAAGGAAGATTTTGTTCACTGAATTCTTATAAGTTGCACAAACCCGAAGTGTTTTATTAATACTTAGAGCTATACCTGCATGTGACACACAGGACGTCAATTTTTTCAAATAAGATCCTGATTTGGATTTGTTGGGGTACATCACTATTCAACATTAAAGGTATATTAATATATAATTATATAATATATTATATATAATATATATTATATATATATTATATATATATATATATATATATATATATACATTTATATCTATTTATAAGATAAAGGGGTTGACACTGGCTATGAAAACGTAAAACAACGTTTATTTACAAGTTAAAAGACGTTTCGGTCAAAAATCTAAGACCTTCGTCGGTTGGTCTTAGATTTTTGACCGAAACGTCTTTTAACTTGTAAATAAACGTTGTTTTACGTTTTTATGCCAGTGTCAACCCCTTTATCTTATGAATATGACTACTCCTGGCTGCAATTTTAGTATTTTCAAATTTATATATATGATCATGTTAAAACTGATTTGATTAAATATAGTCCTATACTATATATGTATATAGCTACTGTTTTTGTAGTAATTTGACAAAATGATGAAAGTCGCACTGCCACTGGCTTCCTTGTTGATACTCATGAATTTTATGGTCATTAATGCTGGTACAAGCTTTGATGCCCAATGGACTAGAACTTGCGAAGGGCCCGGTAAGGGTTTTTTATATACTCCTATAATTTAGTTTATATATTAACGAAAGGTTTGAATGGACTTGATATTGCAGATTATATGTTTGTTCATATTATATGCCAATGGACTTGATATTGCAGATTATAGTGTTTGTTCATATTATATGCCAATGGACTTGATATATTGCGTAAGGTTTTTTTAATCATATAGAGTATTGTTTATATATATTAACGAAAGGTTTATATATTGGTTTATTTATGCCGCATGGACTATAGATTGGACTATAGATTTAAAGGAATTCTCTTTCGAATTCACAATTCTACATGGTTTAATAATCTGATGTATAGCAAGGACCAAGGGCAAGATCTAGATACAGTATTTAAATACACGATTTTTATAATTTTACCATACTTACCAAATTGAATATACTACATGTTGAAATATTAGGCTTTTTGAAAATACTTACATTTACGTTTTCCTTAAAATATTTCTTTTGATACCTTTATACCTATATAAAGAGTATAGAATTTTAATTTTAGTTTCAATACAGGCTAGTTTTTATTTAACAGTCCTGAGGGTGGAATTGAAGTGAGTGCTGTATCAATTTCCTCGTTATATATCTGTAAATTGTAGCTATGTAAATATATAAATACTATATAAAATATACATTGTATGTTCTGATCAGGTGAAACAGCATGCTTTGCTTTAGATTTGATTTTATCGAGAGAATACGAAAAATTATTCGCCATCCCGGAGTACTGACAACCTTTTGCTTCCGGAAAAGTGCCTAGCTGCATGCATGTGCAAGGAAACGACCGACTAAATTCTCATTTCGGTTAGCTAATGCACGAGAATTTGTTGTATTCTTTGCATATATATGACATAGGATTGGCATAGCATTCTACAGAATATAAATTCTCCGGGAGTCTGTGAAAAGATTACTGTGCACTTATTTCCGTTGCTCGCGGCTATTCTTGCTTCAGCTGAAGTCGAACATGAATTAGCCATCTTGCAAACTAACTAAAAGATTTCAGATTTTGCATGGAAACAATTCCAAATTGTCTTATTTTTATTTTATAAACACCCTATATTTGAACTGAAGCGTTTAAGTCTAATTCTATATATACTTTATAGGAAAATCGATATCCGGCATCACTAGTTTTCATAGCAACCACCATGAAGATCGTTCGTGGAGTTTCCAATGCAGACACAACAGAAAAATTACACCTTCATGTGTATGGAGTGGATGGGTGAATTCGTACGATAACGAACTCTTATTTCAATGCCCTTATAAAGGAGTTATCTCAGGTACCTAGAAGTTCAACAAGAAACAACAACAAAAATTTGTTGATGAAGTACATGCATACTTCTCACGGACCGAACGATAATTTGCAGTTACGCGGGGTCGCGTGAGATGTAGGTGTGCGCTGATATTTCGAACTTGACAGAATAGAATTAGCAATCAATGCGTACACTATACAGTATTGCGTGGTCACATACACAGGAGCAACTTTAACCATCTTATGCAGCCTATATACAGATAGATAAATAGTACGTCATGAACAATAATCTGCGTGCAAGACAATTTCAATAGTGTTTGAAGTGTTCCATCAACAAAGCTAAATTTAAGGTTCGTAAATGCGGAAATAAAGTCTTGGTAACAAACTAAATCTGAATTAGCAAATGTACTAAATAAACTCACTTTGGTTTACACGCGCACCAAAGGCAAAGACAACGATTATAGAACTTGGTAGATTATTTGCGCCAGCAGCGTCCAGCGCAAAACAAGTAAATAAAATTTATAGCTACGCCAGTAGCAGTTGTTATCGCAGTGACGTCTATGTTCTAACTAAAGGTGTTTCAGTGCCAATGTGTTTTACTGTACGTATGCTAAAGTGCTAAAGGTGTTTTACTGTAAATATGAGAAAATGTTTACTGAGCCTAAATCACAACGCTGGAAAAGTCAATTGGTATTTTTTGTTCATTTAGGTGTGCACTCCAAGCACAACAATCACCACGAGGACAGATTGTTCGATTTCTTGTGTTGTAGTACCAAGGCAAAGTGGCTAAGTAATTGCCGCTGGACTGGCTATGTCAATACTTGGGATGGTTCTATGAACTACGTCGTTCCCTGGAACTACGTTCTTGTAGGGGCGAAAAGTCATCATAACAATCGGAGAGAGTAAGTCATTTTTATAAAAATTACAATGTACCAAAATTTTCATTATGTCCATGCATGGATATAATTTCACAGTCCTGAACTCGGCTGTATAAAATGCAATGATGGCAGCATTTGCCAGTCAAAACTGAGAATCGCGTACTTGAGTTAAGTGAACTCTCGTATTGTTTCAAGAAATTTTACAAAAAGTTCTCACTGGCCCGGCTTAATACATTGCGCTAGAGAAACTAGATTTATAATTATACACAAGCAATTATATAAGCAATGATACACAAACGCCAACCACATTACTCAAAAACTTTTAAATTATATCTATAAAAGCTACAATATAATAGATTCAATGAATATGTCACGGTTCCATGCAAGCAAAACCCAAACATGCCGGAAAAAAACAAAACACAGACATGCAAAGGCATGTTTTATTGTTGTTTTTTGTATTTTCTTAATAGGGACAGAATTTGGCAATACCGCGTTTGTGAACTGGTCTAATTTCTTACTTCATTCTAACTTTGCACTTTCTTTGCTTGTCATTACTGGAGCATGATAACTCACTGATTTTTTAATAATTTCAATAAACTTGTAATCACTTTCACCTTAGTTAATAACAACACAAGAATAACAAAATAAAGCATTTTAAATGTACATTAGTTCTGCGTGTATTCAATGACGATTAATGATCTTACGTCCATGTTGTTTGGCTTTACCCTCTATATATATTTCACCACATGCATGCAACCATATACTGAAATAGACAGATACGCTTATTCCAGAAATTAAACAAGAAGTAGCAATATAATTGCAGTAGAAATTACCTTTACCCAGGAAGGAACATCTAAACAATTTTTCTCTCGGTTTATGGTTCAATTTTTAGAGGTATAGTAAATTTCAATGAAAATCTTTGCCGTTCCAACTCTCTCGCTTTTCTTTTCACACAATTTTATTCGCGTTTGATAGTCTGTTTGCCAACTCTGTTGTGTTTTGTAGAGACGCTTTCCCTCTTGACCCCCCCCCCTCCTCCCAATCAATTTCTCGTTTCAATTATTTTTCTAACCTGTCCTGCATGTTTCTTACCGATTGATAAGAGTCATAAGACCTGAGACTTTGACAGACCTGAGACATATAAGCCCCGTTAAATTAAATACGGGTGCCATTTTTAGCCGTGCTGAGAAGCTTCTTCCTCAATCTCTTCAATACAAAAATCGCTTTGCGATGCATGTTTGCCATTTTGTCGTTATTATACTATATATGTATTCGTGATACCGAAAATTTCAATTTTTCTCTTTCTTTTCAGTTCAACTAGTAATGAAACCTCCTTGACATGCATGCATGTTCATGACATTCACGACTAAACCAGTTCCATCATTACAGTGTGTCCCAAAAAAGTACCCTTAACAACCAAAGAACGGTTTCAATAGGAGGGTACTTTTTAGGACACACGGTATAATGAATGGTATAACTATACGCGGTACTTTCACAACAGAAGGTCCGTAATTTAATAGAGGGTACTTTGGGGTCATCTTGTAATGGGATATTGGTATCAATTTACTGCACTGAATATATTTTTCTTCCTCGATGTTCCACCTCGAGGTTCCTTCAAAGATGTCTGGGATATCTGATAGCACAATTTATGTTTCATTCCAATTTTAGTTCTTTTGCTGAAATCTCACGCATTACATACTTCTTCATCTAAGAAAGAGCAAGTATTCATGCACGCGCATCGTACACCATTAATATAGGGGAAAATGAAAAACGCAATTTCTCTGATAACGTCCATGCATGTGGTGAACAGAAATAAATGATCACAACCTCGAAATTATCACCGCCTAAAATAATAAATGAAAATTTACCTTTCCTGTGACTGTCATTGGCATATCATCCACGAACTTTATATAACGAGGAATTTTAAAATGGGCGATCTATGAAAGAGCAACAAGCATTTAAATATATAAAATAGACACTAAAATCCACGTAGAGTACGATTAAAACAAAGTCTAAAGAGCTGAGAATTATATTTATACTGACTAAGACAAGCCCCATTTACACTATACGCCCGATTTTAGATTTGGTACGGAAGAAATTTGGACGATCAACATGCATGTGAGCCTTTAGAATACGAGAGACTGTCTTTATACGTGCATTTTGTACCTTTCCCTTGCAAAATTCCTTGATTTCATTTGCTGTAGCAGTCTCATCCTTTATCAATCTGAATGCATGGAATCAATAAAACATCACATTCATGCATGCATACTTCAAAAACTGTTATTTTTAAGGAGATAACCTCAACGCGGATGTATAAGATTTATCTATTTACACTTAACATCAAATATGATTCAGCAATGCCAAAAATATAAACTGAACTGAGGGCTTTTGTCAGGAGAATCAAAACGTCTTACCGTTTAAAAAGTTGCCTACATGTGAACAAAGAAACCTAAATGTGGAACGTATCTACAAACTATACACTTTCTCGAGTGCGAATAACGAGTAGAAGCATGCTGGACCTGGAAACGTGAATTAATATAATATAGACTTTATATAGAGTATATATAGACTAACGGGAATCCGATACCAAAAAATATATAGTAATTTCAAATAGCCTTATCCACGCGCAAATTTCTTCACCCATCCTTTTATCTGGTACGCCAATCACCTGGGAACAACAAAGTCAGTGTAACGCTTTTAGTATGAATAAAACCTCAGATAAACCCAGAACCGTAGCATGTGTAATTGGGAACATTGCTTTGGGTTGGGGCTACAAAAGAATGAACAAAACGTCAAACCGCTAAAACTCTTTAATGTTATACACGGAACAACTTGTTACGCACTTGCAACGCAACAATGTTTTGAAAAATGTTTACGCGTCGAATATGGTATATATAAGCAGTTTTTTAACACAGAAAATCAGAAATCGTTTCACAAACAAGTTGCAAATTTATGAACAGTTTTTAATCCACACAACATTGTTGGCGGCTTATAATGTGAGGTGTATATGAGTTGCCAGTCTCATTCAAAATATACAGCTTGATGTAGTTAGTTTGATCACTTGTCGTCAAAGTGTTAAGAAAATTTTGACGCAGTAGGCCTACTTCATTCCAATGCTGTAATCAAGCTCAGTTGGAAGATGATACATATCTATATACGTTCACAAGATTACCACACTTGTCAAACCAAAAATTGCAATGCATTGTGGGACACGTGTAGGTCAAAATTATCTCCTATTTCTGCTATGTATACATATGAACGTGTGGCGTAATTCCTACTAAGATATATTTTATGTAAGCAATCTTCTATATAACTAGTATACCTCAACTTCTTGAATTTTTTGATGATGGTATAGAAATTGCTCAATTTCGGCCGGATAGATATTTTCTCCTCCTCTTATGATCAAGTCCTAAGTAACAAGGGGGAATGATAAACGTTGTACTGAAGATTGGAATATCAAGAAAAAGGGAAATAATTCTAAACACATGTTATGATTTCAATGCACCAGAAATGGCAAAATAGCTGGCATAATAGTAACAAGTACGATCGTACTATAGGGACAAGGAACTGCGTAACCGAGTTTAATTTCTGAACTGCATTGTATTTATAACAATGGAGAAGACAATGTATTTCTAATCGTTTATATATACAGGGTGTCTCAAAAAAAACGCAACCACTTAATATTCTAAAATTCATATTGTTCATAAGCTCAATAGATTTTATGCCCCTGGGATTTTAAAATGGCTTCTAATCGTACAATTCAACTGCTAATAGTCAAATCAGCTAAACTAATAATGGTGCAGCTAACAACCGAACAACGAGTTTTTATTGTCGTGCATGATAACTTGAATGCTAACTGTCGACCTTGTAAAATAACTACTTTACTCGTTAAATACTTTCAATTCAGCTCGTTGGTTTACGCACCCGACTTTGTTTACCGATGATTGTGCCGCTAGAATATGATTACAAGCTTTCTCGCATTCCACGCGCCAAACGTCTTTTGTGTTGTAGAACAAAGAGGATATTCATGAATATTAAGTGGTTGCGTTTTTTTTGATACACCCTGTATATATAGGCTGAATATTAATGATATGTATATATTATTTGCTGCAAATATATCAAGAATTGCTTGTAACTTGCTTCAAAGGTCAAAAGTAAAAATTCGAACTCCGTCAATCGATGCGGAATATTGCTTAGAATAATTGTGCCAAGTTTCATTCCGATCAAACAAGTAATGCTAGAGCCTTAGGGTTTTCAGTTTAAAGAGCGTCGCCCCCAAACAACAACAACAACAACAACAACAACAACAACAACAAGATTAGCAGCGGTTAGGGACTAGTTCCTGGTCCAATAAGTTCACAGTAAGAGCAAAAACATTTAGCAACTACACCAGGCCATGAGCTCGGGTGATATAGACAGAACAGATGCAAAAATATGCAAACTTTTATGACAAAATTTTCGCTCGTATATTAGCCGATATATTGTGGGGTTGCGTAACAGCTCTATAGGATGAATAGCTATATAAATTTAAACTATGCATATAAACACTATGTTAAAACAAATACCTTCATTCGGCCGACAATTCTCACGTATCCATCTTCATCCATTGAAGCTTTATCCCTTTTCATGTAAACAGATAAAAATATAGAATATCTGACGACACTCTATACTATAGTATATAGGCCATATAGACCCTTTGGACATGACGTCACAGTATAGCGAAAGCTAGTTAGGAGAATTTACTTCGTTAGTTGCTTTTTGTCTGGCCCGAACATTCAACGTTCGTAAAACAACAAGGCAAGAATTCACTAAGAGACATGTCTTTGGGATTATAACGTCAGGGGTATGTAGCTAAACCATAAAGATGGGCTGAATATTGTATTGTATTACCCTGTGTGTAACCAACCGCTGGCGTCTATGGTATTTTTTGTTTTGTCTTCATCATCCCAATGCAATTTATTCATGCATTTGGTTCAAGAAAGACACCGTGGCTAACGTGCCACGTGTGTACATAATACTAGCGAGTTTAAGATGCACCAAATCTACGACGCAGACGTGAAACAAAACTGCTCTAATTTCCACAGTTTCCCAACAGGAATGAAAATTATAGACACCTTTTCATAAACGAAGTCAAAGCCGTATTTAAAACAAATTAGTACTGGTTTCGTAACACTAATAGCAGATTTCATCTTAAACTCGCTAATGTGTTTACGCACCTATTATGATATTATGTGTATATACATATATTTAGCGATACACTAATGTTTGGCTATTCCGGTATATATTAAAATTAAACACATGATCTTAAAAATGTATTTTTCAATATAGCTACTGTACGTAAAATTTAACTACCTGTCAGCGTTATAGCAGTACACATTGTAATTGGTGCTTATGTCTGGATGGCTATGCAAGAGAGTGAAGATACCTATAAAGATAACCAGACATCCAAAGAAGACTAATACTGTAAGAGTCAACATTGAGAATTTGTAAACACTAATAATAGTTTTGAAAGAGCTAGATATCTCCAAACAATTATCTGCTTTTGCATTTTATTTTCAAGGAGGGCCAAGAAGCCAATAAGACTGTGTGCAATGCTGAACACTGATCACATGACTGGAATAAGTAAACATGTGAAGATAAGATAGCTAGCTCATGAAAATTAAATAGATCGTGAGAGCAAATTCCATTTCATCCAAAGACAAGGTGGTTCTAAGTTGAAAACAATGAAGTTGTGACATACACGTAACTAGATAATGTTTAATTGTATCGTATTAGAGAAATTAAGATATTCATATACTAGTCTGGTCTACAGGTAAAGGTATCGTTATCATCATGCATTATCAATCGAACGTTAGTTGAGGGCGACTATATTTATATATTCTGTTATGCAAGGCTCTTCGCGTTCTATTGAACTTGAAATTGCTTTCAAAAGAAATTAGCCAGGCATAGCAGAATATATGAGTATGGGCCCCCGATTGACGATATTGATTAATTTGTTCAATGAATTTCTAGCGATTTCGGATAGCGCTATCCACCGGATAGTGATTTTTTAACCGTTCTAAACTGAATGCTCGAAAAGCGATAAAATTTCATCTTGGGGACCTACAATTATCAAAGAGGATCCTTGATTTAGGAATACTAAAATTTATTCAAAGTTATAGCAAATAAGGGGTTAATTTAAAGCGATTGAAAAAACAGGCACTATCCGGTAGATAGCGCTATCTGCATGGCTTTCATACAACCGGCCCCTGCACGCTACTTTTTTGTAGTAGATTTACAGCGTTTTGAGCAAGTATTCAGTATAGCATCACATGTAATATCAACGAAAAAATCAGTGCATTAAATTATTTTTCACATTGCTCGGTTTTCTTATCATTTTCTCCAATCTCCTCGTGCCTGAAAATAACCTATACTTAATTAAATACGGCCGTTATTCCGTACCTGTAAACCGAAAACTGGGTAATTTACCTCATTCCTGCCCGCGAGTGTTCTTAACAATGTTGTGAAATCGCCTATAAAGATGTGAGGTTGATAGCGAAACGTAGAAAGAATAAAATGGTTTTAAAACAACATGTATAGTAAAAAGCTTGATTATTATTAAAAGTAAAACATTAGAATTGGATTAAAGTATAGATATAAATTTGGGCATATGTTGGTCGATGAAGATAAATGTCAAAATGTTCATGGACATGTTTGATAAAAAATCGAGTGGAATTTTTATACTTGTGCTTATACTTCGCTTTTTCAAAAATTAGTACCATATACATGTATATTTTTGTAAAAAGCTAAATAGTATCAGGTATTTGCACACAATATCCACGGCGTTCAGCTTCCTTCAGCATGCAATTTGAGTACAATACACCCACATGCAATACATGCACTTACGCAACGTACGTCCTCGACCTCGGCATTCCAAGAGCCATCGCGAACTTGAAGATTGAAGGGAAACCTGGTGAATCTCAAATTTCGAGCTTGATTTTTAATTCTAGTTACAAGAAAAATCGATATACGCGTTTCGTCAGAGCTCCATGCAGTGTGGGAAGAGCGCGAATAGCCTAGACCTAGCTGGTGCATGCATGGGTATATGCTACATATTATCACTTTATCAGGATATTCAGATCTTGTCTCTGGCGTTAATAATAATTATAATATAATATAATAAAGTTTTCAACTTCGTGTGGACTCAAGTACATACGCATTTCAGCTGTAGTGATTTATTCTTGATACAACCAAAGAACACAAAAGTTTGAGAAATATATAATCCTATCATATACATAAAAATGTCGCTTTTTTCGTAGTGTTTTCATCTTCCTTCAGCAATTTGAGTGACAAATTAACTATGATAACACACCCGTAGTCATGGTTAGCATCTATGGTCGCGGGCCGCGGCCGACGCGCCGTCATTGCATAACCTATGCGTTTTTTTTGTTGAAAACAATGAAATCAAATCTCCGCCTATAATAATGTTATAAATAGTATTTTGAGAATGTCCAGAATACTTAGTACTAAATACTTATATACTAAATACTAAATACTTATTATTATTATTATTATTATTATTACTAAATTTTAACGCCAGTTATACTACAAGAGAAAATAAAAATTCTTAAATTGGGGCTAAAATTGTTAGACTTGCTCGTGGATGTGAGTAAGGTTACTTCTATATAACCTGCCGTCCACGTCGAGGTGATCGAGGTGAGGTGACGTGATCGTTGTTTTCAAAACCTCAGGAAATAAACGAATATTGAACTAGAAAGGATTTCTGGGAAAGAATAATCAAGGTTTGGATAATTAAGCGGTTGTTTAGGAAATTCTACAATAGATTAAAATATAAGGAACGTTTGTTTGAACGGAGCAGGGTGACAACTTGATATAGCCGATTTTTATACATGAGGCGCAATGTAAAATCAAAGGTCTCAATGAGACGACTCACGGATGCACAAATAGCCGATTAATTGTTGGCTAGTTAATCAGATAAACAAGTTTTTAATACTAAGCGCAAAGTAGTTTGGTCGAGTTAATAGCACTAAAGAATGCGAGACCGTTAGCAATGACTCCCTTATACTCCTACGGAGTATCCGTGAGCCAAAAATTAGTGTAAAGAGCAAGTCGTCCATTGAGCATACATGCAACGGAACGATCCGCAGTTCAGGCCATTATTGTACGCGGTTATATGAATAGATAACTCATGCAGGTTATACCAGACGTGAATGGATGACTTGCGCTTTATTAGACGGTAATATCTTCTGAAAGAGCATATCAAAATTAGTAAAACTGCCAAATTATATATATATATATATATATATATATCTATATATATATATATATATATATATATATATATATATATATAAACAATTATTAAGAAATTCTTCGTATGAGATAAAAGAGTGCTCAATACTGCAAGCAAATAGAGCAATATATATTTATAAATATATATAATATATATATATATATATATATATATATATATATATATATATATATATCACATGTATATATATATAATACACAAGTATCCAAAATTTGCCAACTTCGCCATGGCTGTATTTTCCCCATTTCACAGAATTTTGGCAGCGAAACTTTGCATTTGCACTAATTTTAGTGTGCTGTTTCTAGCTGTGGTGACTTATTTTCTTCTATCACTTTGATAAATCAAAGGTCTCGATGAGACGACTCACGGATGCGCGAATAGCCGGTTAATTGTTGGCTAGTATAGACTAACCAGATAAATAAGTTTTTAATACTAAGCGCACAAAGCAGCTAATGGCAGCATGCTCAATGGACGACTTGCGCTTTACACTAAGGTTTTTTTTATAGTTCGGTTCAAGGTATGCATACCTTGAACCGAACTATAAAAAAACCTTTTTGAACTGTTGGCAAGTAATTCTACTGCAGTCAGTTTTGCATTTTGTAACAAACTGTTATTTTTAAAAATTAATCAGTGAGTGTCATTAGAAAAAAACATCATTAAAGAGGTTTTGTTGTAAACTGTAAACCCTCCGTATTATGTAAATGTGAGATATAGCCATATTGATAAAAAACTGACAGTATATTCTCGTTCGCAATATGTACAAGAGAGAGGGGCGGTGACTACCTGAAACAATAGTTTGATTTGACAATTTGCTGAAGGAAGTTTTAAGTCAAAGGAAGTTGAACAGATGATGTTCTTATAAGTTGCACAAACCTGGCGAAGTTTTTCACGATACTAATAGCCACCTGTGACACACCAGAGTTCAATTTTTTCTCAAGATTTTGATTTGGATTTGTTGGAGAACATCAAAATTCAAGGTATATATACATTATTTAATATAACAACGTGTTTTGTTTTGGGTTAATCAACTAAATCTTGAACTTATTTTCGCGAAGATGTGATCTAATATATGCCTGCATGGCCTGCTTGATCATGTTAAAAAATTATCAATTAAATAGACCTATATATACTATGTATATAAATACTGTTTTAATTGTAGTAATCACCATGATGAAAGTTGCACTGGTTTCCTTGTTGCTACTCGTCAATTTTATGGGCATTAATGCTGGCACAAACTTTGATGCCACGTGGACTAGAAATTGCAGATCGAGTAAGTTCTTTTATCTTTAGAATTTACGGTGAAGAGATTCGCTGTCGGATTTACATGCATTGTTTTTTTAAAATGATTTACCAAGGTTTAGCCTATATTTAAATCCGATTTTAATGATTTTACTATATAATGTATATACTTACTATAATATATACAGTTGAAATATTAGGCTAAATTTCTTATAAAAATTAACAGAAGGGAGAGACAGAGAGAGGAGAGAAGAGGAGAGAGAGGATGGGAGAGAATAGAGAATACGAATTCAGTTAAACGAAAAATTTATCATTTGTTGCATATGATATAGGCTTGGCATAGCTATATATAGCATTCTACAGAATATAAATTCTTCAGGAATCTTGTGAAAAGATTAGTACACTTCCGTCGCTCGGGACTATTCATGCTTCAGTCAAATATGAGTTATCTTGATTTTCAAATTGCCTTTTAAACACCCTGTATTTTATTATATACTTCACAGAATGGTCAATATCCAGCATCGCAAGTGTTCATAGCAATCACCATGAAGATCGTTCGTGGAGTTTCTCTTGCAGATACAACAGCAAAATTACAACGTCATGTTTCTGGACTGGATGGGTAAATTCGTACGATAACGAAATATTATACCAATGCCCTAATGGAGTTATCTCAGGTACCATGTTACCTTGTTCTATAGAACAAGCACTAAATAACTACCCAAATGCAATGAACTTCTTCAGCATTGATTTATGTATGCATGAGATGAAATAAATATGACAAAATGTGGAGGTAAAAAAGTAAATTGAAATAGATAATTTTTGTTCATTTAGGCGTGCACTCAAAACACAGCAATTACCACGAGGACAGAATATTCGAGTACAGATGTTGTCGTACCAAAGGCCATTGTCACGGTTGCTACTGGACTAGCTATGTCAATACTTGGGATGGTTATATGAACTACCACGTTCCCGGGAACTACGTTCTTGTAGGGGTGAAAAGTCATCATAACAATCGGAAAGAGTAAGTCATTTTTATAAAAATTATAATGTACCAAAATTTTCACTATGGATAATTTCACAGTTCTGAACATTACTCAATCAAAAACTTTCAAATTATGTCTGTAAAAGCTACAATATAATAGCTTCAATGACGGAATATGTTCCATGCCAGCAAAACCCAAATATATACCGGAAAAAACACATGTTTTATTGTTGTTTTTTTGTATTTTCTTAATAGGGACAGATTATGGAGATACCGCGTTTGTCAACTGGGCTAATTTCTTACTTCATTCTAACTTTGCATTTTCGTCTTTGCTTGTCATTACTGGAGCATGATCCCTCACTGATTTTTTGTTAGCTATATATACCTATAATCTCAATAAACATGTAATCAATTTCAAGAATAACAAAATAAAGCAGTTTGAAACCACACTAGTTCTGCGTGTATTCATTGACGATTAATGATCTTCCGTTCATGTTGTTTCACTTATTTGCCTTTATCCTCCATATATATTTCACCACATGCAGCCATATACACTGAAATCGACATATACGCTTACTCCCGGAAATTAATCAGGAAGTAGCAATATAATTTTTCTCTTGTTTATGGTTCAATTGTTAGAGGTATAGTAAATTTCAATGAAAATCTTTGCAGTTCTAACTCTCTTGGTTTTTTTCACACAATTTTATTCGCGTTTGATAGTCTGTTTACCAACTCTGTTGTGTTTTGTAGAGATGCTTTCCCACCTGACCCCCCCTCCCCCAATCAATTTCCCGTTTCAATTCTTTTTCTAACCTGTCCGTTGATTATAAATTAAATCACGGGTACCATTTTTGGCCGTACCGTTAAGCTTCTTCCTCAATCTCTTCAATACAAAAATCGCTCCGCGATGCATGTTTGCCATTTTGTCGTTATTATACGTATATGTATTCGTGATACCGAAAATTTTCTCTTTCTTTTTCAACTAGTAATGAAAAATGAAACCTCCTTGACATGCATGCATGTTCATGACATTCACGACTAAACCAGTTCCATCATTACAGTGTGTCCCAAAAAAGTACCCTTAACAACAAAAGAACTATTTCAAGAGGAGGGTACTTTTTAGGACACACGGTATAATGAAATGGTATAACTATACGCACTTTCACAACAGAAGGTCGTATTTGAAAAGAGGGTACTTTGGAGTCATCTTGTAATGGAATATTGGTATCAATTTACTGCACTGAATATTTTTTCTTCCTGGATGATCCGCCTCGAGGCTCCTTCAAAGTTGTCCGGGTGTATCTGAAGGCACAATTTATGTTTCATTCCAATTTTAGTTCTTTTGCTGAAATCTCACGCATTACATACTTCTTCACCTAAGAAAGAGCAAGTATTCATGCACGCGCATCGTACACCATTGATATAGGGAAAAATGAAAAACGCATTTCCTCTGATAACGTCCATGCATGTGGTGAACAGAAATAAATTATCACAACCTCGAAATTATCACCGCCTAAAATAATAAATGAAAATTTACCTTTCCTGTGACTGTCATTGGCATATCATCCACGAACTTAATATAACGAGGAATTTTAAAATGGGCGATCTATGAAAGAGCAACAAGCATCTAAATATAAAATAGACACTGAAATCCACGTAGAGTATACGAGGTATTAAAACAAAGTCTAAAGAGCTGAGAATTATATTTATACTGACTAAGACAAGCCCCATTTACACTATACGCCCGATTTTAGATTTGGTACGGAAGAAATTTGGACGATCAACATGCATGTGAGCCTTTAGAATACGAGAGACTGTCTTTATACGTGCATCTTGTACCTTTCCCTTGCAAAATTCCTTGATTTCATCTGCTGTAGCAGTCTCATCCTTTATCAATCTGAATGGAATCAAACATCACATTCATGCATGCATACTTCAAAAACTGTTATTTTTAAGGAGATAACCTCAACGCTGATGTATAAGATTTATCTATTTACATTTAACATCAAATATGACTCAGCAATGCCAAAAATATAAGCTGATCTAAGAGCCTTTGTCAGGAGAATCGAAACGTCGAACCGTTTAAAAAGTTGCCTACATGTTAACATAGAACCCTACATGGGGAACCTATCTACAAACTACAATACACTTTCCCGAGTGCGAATAACGAGTAGAAGCATGTTTGACCTGGAAACGTGAATTAATATAATATAGACTAACGGGAACCCTATACCAAAAACATATTATTAGTAATTTCAAATAACCTTATCCACGCGCAAATTTCTTCACCCATCCTTTTATCTGGTACGCCAATCACCTGGGAACAACAAAGTCAGTGTAACGCTTTTAGTATGAATAAAACCTCAGATAAACCCAGATTCGTAGCGTGTATATTGTGAGATGTATCTGAGTTGCCAGTCTCTTTCAAAATATATAGCTTGATGTAGTTAGTTTGATCACTTGTCGTCAAAGTGTTAAGAAAATTTCGACGCAGTAGGCCTACTTCATTCCAATGCTGTAATCAAGCTCAGTTGGAAGATGATACATATCTATATATACGTTCACGAGATTACAACACTTGTCAAACCAAAAATTGCAATGCATCGTGGGACACGTGTAGGTCAAAATTATCTACTATTTCTGCTATGTATACACATGAACGTGTGGCGTAATTCCTATACTAAGATATATTTTATGTAAGCAATCCCCTATATATAACTAGTACCTCAACTTCTTGAATTTTTGAATGATGGTATAGAAATTGTTCAATTTCGGCCGGATAGATATTTTCTCCTCCTCTTATGATCAAGTCCTAAGTAACAAGGGGGAATGATAAACGTTGTACTGAAGATTGGGATATCAAAAAAAAGGGAAATAATTCTAAACACATGTTATGATTTCAATGCACCAGAAATGGCAAAATAGCTGGTATAATAGTAATAAATTCACAGTAAGAGCAAAAACATTTAGCAACTACACCAGGCCATGAGCTCGGGTAATATAGACAGAACAGATACAAAAATATGCAAACTTTTATGACAAAATTTTCGCTCGTATATCAGCCGATATATTGTGGGGTTGTGTAACAGCTCTATAGGATGAATAGCTATATAAATTTAAACTATACATATAAACACTATGTTAAAACAAATACCTTCATTCGGCCGACAATTCTCACGTATCCATCTTCATCCATTGAAGCTTTATCCCTTTTCATGTAAACAGATAAAAATATAGAATATCTGACGATACTATAGTATATAGGCCATATAGACCCTTTGGACATGACGTCACAGTATAGTGAAAGCTAGTTAGGAGAATTTACTTCGTTAATGGCTTTTTGTCTGGCCCGAACATTCTACGTTCGCATAACAACAAGGCAAGAATTCACTAAGAGACATGTCTTTGGGATTATAACGTCAGGGGTATGTAGCTAAACCATAAAGATGGGCTGAATATTGTATTGTATTACCCTGTGTGTAACCAACCGCTGGCGTCTATGGTACTTTTTGTTTTGTCTTCATCATCCCAGTATCCTAACATGACACAATAACCTCGCACGCACAGTTCACCATCTTCACCCACAGGAATTATCTCGCCATTTTCATTCACTATTTTACCCTTTAAAAACAGTTAGCGATACTGACCTATACTTTTCGTGCACAGGAATTGATTTCTTAGGCCCCATTTCCACAAATATAGCCGGATACAAGTGTGACCGGCAAATTTTTAGTTAGTTGCATGGGAGTTTTCTTTCCAAATATTATTATATTTCCAGATATTATTATGCGTTCTCAGTTATACAGCCAGATACGTTGAAAGAAAATGTCCTAAACAACTCAAAAATTCTTTGGATACAAGTATGATTCTCAACCGAGAACTTTGCACTTTTGCTTATCTCAATAGTATAGTTGTTAAATTGGCTAGAAGTTTTCAAAAAACTCAACTTGCAGGTATGCATGGTTGTATCCATGCGCTAAATCAAATAATACTGAATATAAATAAAAATAACACTACTAGCAGTGGAAAGAGCGATAAAGGAAATAAACAATTGAATACATATAGAGAGCGCTTCGCCGGCTAATTGAAAAAATCCATATCATAATTAGTTCACCTCAGTATTTGAATGCATTTTTCCAACAGTCGAGACTCGAAGTTCAACAGGATCATCAATTTGAGTTTGACAACAGAGAGGAGAAAGTTCAGTCAAACCATAGGCAAGCTGTCACAAAAAAAATATATTTCATTGTTCATCCGCAAAAATTCGATTTTATCTATAATTGTGAATGTCGTCACATGCCTTGAGGCCTTGAACCATAACTGCGCTCATAAGAGCGTGTTAGTGGAGATACTGCATACATTAATACTATACCGTCAATTCAGGTAAATGTAACTTATCCATAACAGCCTTCATTATTTCAATGTGGCACTGAGAACCACCCATTACACCTGCAAAATTTCAGGTGTAATTTTTAGGGCTTTATGCCTACTTAAAAAACTGTTTATGGCTAGGACTCTTATGATCGATGGTCCTTGGGAAGCTAGAGATGGCCTTCATTTTTATAATTGCTTGCACAAAATCCTTCCAGAATATTTATTTTAACCGAACATGATACCTGTACGTAAAGAATTGAGGTCAAATTGAGACAGATCCTCTTCACTTAGCATGTCAATGAACATGGTAGGCGTGCCATAAAGTGACGTACATCTAAATTTAAAATCGTATAAAAACTTAATCCTACAGTTCTGCTTATATTGTTTTTCAAAACAAGTTTAATTTGCAGCATACGCATCTTACAGTGATGTAGCTAATAGCTCGTCTTTGGAGAAAACTTTCACCGCACGACTCATTTATCTTTATTTGAATCCTCACTTACTTCTCAGCTTGGCAGGCAGCGAGTGTAGTCCGAGCATCGAAACTAGACGAAGGATAAACTGCAGTTGCCCCAAAGATGACTGACGATAAACTATCAAGACGAGAAAAAAACTGTTTAGAAACAATCACCCAAAAAGCAAATAAAAAATTCTCGAGAATACCTTCCCAGAACCATTCCAAAACAGTGATAAAGTGGAACAGGGATGCAGATTTTGGAATGCTGTAATAAAAGTAAAGTTGCATTAATTTAATGTTTCCATGTATATATAATGTTTTCAGGGCCGAAACTAGAACGGTAATTGGGGGGTGTTTATTCTGCCCAACGGATTTCTCATCCCGGAATGTTTAACGAACTAAATTAAATGTGATCTACTGCAGATTACCCGTTAGAAAAAGACGAGAATCATAACAAATCCTTCACGGTTTTCATAATAGACTAAATCATCTTTTCTTGACATGCTAGAATAATATCATGCACATAAACGGTTTAAAACATACTAACCGACATTTTTAAAAATCGCATATTTTAATTGTACCTCTTCTGCATATTTTACTGTTGAACCAACAAGAAAAGCATTGTTGAGAATGTTGTGATGACTCAATGTAACCCCTTTTGGATTACCAGTCGTGCCCTATAAACGTATGGATTAAAAATTGTTTATTATGTGAAATAGTCCTGTGCGGAAATTTACCGAGAGGTACTGAAAGTATAATTGTAATTTCAATTCTTATGAAATGATATAAGCCAGTTTCATTTATCCTAGCTTACAAAAAGAGAAAACGTTTTGAGAAACTTTTGCACGAACTAATCTAGATCGTAGCAAGAAATCTGAAATAAAAAGAAATCAACTCACAGAGGTGAACTGTATACTAATTGGATCATCGAACTGCAGGCGTTGCTGAAGGGCATTAAGTTCCTCCGTTTCGTTATTCCCACCAGCCTGTATCACTTCGTTGAAAGAGAGCGTGCCACTGTGAAAATAAGGGAAAATACTTACTACCAAAGTGTTATGCAGGACGAATAGTGATTGAGGAGAGCGATGGTTCTAGGCCATACAACGTAATTATGCATGAAAAGAGTATGCAGAGACGTGCTCTTGTGATATATAAATTTGTGAAAAGGCACGGATGGACGTTATCCTCATTCTCGGGTCACTATACCTATAATTTTCGTCTCCAATCATAATTACTTGTCGAAGCATCGGCACACTAAAAAATACGTAATATTCCACGAATTACTCTAAATTCTCTGAACGACAGCAAACAATTTGAAGCTCACTCTCGTTCCCCCAGCCAGCGATTCCTCTGGCGAGATAGCAAAGGCTTTGAGATAATCGCCTTTCTTTTCTCGCCAGAGGAATCACGGGCTCGGGGAACGAGATTGTTTAAAGCGGGGTGTGGTACCAGTACCAGTCCCTAGTGCGATGGTCGACAGTGACTTAAAATCAGTGCTCAAAACAATATAGAACTGGACCGTCACAACTGGCACAGGTACCCAATTCGGCTTCAAATTAGCTTCAAAGATCGCGACTGAGTTTCCGTTCCAGTTCACATACAGTTTAATGGTTTGTACGCAAAAATAAATGGTTTTGATAATAATTAATGAGCATACTGCTCACTGTGAAGCCAGCCAGGTTTAGAATCGTGTAGCTCTGGTGCGATTTCACATAACATTCCATAGTAATCTGACGTTTTGTGACTTGAAACAGATACAAGAGCTTTGCAACCAACCTGAAACAAGATTTGGTTTCATGACTTTGTCTTTGATTTTACACTATACGAATCATTATGAGGGGGAGAGATTTTCGTACCTGACATATTAAAGAAATACAAAACACGATATTTATTATGAAACTGATTGCAACATCGCTCGCTTACTCGCTAAACTGAAAGCTAAGGAGTATGTTATACAGTTACAGTACCTTTTTTAGCGCATAATGCGCCTCAGCAGCCCGATAGGCTGGATTAATGTTTACCTGGTAAGAAAAAGTGAATGTATATCGAGCAGTTTTAAAATGAACATTTGTAGCCATGTTGCCCAACCTGGTACCCACCAAGGCCGGTATGGTCAAGGGAACAACGACACATAATATTATTATTCATTAAAGACATTAAACAGCGTCGGATTTGTAAACATTCATAATACGTTAACCCACTACATAATACGCTAACAATGAAGTATTCAAAACTAAGAAACCTGAGTACGTGGTTGGCTTGGTGCCCCAAGATGTGATAGTATAGTTTTTGTAAAATATTTAACATCATTTCGAACTTGGGTAAAATGTATCAACTTCAGTTGCATATTACTTGCCCTAAAACTTACCAAAATTAATCCAGCCTTTGCCGTGGCAAATTGCGTTAAAATCCACTCTTCAACATTTGGCCCCCATATTCCGACTCTGTCACCTCTTTTAAGACCAAGAGCTAGGAACCCCGCAGCAAGTTTATCAGCCTAAAATATAATAATTGAATTCAGTTATAACGCTCATAACATCAGTGACTTTAAACTTTTGTTAATTTCTACTATTGTAGATTTGTAGGACAATATTTTCACCAGATCCGGCTAACTTACTAAGTTTGACGATCACAGTTATCATAGCGCAGCTCAGCTTACCATGAATTTCAGATCTGAGAACGTCGCTTTCCTTCCATTTTCACAAAATACGTATGCATCACGATCTGGGTATAGTTCAGCTGCTTGATCTACCACCTGACCAATTGTTGAGCCAAGAAATGGTTTACCAGATGGACCACAGAAATAGCTTAGTTTATCAGATGGACTGTGGCTTGTTAGTGGCTGGATGGCACAATAATACCTAAGATGGACGAATCGGTGATCTGATTGATTAGGATAAACTCTAAATCTTTAAGACCAAGGGATAATTTCATCCAGGCCAGGGATATTGTGAGACGATAAATATAAACAAAATCTGACACGACAGTATATATACATACTTCAAGACATAGAGCACTTGAATGTGTAAACAAAGCGTTCGCTTTAACGGACGCGTTTTAACGGTTTCACTCTCGTGACAGTCACAAAACTGTTGTTTGAAGACGCTGCCACGCTGCTCCCTGGTTATATTGGAACGCATATACAAAATACAAATCATAATTTAAGATACTGACCTCTGCGTCGAACGAACAACATTTTCTCTGTGATAGCGTTTATGCGTTGCTATATTTGCAACATGTCTATAACTTATGCCGCCGGAGAGTTTCCAACGAAACATATACATCGATTAATCGATTTAAGTATAGAAATTTCACCTCTTCATAATTTGTTGCGCTTTAAACGACTCTGTATGGATGAAGCTATAGCCTATAGATGCATATCACACGACGCATTCTCTGCATACTTGTGGCAAAGAACAGCGATGTGACATGCATGAGAACGTGGACCTGAAATTTAATCCTCCTTTTCGGCCTCTCGTGTGGGCTGAATCTGTAAGAACATAACCAACAACGAAACTTTCCAGGCAACCGCTAATTCCTGCAATGCTGAATAACTTTTTTAAATCGTATTCCGGGAGCACAATGCATGTCAAATTGCTAATGTTGCGGTTTACCTAAATCACAGTTAATAGAATATACATGTATGGTTGGAGACTAAATAAAAGTACAACACAACTCATTACCTATGTTATTGTCCTGGGGCCGGTTGTATCAAGCCCGTTTAGCTTAAAAGGGGGATAAGTCAAAATTAAATAACACTCTTACATCCCTGTGGAACGAGTCAACTTGAATATTATGCACTAAATATGTAGTTCTAAACAGTATCTTTGTATTAAGGTCAAAAACATTTAGTTTGCTTGTTGAATAAAACGATAGACTTGCTTTCTATTTTGAACTCATCCACCGTTTAATACGCTAAACGGGTCATGTAAACGGGCTTGATACAACCGGCCCCAGGTTTATGCAAAAAATGGTTCCTTTCTCGTCACATGTCTATTGTATTTTAGCCAAATTTACCAATGGCATTCGTCTATTGGTTTATCTGTGTAAAATCAATAAACATGTGACGAGAAAGGAACATTATTTGGCATAAATCTACCTCAACAGAGTTACCTAAATGCATGAGTTCCTAGTACTTAAATCGTAATATGATTTTAAAATTACTTTCGCACTGAAATGCTTATCAGAGCATTATATATTTATATATAACAATAGGGAACGATAGTGAACAACATTTGGCAAATTCGGAGGATGCGTATTCTGAGATATTAAACTTTAATATGATAATAAGTCTTTTTAAAACCAAATAAGCACATTCATGCTATTGTCGGGATGACTGTCACACGACTATCAGGATCATGTTATTTACTTATTTCAATTTCTCAAAGTCATTCGTTAAGTCTCGGGTACCCGGCTCATGTGGACAGCTCCAAGGTCCAAGATGTTTCGCACAAAAGTTCAAAAGCGCAATCAATTTATTAGATTATCCCATGGAATATCCAATTAAAATGCCGACGTATCTCACCTGCGTAATAGAATAACCTAACTACATTGTATATGGTTCTTTATTACGTGCAATTTATTCATGCATTTGGTTCAAGAAAGACACCGTGGCTAATGTGCCACGTGTGTACATAGTGTGTGTAACTCTACGCACCTGTATTATGATATTATGTGTATATACATATATTTAGCTATACACTAATGTTTGGCCATTCCGGTATATATTAAAACACATGAGCTTAAAAATGTATTTTTCAATATAACTAATGTACGTAAAATTTAACTACCTGTCAACTACCTGCCTATAGGAGAGGGGGGGGGGGATCTTGGAATAAAAATCACGAAAGCAATAGACCTTCCCGGTAATTACGTCACAACTTTTTAACATCGCAACGTTTTAAATTTAGAACCACCTTATGGATTTCAAGTTTTACTTTCACAAGCCACGTGCTTCTTCAACATATGCATGAAAAATATTTTTTGTTTTGACCAATTATTGTGGAAATAAGCCATAACACGAGAACGGGGCTGAGGGGCCAAGACCGCAAGCCTCGTCCCGCGTTATGGCTTATTTCCATACTTATTATAATCAAAATGACGGGTTATAGAATGATGTTTTGTATCTTTGCAAACTTTGAAATCATCTCATTTAAGGTGGTTCTAAATTTAAAACCGATAATGTTGTGACGTAATTACCGAAAAGGTCTATTCAATGAATGCATGCAGTGAAGATGCATGGTGAAATTTATGAGGAAATTACTGTCATGTTCCCCACAAGGATCCTGGAGACGTGCTAAGAGCCCAAGGCTATAGCATTTCGTATTTTATTCCAATCCCAGTTCTTTTGCTGAAACCTCGCGCATTACGTACTTTTTCACCTATGAAAGAGCGAGAGAATACAGTTATATCGTTAAAAATATACCGGATGCCTCGACCTCAACCGTAACCTCTTTAGATATGATGTGAGGGTACGTGGGGAAACATTGTAGGTGACTACATATAAATGATAACATGGTTTGATCATGCATGCATGTGTCCAGCATCTTGTGCTGCAGAGATCCAGCTGAGATGGTATAGGTTTCCACGATTACTATTTTAAACATGCAGGTCCACGAGCCAATTGTTTTAATCTGCTGCATGTTGCCATCGTACTAAAATTACTACCTTCGAGACCAGTCACCTCCCGCAACACGTTTGAAATTTTTTACCCTGCATATATACAGACCGGACGCGATTTGAAAACGTGACGCAATTTTTCCGAGCTTTTTATTTCCAGAAGCAAATAAACGTTATGCTGTCTTAAGATTCTTGAGGATTACTTATAACGACATTCTAAACACTCTGGAATCTAAATATGCCTTTAGAATTCAATTTAACTGCTTCTAAAAATTGAAAATTTATTGCCGCGTTGCTGCATTCCACTCGAAAATAAAATGATTAACCCTCTGTTTAACTATTTAGTATACTGTATATGTATAAGTACTGTACCTTTCCCGTGACTGTCATTGGCATATCATCTACAAACTTGATATAGCGTGGAATTTTGAAGTGGGAAATCTATAAGAAAATATATGCGCATTAAATTGTTTGGTATAATACAATAATATGAAAGATGTATATATAGTAATAAAATTGCAGTTATATATACAGTAGTCTATATAGGATACTAGATATGTTTTATAAAATCTGCATGCGATGGCTATACGTCAAAATACGTTACAGTCATTGGTTGAAAGTGATACTAAATAATTCAATACAGTCTACATACATGCACCATACAGAAAATAGAAGATTCGTTAGAACTTTTAACGATTTTCAGTAAAATTATCAAAATCTTGAAGGAAACACCTCGTACCTTTCCCTTACAAAACTCCTTTATTTCATCCGCTGTAGCGGTCTCGTCCTTCTTTAACCTAAATTGAATTGAATATATTACCACGCGTTACTGACAGACGCTCGATTCAGCTCGCAAATACACAACTATACAATTCATTTAGACCAATATAGACCTAGATATATTATCATGCAATTTTCTAAACGAGAGTTGGATAATATTCCAACAGAAATCCGCGTATTGTAACTGTAAATAACAAATCCGTATTGTAATAAATGCCACACAAATTTACACCTAGTATATAAATTATGCAATAATATGGATAACCTTATCCACGCGCAAATTTCTTCACCAAGTCTCTTATCTGGTACACCAATTACCTAAACGCAGACAACAATCTTGACCGTTTATGCAGCTCATACCACCGAATAATTATACTCATGCAGTGCAGGCAATCTGCGAGACTCCAGTATGTACAAGGTATCTCAAAATAACGCAACACCTAAATATGCAAGAACATTAATACTGCTCTAAAGTCTAAAGCAAAATAGATGATCACCTCTGGGAATTGAAAATGGCTCTTAATCCTTCATTTAAAATGCTAAAAGTCATTTTAGCTGAACTATGGTGCAAACCTGAACAATATTAATCTTCTTGCATATTTAAGTGGTTGGTATTTGAGACACCCTGTATAAATGCGGTATTCATGCAGTACCTCAACTTCTTGAATTTTTGGATGATGGTATAAAAATTGTTCGATTTCGGCCGGATAGATATTTTCTCCTCCTCTTATGATCATGTCCTACGTAAAATAAGCATGCAAAGTGAATTAACGCTTCATCGAGAATCGGAAAACCAAATGCACTTCTTTAAAGTAACAACATGACAAAAAAACTAAAGGAATTATAAATACATGCATCCATGTTGCGGTTTGCAACGCCGCCTAAAATGGCTGGCATTATAGGTTATATCAAATACTACATGAATTACCTTGATTCGGCCAACAATTTTTACATATCCATTTTCATCCATTGATGCTTTATCTCTGTTCATGTAAATAGATTGAAAGATCGGTTGCCCGACTCGGATAACAATATAATATAGCTATACCATATACATAATTCATATATATATAAACCGGCATGCACCCTCTAATAAGAATCAAATCTTCTTATAGCGTTGGTTATTACCCTGTGTGTAACCAACGGCTGGCGTCTATGGTACTTTTCGTTTTGTCTTCATCATCCCAGTATCCTAACATGACACAATAACCTCGCACGCACAGTTCACCATCTTCACCCACAGGAATTATCTCGCCATTTTCATTCACTATTTTACCCTTAGAAAACACGAAGCGAGGTTAGCAATTGAGTTGCATATCACCTTGTATCCATTAGCATCCTGTATATATGAAAGTCACTTCGGTGTATCATAAATTCATTGATAAATTATTGTTACCGTTGAAAATAATACCACGAATTCAAGAGGCTATTTTTATTATCATATCAACGTTTTGAATAGTTTTACTTTCCATCATAATGTTAGGACAAAAGTGAAAGTTTAGGGAAAAGAAAATATGTAGCTATTCCTATCGTTATATTTCAAAAGGTTTAGGGAGCCATTACAGTCGTCTAGCTTATACGGAACACTATAAATCATCACCTTCCTAAGAGTGAACGCTACTTGCATACACAGAGCGCAGAAGAAAAAAACAGATTTTAAACGCAAATTTGGTATGATGGAGGATCGATCGTTATAACAAAACAGATTAATGAACATAAAAAGTAAGAGTACATGCAATTTGGTCAAAATCTCATGTCTTGCACGCTACGTCTAATAGAGCACCTCACCTCTGTATGCGAAGTCATTCTTCCAACAGTTGAGACTCGAATTTCAACAGGATCGTCAATTTGGGTTTGACAGCAGACAGGAGAGAGTTCAGTCAAACCATAGCAAATCTACAGCAACATCAATAAAAAATATTCGCTCTATTAAAAATGTTCCCTTTATACGTGTCTGCCAAAAAATAGGCCTCAAACAGGATTCACGCTTCTCTTTTTTGAAGCGGCCCATACCTACCGTCATTTCAGGTATATGCAGCTTCTCAATTACGGCGTTCATTATTTCAATATGACACTGAGACCCAGCCATGATACCTGTAAAAAAATACTCTTAAAATCACGACATGCTTGATATTCTCGTGATCATTCGAAACAAATTGAAAAATTTGAGAACACTTGAGGAGATCGATCAGAACCTGTCTCTATTACAGGATAGGATACAGTGTATCTGGCAATCTAGTTTTTCCAGCAAAATGACCTCTTGCTGCATGGTGATCGTCAGTGATGACCTTTTTTCAATCGTTGATTTAAACGATAGCTTGATTGTATGTCAAGACAGATATGATACAACATACCTGTACGTAAAGAATTAAGATCGAATTGGACCAGTTCCTCTTGGTTAAGCATGTCAATAAACATGGTGGGCGTGCCATAAAGTGACGTACATCTAAACATAAAGATAATCATTTCAAACACTAGTGAATTTATACAATAAGGCCATTTATGCGACGGAATATATGTTGCGACTTACATAAGATGAGATCGCGTCTTATTTAAGTTGCGTCTTGTGACTATTAGTATTGAGTCACGACTTATTTTCCCTCGTTTAAATAGCACTATTGTGCACTTTTGCCTTCCTGTGGCGGCTTTATATTGGAGAACATAAAGATTGCATTCATCCATATCATATAGAGATCGGTTGCTAAGAACAAACAACATTCTTACATATTAATAATCTTTATTTGAATCTTTACTTACTTTTCAGCTTGGCAGGCAGCAAGTGACGCCCGAGCATCGAAACTAGACGAAGGATAAACTGCAGTTGCCCCAAAGACGACGGACGATAAACTATCAAGAAAAGTATGAACTGATTGGAAACAATCATTTCTAAAACTCAATGTTTTATAAATTGACAATGAATGGGTCACAATGCAATACCTTCCAAGCACCATTCCAAAGCAGTGATATAAGGGAACAGGGATGCAAATTTTCGAATACTATAAAAGCACATTGGTATAAGTCTACTTTTCGATTTTACTGTTTTTAAAAAACCCTCTGCAAAGGGTAATTGTAACTTGTACCTCGTCTGTATATTTAGCTGTTGAACCAATCATAAAAGAATTGTTGAGAATATTGTGATGACTCAATGTAGCTCCTTTTGGATTACCGGTAGTACCCTATAAGCATTAGTGAAAAAAGAGAAATAATGAGTAAAAAATGTTAGATGTTCAACCTTTAAGTCTATAAGAAGAAATTAATCTCAGTACTCACTGAGGTGAACTGTATATTAATTGGATCATCAAACTGCAGGCGTTGCTGAAGGGTATTAAGTTCCTCCATTTCATTATTCCCACCAGCCTGCATCACCTCATCAAAAGAGAGTGTGCCACTGTCAAAATAGCCAAAAGTATGATAGATCTTTCACAAGAGGTTCAATACAAAGAATCGTTGTTCATGCAGGACGATTGAAACAAAGGTATTTTACCATAGTCAAAAAGTATTTTGATTATTAATCTAATATTGTAGTTTGTACCTAAATTTTTCATCTCCAATTATAATTACTTGTTGAAGCATTGGTATACTAAAAATAGAAAATCATTAACAATTCCACAATCAGCATTCTCCACGAAGAACATTATTTGGCATTAGTGTATTCAGTGTGAATAACTCATTTTCATTGGAATCATAAAAGTGAACTCACTGTTCACTGTGAAGCCAGCCAGGCTTAGAATCAGGCAGTTCTGGTGCAATTTCACTTAACATTCCATAGTAATCTGACGTTTTGTGACTTGAAACAGATACGAGAGCTTTGCAACCAACCTGAAACATGATGAATTAAATGTAGTTCATCAGAAAAGTTTGTTTAAAAAAGCATTATTTGGTTATACTGACAGCTGTACCTTTTTCAGTGCATAATGAGCTTCAGCTACCTGATAGGCTGGATTTATGTTAACCTGGAAAAAATTAAAAGATAAAATATGTCAGCGGTCTAAAATGACAAGAGTTGTGATGGGCATGTGCAGATATAAAACAGCATCTTGAAGGCCCCATTTCAAATTTTCAAATAATTCTTCCTAAATTTACCAGCACCATCCCAGCCTTTGCGGTAGCAAATTGCGTTAAAATCCACTCTTCAAGATTTGGCCCCCATATTCCAACTCTGTCACCCCTCTTGAGACCAAGAGCTAGAAACCCTGCAGCAAGTTTGTCAGCCTGAAATCATAAGTTTTTAGCAAATTTAGCAATGCACATGCACAAACTGCAAGTTTACAACCCCTTGTTTTAGTTTTCTCAAAGATTTAAAATTTCAGACTCAATGTCCATTTCCAGTGCCTGGTGAATCCAGGCCTAGGCACCTTTTACAGTTTTAAATAGTGACACAACATATTACAACATCTTTGTTCAGGAACATATGTAGGTACACTGTGCATTAAATTTTCAAGGGAACTAGGGCATGCAGAGATGGATTAACTTTCGCAGGGGCATTTTTTCAGTGTGGGCCCCTAACCCCTGGAAGATTAGAATCCCTTGTGATTGGAAAAATATGAATGTGTACACCAGTTTGAATTGTCATTTGAACACCCAAGTTTTAAGAGGTTTGTTATTTTTTCTTTGAGTTGAGCACATGGTAGATGCCCCTTTTCTCACCCTGAACTGCCGAATATCAATGGAAAGCTACCTTGATTTTGAGTTCTGCAAATGTTGCTCTCCTTCCACTTTCACAAAATACGTATGCATCACGATCTGGGTATAGTTCAGCTGCTTCATCTACCACCTGACCAATTGTTGAGCCGAGAAATGGTTTACCAGATGGACCAAAGAAATAGCTTAGTTTATCAGATGGACTGTGGCTTGTTAAAGGCTGGATAGCACAATAATACCTAAGATGGATCCATGAATTGATTTGAATGGCAGGTGAGCACTCAAGGCAACATCCTTAAGCCCACCTCTCTTGCGGACATTAGAAACAAGGTGCTAAATTAATTCATTAGTACTATTCTGAGGTCCTGCTATTCTGAGGTTTGAAGATAGAATACTCAAATTACCAGCCATTGTTGCAATTTAGAATGCTGTGATCTCCATTTTATCAGGAAGACCTGATGCACAACACAAGGAATTTGTGATATTGTGTAACATAAACCATCACTAGGGCTGGGGTAATGAAGTCGTGTTTCGAAATACAACAACTTGCCCCTGGCATATAAATATACAGGTTTCTACATGTGCAGGTTGCTGAATACATATAACTGTTTCGATCGATCTCGCGTGATCGAGCTACGATGCCGTTCTGTATCGAATATATAAAAGCCTAATTGTGATGCATATATACTTATACACTAACCTTTGAGATGAAGGAATAACAAGTCGGTGACGCGCTGCTATATTTGCGACATTACTACAGCTTAGGCTACGAGGCAATTTCCAACGAAATAGATACATCGACGAAAGAAAATTAATTGTTTCGCTTCGTACAGAAACTTCGCTTGATTTTAAAAACCCGGATAATGTCTCGTTCCGCCCACAGTAGCAAATGTAATGCTGCCAATGACGACGCCGAACGATGGTAATCACTATACTGGTAGCTCACAAGGGTACGTTGCAGCAAAAATAATGATAATAATGACGTCATGTGATTCAACCATAGGGTATTCTGATTTCCATGATTAACATCAAAAATATTAAATATATATGCCTTAGGCATGCATTCATTCATTATTCCACATTATTCCAACTCCACATCATTCCACATTATTCCAATTACACTTTATTCCATATTATTCCACCTTCTTCCAATCCTTATTCTAATTCCACATTATTCCCGCTTATTCGACATTATTCCACTTCTACCTTATTCCACCTTTTCCCGCATTATTCCACCTTATTCCACCTTGTGGACCATCAAATAATTTTGCTATGGTATGTCAACCTCGGGTTGATGTTTGTTTGAGGTTACCCATGGGTAGAAATGTTTGCGTAGTTCGACTTGCCAATCTCGTTTCCACTAGAAATCTTTTTAAAAAAGTAATGCCCAAGGAGCGAGAATGCAGTTTTGTTAACTTCAAAGTTTATTGTAAAAAATTATTATTACAAAAATACTGATTTTGTAACCTAAAAGGTTAGATTACATCAGTATCGAATATATGAATCATTGTTAAAATCAGGTGGGGCTGTTTTATGTGTATCCGATCGAATCTAGCTGAAATGTTACCACCACTGAGATCTGGTCTTGCTGTAATCTGAGAGTGAAATTAAAAACCTTGGCCCCGTACACGGATGGAAAATAAAGCCTTCATTAGTTGGTCAAAAATGAACATGATGATGAATCACCGCCTCGCCCCTCAATGAACAAAAATATTTGCATATATATAACCACTTGTTCCTAACCGCTGTTGCGGTTGAATAACTAATTCGGATCGATTCAAAATGGCCCATGTAAGATTTTTTGCCGGAAATGTGATATCACCAAAAACTGCTATCACGTAGTTAAAACCGTATCTCATATCACAGTAAAATATATTTCTTTCATGGTCTACTAAATTTGAAAAGCCAAGAGATCTGGCCTAATTAAAATTTTGACACATTGGTTTAGTGAACCATGGGTTGAGGCTTTGAGCGGTCCAACCTTATGTCTTGTAATGTATATAGCAGCATATCCACTGAAGCAAATGCAGTTACTGCTTTATCAATAACTGACTATATTTCATACGTCAGAAGTGAATTGGATCCAAAAAAAAATTGGATCGTGTGAAGTCACTGTGAACAGACCTTTACGGAACCATGCTTCGGTGCATCAGTATGCAATGTCTTATATGCTAATAGTGTGCAAAACTTCATTATAATTACAAGAAAGAAAATGTTATTCTTCAACACCGGAATAATTAAAAGACATCAGAACGCTGATCATGAATGATGGTATAAAAATTGTCACCTTCGGGCTATAAAATACAATGTAAACCCGTCAATTTGTTTCGTCCTTAATGATTGAGTGCTCTAATCCAATGCTTATAACTTCGACGGGATTAAAAGTTGGCGATATCACAGGGTAATGTAAACTATACGACATCTTGTTAGCTAATTTAGTCGTTTTATGGCCGTCTATATATCGGTTTGTTCGTTCAGTGAACCAGCCGTGCTCTGTTTTCGGAATTATTGAATAGTCTGATTCCCTTTAGTATTTTCTATAACTGACAGATTTGAGCCATTGAATTGTGATATCTCCTCGATATCATGGGCTTGTATAAATAGAGATCTGTACATTGTAATATCAGTTGGACCATATTGATCAATGTATATAAGATAAAGAATTACTGAAAAAAACCTTAACGTTGATAGTAAAGCATAGTGTTCATATAGTATTACTGTATCGTACGTTAATAATAATACTAATGTACATCACCGAGGTACAATACGAAGATTGGAGCACTAGCACTCGATGAATATAACGTCTAGATTCAACTTACATGCTGTTTGTGTCTACCCCATTCCATAAGGCATAAATTCCTATCCAGCAAAGCTTACAGTGAAACAGAAACGGCTCACCCCCCTTTGGGAAACTTATTGCTATAATATAATATAACAACTTCAAAATGAATTACTATGAAGCACGATTAATTCTACTCAGTCTAATTCTACTCTCTCTACGCACCAAGGCAACTTGCGTTAATATTACGCCTATATGCACTTGTGGATAGGCAAACCGCAAACAATGATGTTTTGTGCTTCACTAGCGTCTAACCCTCGAAAAGCAAAATATAGAATATTGCTACTTGCATTTCTTACCTCTAATACAATGCCACCAACTCTGCATACATAGCTCTTTTCCGGCAAATATATAATCACTAGTAATCTAGTATACCCTTAGCCTGGCCTCGCGGTTTCTCCCCTCCCCTTTTTTAAGTATGGCTACGTCCCTGAAAGTCGTCATCATCGATATCGTCAAATTATCATTGAGAATTTAGAATCATCATTGAAAGAGGTATATCTTGTCGTGTTTACGCCACGAGCCAAGCCTGGCCTAGACCTATTTGTGAACTTGGTTTTTGTAACGTTGGACGGACTTCGGCGAGGCTTTAGCCTATATCAGAACAGGTTGCACCAAGTTTTCGAGGCATGATCGAATTCGTCGAAGTATATTTACAATCGGAAATCTACTTCTAAACTAGGCCTTTGGTGCACGCTAGTCTAGGCTTGTATAGTGTCTATAAATTGAAACCTGGGCGTTCTTTCTCCCCTTATCCCTGCTGTTAACTGACAAGAGGGCCGGTTGCTGCCCATCTGCTTCTCACTTCTGCATAGCGTCCTGGATAGTCCATCTTATATTATAAATAACACGTGCAAATCACACATCCTTGGTTGTGATCCCTCTGTTTGCCAAAGAAATTTTAGGAAAACATGAAGATCTGTGCACTATTAATATTCCCCACTATTTAATGACCCAATATTGTTATCTTTTCATGACAGATTTTGCCATTTTACGTGTGCACCCAAAGTAGATTTAAGCAGTTAATTATCAAAATACCACACACAGGACGTAATGATGAATGCCTCATACGAAGATTTATCTCGAAGAACAAGTCGATACAGTAATGGTGAAACCAAAGCTTTCAAAGAGTTGTTGGCGGGTAAATGAATTCAAATGAAGCCAAAATTGCTTATGCTAGGAAATTGTCGAACTCGCTTTCACTTGTACTCACTCTTAGTAAGCAAGCTTTCGGTCTACAAATTGTGTAGCACATATAACTTCTTAAGCGTACGTGAACATTGTTCGTTATAGGAAAGACATCGCATGTGAACGAGGCTCTTCACGCTGTAGTCGAGAATAAACTGCATCAAACTGCATTGTCGGAGAGCAACAACAGTGTGTTAGAAAGAAACCGAGCTCTACTTCAATATATTGCGACATTGGCAGGTTCAAACAAGAAGAATGACCACTTTAACTATGAGTTTGTGGAATCTCTGATTAAAGGTGGCGCTGATATCAACATTGCTGACCAACACGGACAGTCAATGTTTCATGAGGTAGCACGTTCTTGGAATATAGATGTGGCAAAGTTTCTCCTAGAACAAGGTGGGCATCAAAAGGCTTTACATACATCTCGCTGAATATATATGACTGTATAAGACCCAACTATTAGTGATAACTCCAAAACTTCAAACACTTCGGGCTTATTATATAGATTCGTTAGATCTTTAAGACATCTTAAATATATAATACACAAATAGCCATTATTTTTTAATCCAATCATGCATGCTTATCGCGTTTACAATTTGAGGTTTTGCCGTTTCAACCCTAATCCAGAACCTATGATTATGTCAATCGATTCAATCCTTCATACACATCTTTAAGGTGGAAACATAAACATACAAGACAGCTTTGGTCGAACACCTTTACACGTCGCTGTGTCAGTGGACTTTGCTGAAATGGCAGGATATCTGTTGGAAAATCATGCAGATATTGATGCAAGAACGTTAGGGGAGTTACAAGCTCCAATTCATTACGCTGCAAAGAATGGTGCAGAAAAGTCACTCAAACTCTTATTAGGATATCACGCAAATATTGACTCCCTTGACTACAGACAGCGTACACCACTACAGGTAAACTGACACACACAGAAACACGACTATCTCTACTAAATATAACGCAGTAACGCTCACTTATATTTATTGAGATTGTAACCAAACTAGGACAAGTATGCTAAAGCACTTTTAGTTTAACAGTGTGATCACGCAAAGTTACACCTGCATGGTCACCCATTTACAAATGTGGCTTTGCGCGATCGCATGACTCCAAGTGAAATAGGTCTAGTTTGAAAACACTTCGGCCAAGAGTTGTTGCCCAAAAGAGACTTTTACAGTCTTAATTGTTATAAGCATGTTCTTTATTTTAGCTGGCAGCAGAGTGGTCGCGTGAAAAGACGGCCAAAGTATTGATAGACGAAGGTGCTTCCTCTTGTCTTCTCGACACTTCTGGGAATTCTGCCTTATCAGTTCTTATCGATCGAATACCACAACTCTCGCTGGAAGCTCTCAATCAGCTCCACAGTACAGATCTGATTACAATGAAAGAGTTTTACCACATCAACTTCCTAGAGGCATCTCGCATAAAAGTTGAAACAAAGAAAGCTCGAACTCCGCTTGAAACTGCTGTTGTCACAAGAAAGTTTGAAGTGGTGTCCCATCCAGTTATACAGCGTTTGATTCATAACAAATGGATATATTTTGGTAGAACGGCGACGATTTTGGATTTATGTTTCTATATCTTGTTCAACGTTTTGTGGACAGCGATGTCGATGTTAACTCCTGTTACTGGTCAGGAATTATACGAGCCATTAAGTGATAACGCTTGGCGAGTAGTACTTTTGCTTGTTATTGTTATCATGATTATTTACCAATTTGGAAGACAAGTTAGAGGTGCGTTTATAATTCATTAGACAGTCCAGAGGCCGATTGTACGAAACCCATTTATCCGACTTAAATGATAGACAGGCAGATTTAAGTTCAGTAAAAACTGTTATGCTCTCGTTTCAACTCCCCCCCCCCTTTCTTTTCTTCATATTTTCCCCTTCATCTTCGTGTCATCTCTCGTATTTAGTGACCAGCTATCACAATTTATTAATTGATATTTATAGCAACTCTGAAAAACGTTAGAGCGAAAACCCACTGGATCAAATGGCAGACTGAGAAACTTCAAGAAGACCTAAAGTACTGTCATCCACGCTGGCCTCAAGAGTCGAAAGCCATAGAACACGAAATAAAAAGAGTGAATAAACTGAAAGGATTCAGTGCAGAGGACTTGTGGTTCTACTACGACTGGATTGTGTTGGTCGTTATGATTGTTGCACTTTCTATGCATGTTGCCTTCTACAAAACTGACAACTATGACACCAAATATGTGTACACACGGATTCTGAGCATTGCCAATCTTATTGTTTCCCTCCGTTTGCTTGAAACTATGAGACCATTCCCAGGCATTGGGACCCTTGTCATAATCCTTGGTGAAACAAGTGGTGATTTCATTAACTGGGCGTTCTTGTTTTTCCTTCTCCTTATTCCATTTACCGCAGCATTTTGGATCATTTTTGGCGGCCTGTCATTCAAACCTGTCGAAAATTATCACGAAACAGGAGACTTACTGTATTCAGTATTCAGGATGGCCGTTGGTGATGACTTTAATTTGGAAGGACTGGTTGAAGCGGAACCCGTTATGGCTCGTATTCTTACATGTCTGTATGTCACTGCGATGACTATCGTAACACTCAACTTATTAATTGCGTTATTATCGGATACTTTCACACGAGTTTATGGTAATGCGATAGCGAACACACTCATGCAGAGAGCCATCAAAGTAATCGAAGCCGAACGAGCTTTAACAAAGAAAAAGAAACAAGGATATCGGGAGTACATAAGGATGAACTGTAGTCCAGAAATCATTGACAGTGTTGTCAATGCTGCTGACCCAGAAAGTTTTGCAAGCTCAAAAGAACTGACCACCAACCTGAGCACAATGAAACAAATCCTTGATGATAGGTTTGCAAAAGTTTACGGAATGAACAAAGTCTCAGATTTTGACAAAGTAAAAAATGATATAAACAAGATACGCCAGCGTCAGAATGAGGACTACGATAACCTTACAGCAATACAAAGATTGTTAAAACACGCAAAAGGTGATGTCACTTTTATCTAATATGTAAAAACCTATTCTATGGCGTAAAGACATTATTCAAGTATGAACCATTCACTATCAAAGTTTGCGCCGTTCTAATATCAAATCGATTGCGTGTTTTCCAGGAAAACAAACTGAAATTATGGACTCAAAGGTTATCGAGTGCCTAAATCAGATTCTTTTCCATTTTTGAATCCTTATAATTACACATCCTAAACATGCAATAACTGACTTCACTAATGTTTTGCTTTCATGCAATTATTATTCACTTTCTCATAATTGTTTTCTAATCATTTGCCAGGAGGTGGTCGTGGACCGGCCCCTAGTTCCTCCTCATCAAAGAAGAAAAAAGATACGAAAGTGCAAATTCCTGGTCTAAGTTTGTTAAGAGAAAACATTCATTGGTTTTCAAGCGAGGATGAAAATAAAGACAAACGACAAAGAAAGGCAACACAAAGAGATGAAAAACAGAAAAAACGTCGACACAAAAGAAAAGATGAAGCTCGCGAAAAAAGTGAAAGTCCAGAGACTGCTATCGTTCCTTATGGTACCGTACAATCCAGGGTCACTAGAGGAAATATTGATAATATGAATGTCAATAACTCAAATGATGATGAAGGATGGGATACAGTTAGCATTGATAGTGTTACTTTGTAGACTTTCTGTGTATTGATATTCAATGTTAGTTCAGTTCCTTGCATGAAAGAAAGCATTAGGGTTTTTCTATGAATTAGTCTTACAAAAGACGTTTCGAATTTGATTAGAAGGAGAATAGTTATTGTTATTAATTTCATCTGGAGCAGAACCTTCATTTTCATGCAATTATATAATGTCATTCCCTGCCTTCATTGTACACGACGAGTTCAAAACTGATGCTTACTCGTATGCAAGCTCTTCGCTCAACTACTGCAATTGTACAGAAATTGCCCGAGGATCATCATCAAATAATCAAAACAAAAAACAATGCTCCCTTTGCCTTTTGGGAGTTAATTCGTATTCTAATCGTGCGAGAGATGAGTGAAGTAAAAGTGTGGACTGTGGTCAACTGCGTCTTAATTACAAGAAAATTAATGTGGCAAATTTCCATATGAATAGGCATCAGTTTATTTAACTCACCTTGTACGGAGTGTATAAGAAAACTTTAGGAACATTATACAGTGGCGTAGCCAGCATTGATAATTGTGGGGGGTCATATTGAGTCTCATTTATTCATGATAATAGCCAGTAAAGACAATCCAATTCAAAAGAAATTAATAACTTCTTATTAACCGAGCGCGAGGTGTTTACCGAGAAATATTGGACCAAGGTCTTTGTACAAAAAGATCGAGCCTGAAGTTAATTCGTGATTTTGATGATGGTCGCGCCATTAAGTACATTTGCCAGAATAATTCATGACTGGAATTGGAAAGAATGACAAGTCAGAGAGGTTTACGTCAAAATATCTCAACTATACATGATGCTGGAGAATGTCAATTCGATTGAATGTCCATCTAGGCCCTAGCGCATGAATAAATTCGATATAAGAAAAATTGTATACTTGTAGTTTAAATATATAGATATTGTAAAATTTATATGCTTTCAAATACAGTTTTATCAAAAACACAAAAATCTTCTTGCCAGCGAGGAAATGATTTATTTTTTTAATTTGTCCATGTCTTTCAAAGATACTGATACGTGATTCATCCAGCTGATCAATTAACATTTTATTCCTCCTCCTCTATATATTGACCATGTACGCTACGCCTCTACAAGATTAAGAGATTTTGATTCACAATTTTACTTCTTTGCGAACTCTACGGCCGAAAGGTTGTTGAAAAGTGTCGGCTTTTAATGACGGATTTTGTTCATTCAACGTGTATACACAAAGTATATTTCAGTAGCTAACAATCAAAATATCACATAAGGCATATAACTATGAATAGAGGAGCCGATTCCTACATAGACTTGGCTCGAAGAACAGGTCGATACAGTGATGGTAAAGTCAAAGCCTACAAAGAACTGATGACGCAAAGCATGACAGGTATAAATATATAGTATATGTTCCAATGTTCGAATGAAATATGAAATATATATAACTGATTCTATAATTTGTAAGCCTGCGTTACTATGGTTTGTTACAGGGCAGGCATCGCTTGTGAACGAGGCTCTTCACGCTGTAGTCGAGAATAAACTGCATCGAACTGCATTGTCAGAGAGCAACAGCAGTGTTTTGGAAAGAAACCGAGCTCTACTTCAATATATTGCGACATTGGCAGGTTCAAACAAGAAGAATGACCACTTTAACTATGAGTTTGTGGAATCTTTGATTGCAGGTGGCGCTGATATCAACATTGCTGACCAACACGGACAGTCAATGTTTCATGAGGTAGCACGTTCTTGGAATATAGATGTGGCAAGGTTTCTCCTAGAGCAAGGTTAGCAACAGCCTTGGAATTTTAAAGGATCATTATTAAAATAATATAGGCCGTTAGGCTTTATCTAGACAAAAAATTTGCAGACCAAAGATATATGTAAATATATATATATATATATATATATATATATATATATTAATATATATATATATATATATATAGTCAAACTTCTTATAATTAAGCCAAGTAAATCCTGTATTTAATGTCAATCTTTCATAATTATACATTTTATGCATGTGATTTTATCAAGGTGGAAACATAAACATACAAGACAGCTTTGGTCGAACACCTTTACACGTCGCTGTGTCAGTGGACTTTGCTGATATGGCAGGATATCTGTTGGAAAATCATGCAGATATTGATGCAAGAACGTTAGGGGAGTTACAAGCTCCAATTCATTACGCTGCAAAGAATGGTGCAGAAAAGTCACTCAAACTCTTGTTAGGATATCACGCAGATATTGACTCCCTTGACTACAGGCAACGTACACCACTACAGGTAAACCACTGTGGTACTATATTCAAATTGAATCGATAACATTTGAAACATCGAAATAGTGAACATGCATGCATTTGCGTGTATGCATCATACATGGAAGGCTCGAGACAATTTGGCAAGTTAGTGATGTAAAGTAAGAAAAAAATGTCTTTTGCAAGACCCATGATGCATGCATAAAATATCAGACTTTATCGTCGTTTCATAGAAACAATTCACAAAATAGCTACCTTTCTTTTTTAATGCGTTTAAGGACAGGGTACATACATGTAGGACTTAAGTCAACTCATGCATGCTTTATACTTTTAAGGAATATCTTTATGGCAACTGATGGCAAAAGTTTAACTATCACCTTTAATCACGACTTTATAGAATACGCAACAATGTAAAGTCTATACCCCAAACTAGTTACATAACTATATAGACTTGTGCTGTGTAGTTTTAAATTAGTTACATAACTAGACTTGTACAATGCAAGTCTAGTTATGTAACTAGTTTGGGGTTATCAGAAGCCCTATCAGGAGCCAATCAGAAGCCTTAGTTTCACCAATAATGCTACTTGCAGAATTGCTCATACTGCAGAGGTTGTGTCACGTCACAATGGTCACATGGCAGGTTATACAGTAAACAATCACTTCAGTGTTTGATCATTACAAACTGCGGCAGTAAAAACTGAAGACAATATCAGAAAATTTCTTGAGGAGTTGAACTACCTCCTACCAACTCAAATAAAGTCCTTTCGCCGTTTTGCAAGAATTCAAGGAGCACTATTTTACACGCCAGGGGCCGGTTGTATCAAAGCCGGATAGCGTTATCCACCGGATAGTGATTTTTTCAACCGTTCTAAAAATGCTCGAAAAGCGATAAAATTTTAGCTTGAAAGCAACAATTATTAAAGAGGATCCTCGATTTAGGAATACTGAGATTTAATCAAAGTTGTGCCAAATAACGGGCGATTTTGAAGCGATTGAAAAAATCACTATTCGGTGGATAGCGCTATCCGGCTTTCATACAACCGGCCATGCAGGCAATGTGAAAAGGTTTTTAAAACATCAAAGTCAAGTGTTGATGCTCGAATGAGACTTTTTTATTATATATTATTGCATTTGAAAACACGTTCTATGTTTTAGCTGGCAGCAGAATGGGCACGTGAAAAGACGGCTAAAATATTGATAGACGAAGGTGCTTCCTCTTGTCTTCTAGACACCTCTGGAAATTCAGCCTTATCAGTTCTTATCGACCGAATACCACAACTCTCGCTGGAAGCTCTCAATCAACTCCACAGTACAGACCTAATTACAATGAAAGAGTTTTACCACATCAACTTCCTAGAGGCATCTCGTATGAACGTTGAAACAAAGAAAGCTCGAACTCCGCTTGAAACTGCTGTTATCACAAGAAAGTTTGAAGTGGTTTCCCATCCAGTTATACAGCGTTTGATTCATAACAAATGGATACATTTTGGTAGAACGGCGACGATTTTGGATTTATGTTTCTATATCCTGTTCAACGTTTTGTGGACAGCGATGTCGATGTTAACTCCTGTTACTGGTCAGGAATTATACCAGCCATTAAGTGATAACGCTTGGCGAGTAATACTTTTGCTTGTTATTGTTATCATGATTATTTACCAATTCGGAAGACACGTTAGAGGTGCGTTTCACATATTCTTTAAATATTTCGAAATTGTGGAAACTTTTCTTTCTCTTTACACCCTGCACGGTCCATTACGGGAAAGTAATGGACCGCAAAAAAATCCTTCTCAACCAATCACAGCGCGTTTCTCCCCGGAGGTGACGCTTAATTGCTATATGTAACATTATAGATTATATCTAAAGGCGGATTTCCATTCAGTGCAAAATGTCGCGCGATCGAGTTTTTGCTTTTTTTTAAAATGCGTTCATTCAAGCTCATCTAATGGGATTAGTTCCGCTTGACTGTTTGTATTTCAAATGAAAGCGATCGCAAAAAGTCGATCGCGCGACATTTTGCAGTGAATGGAAATCCGCCTTAACTTGTGTACCGCGATGTCACAAGGCTTTTTGTTCTTACCACATTCTGACGTCATCTTTCTATTAAGAGGCAGTTTACATGAGCCCGGTTACCCGAGATTCAACGAAGCGTGAGATAATTTTGAGGTATTGAAATGAGCAGATAACATTAACCTGGCAATCGTATAATCACCACAACAATAGCATGTGCTTGTTGTGTGCATGAAGACTTATTTCAATACCTAAAAGTCCTCTCGCGCTTCGTTGAATCTCGGGTAACCGGGCTCATGTAAACAGCCCCTAAATGTAATCTATTCGTTAATTAGCAACCTTGAAAAACGTTAGAGCGAAGACCCACTGGATCAAATGGCAGACTGAGAAACTTCAAGAAGACCTAAGGTACTGTCATCCACGTTGGCCTCAGGAGTCGAAAGCCATAGAACACGAAATAAAAAGAGTGAATAAACTGAAAGGATTCAGTGCAGAGGACTTGTGGTTCTACTACGACTGGATTGTGTTGGTCGTTATGATTGTTGCACTTTCTATGCATGTTGCCTTCTACAAAACTGACAACTATGACACCAAATATGCGTACACACGGATTCTGAGCATTGCCAATCTTATTGTTTCCCTCCGTTTGCTTGAAACTATGAGACCATTCCCAGGTATTGGGACCCTTGTCATAATCCTTGGTGAAACAAGTGGTGATTTCATTAACTGGGCATTCTTGTTTTTCCTTCTCCATTTACCGCATCGTTTTGGATCATTTTTGGCGGCCTGTCGCTCAAACCTGTAAAAAGTTACAGAAAGCCAACAGACTTATTGTATTCAGTATTCAGGATGGCCGTTGGTGATGACTTTAATTTGGAAGGACTGATTGATGCGGAACCCGAAATGGCTCGTATCCTTACATGTCTGTATGTCGCTGTGATGACAATTATAACGCTCAATTTATTAATTGCATTATTATCGGATACTTTCGCAAGAGTTCATGGTAATGCGGTTGCCAACACACTCATGCAGAGAGCCATCAAAGTAATCGAAGCCGAACGAGCTTTAACAAAAAAGAAGAAACAAAAATATCGGGAGTACATAAGAATGAACTGCAGTCCAGAAATCATTGACAGTGTTGTCAATACCGACCCAGAACGTTTTGCAAGCTCGAAAGAACTGACCACCAACCTGAGCACATTAAAACAAGTCTTGGACGACAGATTTGCGAAAATTTACGGCATGAACAAAGTCTCAGATTTTGACAGGCTTAAAGATGATATAAGCAAGATACGCGAGCACCAGGAAGAGGATTACCGTGATCTTGTTGCGATACAAAGAATGCTAAAACAACTACAAGGTGATGCCATGCATGTTTAGCTTTCGTACAAATGTGTTAAAAATGCTCTCATAATAAAAAAAAAATTAATTAATGTTGACACTTTTATTCCAAATACCTCCAAACGATAGGTCATTGAAATAATTTCTCTGCCAAATCCCCCCAAACAAAAAGATGTATTGAAGTATAGAGATCCTGATACTCGACCCATCTTTTTATTGACTTCCTTCAAGGTGGTCATGGAGCTTCAGCTAGGTCCTCGCCAAAAAAGAAAAGGGAGAAGAAAGTACAAATTCCTGGTTTAAGTCTGTTCAGAGAAAACATCCATTGGTTTTCAGGCGAAAACAAAGGGGAAAAGAAACCAAAACAAAGAGATGAAAAACGTCGGCGCAAAGGAAAAGATGAAAATCGTGAAAATAGGAATAATCCAGTGACTGCTATCGTTCCTTATGGTATGGCACAATCCAGGGTGGCTAGAGGAAACATTGCTCCTCGGAATGATGTTGCTCGTTCCTCACGCAACGATACAGGATGGGATACAGTTAGCATTGATAGTGTTACTTTGTAGGTCAGTGTGACGTGAGCTTTTATTGAAAATATATTGAGGAGGAATAATTGCAGAAGCAAGAATTAGGGAGCAGAATATCACCTTCTAAAAGAGCTATAGTATCGTATACTATAAGAATTCATTAATATTTTGTTTCATAATTCATTTTCGGCGTCGCCTTGTTGAATGGAACATTCCACCTTTCAAAACATTCTCACCATATAGCACTCATAAACATTCGTTTTTTGCTTTATGTAACACGACAATATTAATGAATTAAGTACTGTAAACAAATTGCAAATGATGCATAATATAATACACCATGCAGCGCTTGCAGCAAACATATTAACGCGGATTATCGCGCATATGGTAACTGTTTTTTCGTATTTACGTTGGGAGTTGACTTCGTGGATAAGCATGGACAAATCTTCGCATTCGTAATCTTCGTAAAATTCTTCGAAATTTTAATTTAATGTCACGTGATAAAAAAGTTATATAATTACTAAATGTATGTTAAGGTTTGAACAATACAACTATTAATATTTCGTATAAGATATAGCACCGACACACAAGAAAATATGTGCGTCTGAGAACATATGGCTATATGATTTGCTCCTCGATTTGGTCATGTTATATAAGTTGTGAAAATCATATATGCATGTGAATTATGTGCATATTTGTTTGAATGAATGCAAAAGAGGTTGGTGCAAAAGACGTGCTTTTCACACATTATATTATTTATATATTAGTATAATATTATATGAATATTGCTCATGTAATTGTAGGTTTGTAGTAGAGAAATACATATGCTGGTTCCGTTTTCAAGGAATATAGTAAACTCACAGAATAGTAGCTATCAAAACCGTACGTCGAAAGTGGCCTTTTCAAATAAAATCAGTCAACCCATCGAACATCGAAGGATCTCCTGTATTTTATACACGTCGTTTCACGTGGTTTTCTTTTCGGATTCTTCCACAAACAACTGCATCTGTGGTGAGATGGAATTTAATATGAAGTTTGTAAGAAAACCAGTCTAAATTCTTAAATAAAATATATCTATAGTGTCTTTATATATCACCCAAGGCGTTTCTGGCGACTCATAATCACTCCGTGGCACAAAAACACCGGCGTAATAGAGTACGAATTCATGAGCAGAGATAAAAAATAGATCGAAGGCACAAAACACATTTTCATGAACTGATTGCACTCGCAGCTACTAGTGAAATTTTGTATTTGTTTTAACTAGACGAGTAGCGTAGTTAATCAGAATATACTAGCATCTGCGAGCGAACGAAAGATAAAGATCACCTCATGCATGAGGTAATTTCCACTTGTTCAGGGCTGGTTTTCGAAAAAATTTCCCTAAAACGCGTCTTCAGGCATATAGCAGTTAGTGAGTGACTTTTTGGAATACAGGCCACAGGCGTCTTTTTGGGTTCGCAGTGCCACCCTGCTAGCGGGGCAAATACAACAGTAAAAACAATTATATTCCCTTGATGTTAGTTTCCAAGTGCAGAAACAATTAATAGCGAAAGCTATGAATTGTATATGAAGGCTATGAAGGCAATGAGGTGCATGTATATATGTATACTGTAACCAGCTTACACCGGACGCAACGATATACAGTAATATGAGCTCACCTTAAGTATTTCGGACGATGTGGATTTCAGCGGAATGATGGATGAAGATTTCATTTCTGTTTCATTTTTTTCAACATTCATCCAAGGGAATGCCTAATAAATTCACACAATGCATAAGTTATATACATGCATATAACATTGCAGGGGTTTCATATATAATGTGTTCGTATAGATGAATGATTATACTTAAAAAGTATTTCTAACCAGAAGCAGTTGCGAAAAAATTCAAATAAAAATCCTCTGAAGGAAATCGAAACCCGTGCAGCAGAAATAATACCTGAGTTTTATCCTCATCTTCTACCCTTAGAACCGCTGACTGTTTAGTATAAACCAACAAAGAAAATCTGCAATCTGAAAATAAATATAAATGGGTTGGTTGCCTTGCAATACCCACTTTACATGTAGAAGGTAGATGTGGTATAGTTTTACAATCTTTCACATGTATTCTGTTGAACAAGCGACCATGCAAGTTATGCCGTGTTGACATTCCTTAATCAATTATTAAAACCATATATTGTCAAATCCTTATTTCAGGCAATACTTGGTTTTATCAGTTGCAGTGCATGTAAACAATCTCAAACATGTATTATTAAATGCTTGTGTACAGTGCAAAGAATATTTTCAATGCATCGTAGCTGCATGTGTCTATATAGTAATGCCTTTTTGTTTTCGGCCCAAACTGGTATATTGCCGCGAAAATCAACTCTGTTGTTGTGGCATGCATATATATGGGATTATACAGTCCTGCCTATATATGGGAATGTCGCCGCTCAAATTGAGTCGTCTACACTTTTGTCCTCTCTTCATGAATTTTTAAATGTTTCAAAATAACTCCCGCATAATCTTTGAGGTTTTTCATCGTGGTTTGCCTCTGATCAGCGTGATTAATATGCTAATTGCAAAGCTTGATATAGTAGGAAAGTTCCATTCGTGTACACTGTCTTAATCATGAAACATTCGAGGAACAAATAAGTTATTTTCAAGAAATTAAATAAAGTCGACGAATTAAGTAGCAATAGTAAACCGATAATTTGTTTAAATATACAATGTATTTCGGAGAATATGTTTCGTTTCAAGTTAAATTTATATAGACCCCAGTGGAATGGAATTTGTGTGAATACGAAATATTTCTAGGGAAACCTGCAATGGTCTAAATTAGATGCATGTAGTTTTATTACACAGATGTAATTCACACAAAATAAAAGATACAACTATAGAAGAAGGATGCCTGTAGATAAAAATTATATGCATAAGGTGAATGGCCATGCATCGCCGTGCTTGAAGACGAAGTACTTTTGTACATTTCATATATAGCGGAGTTAAACGGTCACTTTTAAAGTATAAAAAGGTCTGCATGACTAACATTTACGACGTTTTCTGGGCCCAGGTACAGAATTATGCTATTATATTAACTCCCTGGCGAAGTAAGTTAACCGAAGTCCATAGGAGGCATGCTCGCAAGCCAGGCTCTTCTATAGCTCGTTGTCGAGCAAGTGAAAATATATATAATGAAAATATAAAATATACATTCACATGTATAGAATACACTAATATTATATGATAATATGCACTCATGGTCACATCGTCCATTAGATAAAATCTAATGAAAGGGAACATAACATATCAGTTGACGCAAAGCCAAATGTCTCATGCAAACATGGCACATTAGCATACATCACGATATTCGCAGATTTCCATCGCAGTTTTGCGGTCACGCCGTGAAATATTTATTACATTCAGTGTTGGCCCCATCTGCGTCGAGTCATAATAAATTATTCCTTCAAGCTTATAAGTAATCCGAAGGTGATATTTAACGAGAGCAGGCGTTTTCATATCGTCACGCACCGTTTTAATCCATTTCAATTTGTTCTAAATTGAATTCTTACCAAACCGCTTCTTAATTTCCAACGCGTTCAACCGAAAATGTTTGGCGGCACCGGGCGTTTGTTGTCATTGCACCAGGACGATGCACCTCGCAGGGGAAGTTTTCTTGGAATGAATTTTCAACTAACAAGCAGAGGCAGCATTCAACTTGTTGAAGGAGTCGATCAGCGTCTTCCGTTATGCACGTCGGAGACATTCGTAAGCGGCCGCCGAGTGAAAATTCTTATCCGGGGCGAGCTCTTCGAAACATTCGAAGAGACATTAATGAAATTTCCAGACACATTGCTGGGGTCGCGTCGTAAACGACGCCAACATTACCAACCAGAAAAGGATGCTTACGTCTTCGAAGAACGTAACAAGTTCGCATTTAACGCGATTTTATTTTTTTACCAATCTGGGGGTATTCTAGCCAAGCCAGAAGACGTACCTTTTACTATTTTTACAAGAGAACTTGAGTTCTTTGAATTAGTGGATTACTTTCCAGCATGTTGGACCCTCAAAGCCGTGCCAGTGGAACTACCAAAGAGCCCATGGCAAAAGACTTTATGGAGCCTTTTTCAAGACCCAAAAAGTTCGACAGTTGCCATGCTATTTTCATGGATATCTTTTTCCTTCATAGTAATCACAACGGCGATATTTTGTTTTGAAACCACTAAAATAGGGTATTTATTGTTGTGTAAAAACAACGGTACCGTTCCGAATGTTAAAGCCCCAATCTGTGTCCAAAATACAGAATGGTTTATCGTAGATAGCGTTATAACCGCTTGGTTTGTACTCGAGTACGCTGCAGGCTTGTTGACTGCGCAGCGAAAAGTCAAGTTTGTCTTCTCCTTCCTCGGTGTCATTGACCTTCTTTCGATTCTTCCCTACTTTGGAATTTTATTTTTAGACACAGACGGCGAAGCCCAGTTTCATATGCGTGCGCTTCGACTGCTTCGTTTTACAAGAGTGATACGAGTGCTAAAGCTGGCACATCACATCGAGGCACTTCGCTTGCTGGGCTATACCATAAAACAATGTTTATATCTACTAGTGGGGCTCATGTTGTTGGTCGCTATTTTAACAATATCATTGTCATCTCTGATCTATTTTGCTGAAAAGGACTTAAAAACATCGTCAATCAAAGATTCGCCTGACGCAGCATGGTTTGTCATTATTACATTAACCAATGTTGGATATGGTGATGTAGTCCCGGCCTCTGTGCTTGGTAAGATGGTTGGAGCAATCACGACGATACTAGGAATTTTGATCGTGTTCATCCTACCTGCGCCAGTATTGCTTAATCATTTCGAGGAAATTTATAGCCTTCGCAAAGAGCGAAAGAAGTTGAAAGACGCCGGCATAAAAATAGATGGAAGCGTCGCAGATATATTACAGAATATATCCTAAGGTACTGTACTTAGATATACTTAATGATGTAGAGATGAAATCCAGAAATATTTACTTTGAAGGCAAAGAGTGACTTGTGCAACGGTTTGGAAAGAGGAATTATTGGGGACAAAATATTTTTGTGCATTTTATTCAAAAGATATATAAATCATAACGTCGACTTTACCAGGTGGATTTGGTTTCAACATAGCATCACAGACACTAATTTTTAATAGGAAGGCTCGAAGAGCAGACTCGATGTGGAAAAAATACTTGTCATCAGTTCTAAAAGTAAAAAGAAGACTAAAATGCTATAAATCTGCTTGCCTTTGCTACCTTTGCTAGCCTCATATTAAACCTTTTACATAGAACCTTATTGAAGTAATACTTGAAAAGTGTATTACTGTACGTATTAAGTTTATTACCAACAATAAAATGACTACTAATAAATCTTTAATGAGCAGGAAAATAATCACAACATGATTGCAAGATTGTAAATTAGTTGCATGGTGGGGGCTCAAATATTCGCCTAATTTTAACTGTTGAACTGCATTCTACTGCAACCATATAAGCGTATATCTTTTTTAAAAGTCACATCCAAGCTAATGCCCTGGAAACAATATATAACGCGAACGCCACCTGTGATTCGGTTGAAGCTAGTCGAATGCAGTCTAGCTGAGTGTTGCGAGATGTTTTGTTTAAATATAAAGCCTAATTTAAAGTTGCGGTTCGCTGCATCTTGGAGAACGTCTGCACACAAGACGTGAAAACCTGAATTTTGCCTTTGTAAAATGTGTTATATTGATGTAATATGTTTTAATTCAACATATATAAATGTTCTCAATTATCTCTTTAAGTATAGAAAAAAATCTATTTAGATAATACCTCCTATGGCAAACATCTTCACCGAGCCTATGTAATGCAAACGAGTTCAAACGAAGATATCAGTCTTTACATTCCCATTTAGGCTGTCCGACATATAATAAAGAGTCTGTTCAACATTGTGATGGTACTACCAATTTTTCAGCTTGCCTAGTTGGCAACTCAGAATAGCACGATATGCACTCGTATATCAGTCATATGCACTAGCTATCACTATCACTCTGAGTCCGTTCAATATTTTAGCTAACCTTAGAGAAGCAAATTCTGACGGAATTTGAATTTCAAACACAAACTTTTCAAGTGGATGAAACTCCTATATGATGAAAAGTAATTATTTTAATTTTAAAAAGCATAAAAATATCTACGCTGCAATACATGCGTAAGCCGTAAAAGAAAGTTCGAATGGTATATGTAGGCCCATCAGAGGGTGGGGAGGGGTGGACTGGTAAGCGATATATTTGTTTTTGCTCCGCCCCGAGCACCAATGGTTCTGACTTCATATACCCTATCGGCAGGTTAATAAGTGGAATGTCTCGTCAGGTTTAAAAGTTGTATCGGCGGTAATAAACCTATTCTGAATTCTATTCCTAAACATGAATTCGCGATAATCGTTCGACATGGTAACCGTTATATGAACATAAGCTAGTATTAAGGCATTGATTAATAAATATAATAGTTTAATACGTCAAGAGTTGACGCTGGCTAAAATGCGTTAACGGAGAAGAAAAATTGTATACTGACAGAACAATGACCATATATCCACATACTTTGTCAATAATAACAACGCAAATCTTTTCCACTTCACCCTAAACGAATGACAAATAGATCATGCTTTGCAACCTTCCCCCCTCACGGTCTCTTTAAAAATTGTATTTTAGGCTGTGCACAAACTACAGATATTCGGATGACGGGAAAAGATATCTCACTTAACCAAGAAAACCGTAATTAAGGACCAACATGGCCTTTCTTATCAGAATGTGGCTTAACTATGGCATCAAAGTCTGTTCAACTAATTAAGTAGATTAGATTATAATGTAGATTGCCAATATAACCAGAGAGCAGCGTGGCAGCGTCTTCAAACAAATTAGCATCAAATGTGGTATAACTTAACTGCCTAAAATAGACAAAACACTTCTCGACGTTTCGATCTGAGGGCCTTCGTTACTAACTCTCCTGACGAAGGCCCTCAGGTCGAAACGTCGAGAAGTGTTTTGTCTATTTTAGGCAGTTGTTATACCACATTTGATGCTAATTTGTTTGAAGACGCTGCCACGCTGCTCTCTGGTTATATTGGAACTTAATTAAGTAGATGTTGTGCTTTGTATACTGTAAACCGTGTACTCTCTAGACGTGAAAAGGATGATCTGTTGAAACCTATTATGTCCTATTAAAGTCAGAAAATTGCCTTTAGAGCAAGTAGACATATTCTTAGTCATTTCTATTGTCTTACAAAAGGAAAAAAACAAACTGGGGAATTTAGCTGTGTATAATCAGCAAAAGGGGTACAGTCAACAGGGTCAGGCTGTTGCTTCATAATGAATTGCTCCATGAAAGACTGTAACATAAAACAATGTATTTGGAACAGACAGTGTCACATGCAGACAGTGTTGCATCATGCAGTTAGTGTTACATGCAGACAATATGTTACATGCAGACAGTGTTACATGCAGATGCAGACAGTGTTACATGCAGACATTGTTACATGCAGACAGTGTTACATGCAGACATTGTTACATGCAGACAGTGTTACATGTAGACATTGTTACATGCAGACAGTGTTACATGCAGACATTGTTACATGCAGACAATGTTACATGCAGACATTGTTACATGCAGACATTGTTACATGCAGACAGTGTTACATGCAGACAGTGTTACATGCAGACAGTGTTACATGCAGACATTTTACATGCAGATAGTGTTACATAGGGACAGTGTTACATGCAGACAATGTTACAGACTTGTTACTGACGTGCATTCTTTGGTCAATGTGCTTCAGGAAAATCTGACTGTGATGAGGATACAAAATGTGTGAATAAACAATGTATCTATTTCTTCACTGGCAATAAACACAACCAAAAACTTGCCTTTTCCAAACATGGTCTCAGCGTTTTTAGGACATTCTGAATATATTGATTTAATTCTGGATGGCAGGACATCTATGGTACAAAAATATAAACAATGGAAATATCAGTAATTAATTGCATGGAAGATATAATAACACTCTATAGAATTAAAATAGAATTTTGCTCTAGAATTAAACTACAGTAAGCTTATAACAGGAGTTAGCTAATTTTCCAGCTGTAGTGATTTTAGCATACAGAGAAAAAATTAGCCCATAAAATTGTTAAAAATTATAATCCATAAATAATAAATAGCCTTTATAGGCATTTTATAACATTATGGTACCTATGTGATGTCAAATGTTAAATCTTAAAACCTACCTGTACTGGAACATTGTACTTTTTTCGCTTTTCAAATATTCCAGCAGGATAAATCTCTCTTATGTACAGAATAAGATGGATTGCAACCTCCAAAAATTCACATAGTAAGTTTGCTGCAACTGAGACATTTTAAAATGATAATCAGGTATAAATCCAGGTTGTATTAGAAGTGAGGGGCTCCACAATCTATCCATAATTGGTGTGAACAACCTCACCTAGAACTGTTTGACTAAGTCTACTCATGCAAGTATAAATGCACAATTCCAGATGGATAACAAAATTTTGAAGAACATATCAGATCAGCTCAACTGTATACCTACACTAATTTGGATTTACTGAAAAAAATTAATGAATTTTGATGCCTATCCGATTAATGTATTATTATCAGTTCTGAAGGCCTTGACAGATTATACTAACATTAAACTCTGTTTATACCTGTTCCACCAGTAGTTTCAGGTTCTTGAGTTTCTTCCGATTCCATTAGTTTAATCACATTTCATTCCGAGTTCTGTCTCTGTGGTTCTGTCCATTAATGAGGTACTTCATCTTGTAAAAATATTGAGTGTTCTAAAGTTACTGTGAACTAACTGCTGTGAACTATAAGTTTGTGGCAGAATTGGCAAATCAGATCAGAGACTTCAGAGTCGTGTAGTTAAATAAGTTTTCCTCACGAGAACGAGGGTTCTCGGAACGAGAGCAACTACGCAAAATGTAACTAATTTTTTAAAATTAAACAAAAAGTAGTTATGAGTTTTAACAAGGTGCAGATGTTCCGCCATATACCAATACTGTAGTATGTCGAGTATGCGTTGCGAAAAGGTTTACCCAGTTGATGAAGCGATTCAAGCGAGATTCCCACTTGCTCACTGCAAGTAAATAGATGCAGCTAATAACCACGGCAACTAACAAGCACGCATAAATAAGATGTTTGACTGTTTGTTTATTCACTAGTGCAAAAGTGGCTTAGATTCTAACCGTAAGAGATTGAGGGTCTTTGTCTGGAAAATGCTGAGAAAAAAAGCTCATAATAACGTCACGAGTCAGACAAAAAACAAAAAAAAAACAAAAAAGTCTCAAAATATAAATGAAATAACATTTCATAGTCGGAAGAATAAAAGATGAGGTTTACCAAAAAATGAGTTTCTGGGTTTCTCCGCTATAACAAAACTATATGGACCCTTAAGCAAAACTAGCAAAACTTTAATGTCTATTTTTTGCATTTCAGTTCACTTGAAGTCTCATCATCTTGAACACCATCTGTGCGTTCTTATATCTTGTGATTTTCCAGTAAAATAACCTAAAATCAGTAACAATTTCATGTTTAGCAGAAAGTTAAGCCTAAATAATCGAGTTAGATGTATGCTGTTAAAAATGAATCGTACCAAATATGACAGTTGTAGCTATAGGCAGATATACCAGATAATAATGGCATATTGACAAAAGATTGTCTAGTCATATAAGAATTGGTTCCACACCCGTATTTCTTTCCATGCCACTCTATCATTCCACTTATTCAGTTCTGGCATACAGACTGAAAGTCTGGAACAATCGAGATATATAATACCTGTTGATCTTGTTCTTCTGGTTCCATTTTCGTCTTCCTGAACTGTGCCTAAGGATCTTTTTCCAAGTGGCTTCTCACTCCAAATCCAACGAAACTATGAAGAAAAATATACAGCGAGGAACTAGTATAACTTGCCAACTTGGTATAACTTACATTTAAATAACGAATAACGTGGCACAGATGATCATAGCATCATACTAATTCAACTGATTGATATTAAAATTTTCACAGTGCTCTACTCAAACACGAGTACGAAACTAATTTAACTATATTTTACCCCAATCTAAACTAATGTTAGTTAATCAGTAAATAATAATAAAAGTTTCGACTTATACAAACGTAGGCTACATTTGCAGCTGCTATACTGAAAGTCTGAAACTCCAATTGCTAGGAAAGGGCACTGTTCGCAGAGTGCTACCTACACTGTCTGGATATCGCCAAGTGTTAGATAAATTTGGATGAGGTTTATTTTTCCTGTGCCTTGAACATGGCAACATTAATGCTTTTCCCATCGGCTCTTTATCTCGGAACTCTTGTTGGTAAGTTGTCTTCAGTGATGAATAATTTATTGGTGCGAATCTTGCTGTTGCCTGCCTGCATAAAATGACATGATTATTACTATTTCTACTTGTTATTCCACCATTTCTACTTTATAATTTATATTATTTTATGCACGCTGGTAAAGAATGGCCTCTTAAATTTAGGAACTGAACATGTATACATGCAGTATATATGAAATCGCTTTATACAATCTGTTCACGCGGACTTGATTTTCGCGGGCTTTTGCTGCAGGCGAGTGCTTCCGCAGGGACCAGGCTGTAGTGAAGCGTCAATTGTTGTTTTGTTATTTGATGGTGACTCCAATATTTAAACGACGCGTCGCTATGGAAACTAAAGGTTAAACATGTGACAGCTCACACAGGAACCTTCCTTGCTCGAACCAAAACAATTGTAAATCTTTATAGTGATACGTATAGCCTATATAACCTATAACTCTTCTGTCTCCTTTAAACTCATATATAATATACCTTTCCGCTGGAGGTGGTTGAGCGAATCTGCCTTGAAAGGTCTGATGATAATGTGTTCCATACATATGTGTAAACTGATAAGGCTTGTATGCAGATCTGTACAAAGCAGAGAGAGATGTGAGACATTCTCGTCGCCTCTCCCCCGCCTCCTCTCCACGCGTTTCATTTGAACCTAGAATCGAAGAAACGCACAGTTATCCAAAACCTATAGTTGTCAAATCATACAGAGACTGCATAACCAAATCTAATCCGCAGAATAATTGACTCAAAGTGCTTCATACAGCCAAGAGTATTATTTCGTCTGTCTGATTTCATCATACCAATTTCTGATACATTATGAACTTGAGCATCAAGAAAAAGTATATATAAACACAAGGTTACTCCGATTGCAAAGTGTACCGCTAACAAAAAGAAATGTAACGCTTACCCAAGGTAGACGGTCGAGATTTCGCATCCCTTAACCCCTCAGTTGCCGGTCGAAATGTGGATTGTGTTTGACTACTTCTTGAAATACTCGGTAAGGATACCAATGTTTCTGACATGTTTCGAAAACTGAACTGATGAAACCAAATTCAGCTTAAAATTAGAGCTACGAGTTTGTTACTATTTATTATGAAAAGATTGTTTATGCTAATTCCATAGTTATTATCGCGTTAGCCTAAAACCAAAAACAAACCAAGAATTAGATGCATAATTATGTGCATATGGTAATTCGACACCTCGGTCCCATTGGTACCACACCTGGGTACAAGTTTTCAAAGTGTTGAATTCTACTCAGGAAGATTACCCTGTAGGAATAAGTTTCTTTTTCAGTTCTGAAACATCAGTAAAACAGAACGTGAAAATAAACAGAGAACCGCTCTATCTGTAAGACTGTAACCCGTTGAAGCTCCCCGACTCTAGACTTGATCTTTGAATAAAATTTCAATCATTAAAAAAACGTTTCACAAACATCTCACAAACATGATACGATTAAGTAATCTTCAAACATGACATGATTAGCATTTATTTGAAGAGTTAAAAATAAGAAACAGTTGAGTCCTTTTAGCTTTGGTCTTAGACTTATTTCAGGCTTAATTAGCCACGAGACTCAAGAGTTAGCCATGACTGTCGTGAGTGTCGTCCGTATCGTTACTGAAAGGTCTAAGGAAAACTCGAATACTGTTGAATAAATCAGTCAGGTAGATTAGGTCAAATCCTTAGAAGTCAATCTTACATTATCAACAATGGCGTACGGTATATCATTCTGGTAATCAAACACGATGAACTCAGTGTCACGGGTTTTCTTAAGTTTTTGGACCAAACTTTTGTTCGTGCATGATCCGTCTGGTTGTGGTCACTGAGTTGAGGAAAGACAAACCAAAAACTGGATTTGGCAGGAAATGAAAAACTTCCTGCCTAACCATCATGACAGAACAAAACGTCCTGGCTCACCATGGCAGACAAAACTTCCTGCCTCACGACCATAGGAATGGGTAACATGGATAACACGGAGTCGGAGTTCCGGAGCCGGAGTCCCGGAGTCAAAATTACGGAGTCTGACGTAATAATATTGGAAAACACGGAGTCAAAAATTATGGAAAACACGTAGTCGAAGAGACCATACGTAGACCGTAGAAGAAAAGAAATTTTCCAAGGGCGAGAGCGAAGAACACGTCGCTGCATGGGCTAAAGAATACGAAGACGAGCTTCCAGCTGATCTGGGTATAAAGCTCAACCAATCAGAAGCCAGATCTTCGACAAAACTGAATTATCATTTCCTTCATTGGATATGACTTCGACACTCGAATATATCAAGTAATTTTATTATATTTATGTGAAAATACGTTTATTTTTTCCCAACTGTAAATTAGAATTTGAATTTTTCACCCTTTATACTATTAGTTGGAAGAATAGGGACAAATAACATTAGGGACATGATAACTCAGTTTTGTCGAGACGCTTTATGACGTCATGATCTCAGATCAGCTGGTTGCTAAAGAGGACGAAAATGTACGAAGATTGGCTCACCAAATCAATGAAATTGATCGCCGTGAACAAAACGAGAAAGCAGTGCAAGATCACATGATAAACCTGGAATTTAATCGAGAATTACTCCAGCAGAAGGCGGAATTTGAGAAAGAACGCGAGAAGGTAAAAGCACACGAAGCAAAAACCAACAAACAATGTAAATCAACGTCCGCCGCTAAATTGCCGAAATTGCCCATAAAAAAATTTAACGGCAAGTTCGAGTCATGGCTAACGTTTTGGGGAAAATTTATATCGGAGATCGACTCAACGAAAATACCAACATTGACAAAGTTTTTTCCTACTTGAAAGAATTACTTGAAGATCGAGTCTGTACGTTCTGACATCGACGGCCTGCCATTTACCGAAGAAGGTTATTCGAAAGCCAAAAATATTCTCGAAGCCGAGTACGGGTAGTCAGCCGAAGTTGTGAATGCGTATATAGTTAATATCACCAAACTACCAGTGATTTTGGGGACAAATCCGGCTAAAATACACGATTTCTATAAGCAACTAAGATATAACGTTCAAAGTCTTGACACTCTTGGCAAACTAGATGATGTGAGAGGAAATGTACGAGCAACTTTGGGCAAGTTAAAGGGAATAAAAGCAGATCTTGTTCGCGGAAACGAAGGCTGGCAAAAGTGGGACTTTTATGATCTTCTAAAAGAGCTAAAAAAGAGGAAGGATATCAACCCAATCGAGGAAAAATCAGAGCCAGGAGAACAACTAAAGGGCGTGAAAATCCCAAGATCGAAGTTCTTCCACTCAAAAGATTCTCCACGAGACACGCGAGAACGAGGGTGTGTGTATTGCGAGGATACCACGCACAAAGCCATGAATTGCCCAAAAGTTGTGGAAAGAGAACAAAGGAAAGAGATATTAGCGGAAAAGAGACTATGCTTCAATTGTACAGGAAGTCAACATCGTGCTGCCAATTGTAAAAGCAAACTTGGATGCCAGAAATGTAACAAGAAGATCATTAACTTGGGCTGCATGACAGATTTCGTCCAGGAAGACTAGCATGGCAGCAACAGAGATCGTGAACATAAGAAAATAAGATGCCATATACCATGCAGTACAAATATCATCAGTTTAAATAATCACAATTATACCGTCCAGTTTTCCTACGGTCATAGTTGACAACATAAATAAAGACAAAATTTGATCTAACAAAACGGACTAAAAAGAATATTTATTAAATAAAGTTAAAATGTAACCCTTCACAAGTAGGTGCAGGAGGTAAGGTAGGGTAAGGATTTAACAAGCTCGCATCATTTTGTCGCTACTGAGGAATCTTCAGCATTACTTTATAGCCTATCGCATCGTCTCTTCGTTCTCTTTGATATTCAACTATCTCGTCTTAATCTTGAGAATTAGCCAAATGATACGGATGAGGTGGTGATTAAGAGAACATGGTAGCTGTAGTCAATTGGGACTATGTCCTGTGCGGCCACCTTTTGCCAAATTATAAAAACATCTTGAAGGTTTGAAGAACACTTATTCCACGTTTAAAGTCACGTATCTGGCGAATGTGGTCGTTCTTTTATAAGCACCAAGACTATGAGGAAGTATTGCATTTTAATTTGGCTGTATCACGTCTTTCAAAATCAGTAAAGTGCTCATCAACAACTCGTCAAGTGAAATTATAGTTTAAAGACGAAGCTTTGCATGCTTTAATTGAAGAACATGAAGTTCATCGCGACAAAGCCGGAACAGTGTTCCGGGAATTGAACCCAGTAACCGTGTGTACAAGTCAGCTTCCATTAGACTATTATGTTTTCTATTCTGAGGGCGTTTACGTCAGACATTAAAGTCTACAGGGTTGCGAAAATATTCTAAACATTTTATCAAGTATAACCAATTATGCAGATATAAATTGTCAACAGAAATGTTTAGCTTTCATGCAATTTTACTCGTGAAAAGTTCAATTTTCGTATGGAAAACCAACCGTAAACACGGTTCCGAACACACGGACACTGTTTTTTTACGAGGGAAACCAGAGTGCCTGGAGAAAAACCCTCACCGAAAGCCGGAATTAAACACAAAGTACACAAGTTTGAGATTTTATTAAAACAAAGTCATGTATTACAACAAAGTGTGTGTGTGTGTTAAAGATATTGAAATCAAGAGAGAGGAGACGGACAATTTTGGTCCTATTTTTATTTATACTTCACTAAACATGTATTACAAAGCGTGTGTGTTTTCTTTACATAGTACATCATTAATATACGAAGACATAAACATTTAAACTATTATATCTAAAACCGGTTACAAAGTAGGTGCGTTTAAGATCTTGACATTTAAATTTATAGAACAGTGCAGGTTAAATGTTAATTTGGCATACATTAGTATAAATTGTTCATGTCTTTTTACAGTGTGCTATTGTGTTTGAGTAATGTTTAAACCTGATCAGTAAAACATGCATTAATGTGAGTAAGTGTTTGTGTTTCTAAGTTATCGTGTATTTTTTTGTTTTATTACAGACTTAACCCATGCACTAACTCTGGTAGAGAGCTGAATAAAGCTTATGAGATCGACGAACTAATATAGTAAAACATAAAAATGCCTGAGTTCAGAGCGCTTAGATTAAAGTTACGTTCGTCAAAAAACTAAAATTATTCTGCTGACAAATCATAGGCAGTGTTTCTAATAGTTTCGTTTTAAGCTGTCAAACTGTGCACACATATTTCAAGGATCGAGTTAACTTGAAGATATTTCATGAGCCCATATAGAAACAGCATGAAGGCATACACAATTGTCCTTGAAAACTTCATTGCACATTTCAGAGCTGAGGCATATAGCCAAGAGCATGCTGCCCTTGTAGAAACAAGGTTTGGAAAAAATACCACAAAAAATTGAATTTATATTTTTGAGGCTGAGCCACATAGCCAAAGCAACAAACTGTCGAAACCAAGTGCAGCATCAAGTGTAAATATTTTTTTTTTAAAAAAATTCAGTCAACATTTTTTGAACCATGCAAGGGATATTATTCCCAAAGCAAGCTGCCCTTATAGAAACAGCACCAAGAGTACAATTTTTTTTCAGAGAAACTGGACTAATACTTTCAAAGCCAAGGCATATAGCCAGCAAGCTGCTCTTATAGAAACAGCCACAGGAGTACATTTTTTTCTTTGAAAATCTGGTTTAAAAACTTTTAAAGCTAAGGCATATAGCCAAAGCAAGCTGCTCTTATAGAAACAGCAATGAAAATAACACTGCAACGTTATTAGATATCCCAAGATACCTGCTAACACTTCGAACCACATAGCAAAGTCAAACAGTACAGACAAAAAGTGGCGCCTTACTTTTCATAAGCACTGCTCGACGAAGCTAAATGATTGGAAATCTCACAGAGACCTTGGAAAAATAATTAAGTTACAATGCCACTGCCAATGTTTGTCTCTTAATTGGTTTCTATAACTATAGTAGAAATAAGGCATATATATATCGTTTCAAGATAACAGCATGCAGTAAATTCAAATTCATTAATTGAGAGCATGTGTGTGTTAACTTTGATTGCATAAATTCATGTATTTCAGAATAGCAAGACAGTATAAGACATGCCGTAAAATCAATGTTTCTGGCTTGAATATTAACTGTAGCCTTAAGTGAATGCAAGAGATACGAGAGATAAACTAGAAGCC